TCCCCCCTCCAAACAAATATTACCGTACATACACACATCTGTAATCTTTTCTTCCCTTCCTTTCAACTCTATTTCCTCAAAATGTGTATAGTAAAACAGAATAAAACATAACATAACATAACAAAACATCCATTATACTCCCTCCCTACACATCACATACTAACTCTCAGGATCCAAGACTCATAGAGCGACGCGACCAGGAACAGGACCAGGGCCAGGGTACACACCGTGCGGAGGTATGCGCTGGCTAATCCCAGCCTAGCTACTGTACCGCACAAGCACAAGCAAGCACAAGCACATCTTCAGGGATAAATGCCCTGTCCTGCGCCTGCCATGCCATGCCATGCCACTATCAAGTGCCCAGTACGGACACTAAACAAGTGAGACATTTTGAGCCAGGGTGTGCGATGTGCAACAAAACTATCAATTATTGCTAACGACAGGCTAGTTTTCAAGGGCCTTGAGATGTTTGTAAATACCCTTGCTGCGTTTTTTCAGGGGTAGCGAGCGAGTACTGTACTGTACTGTACTGTACCCCTCTTCTGGTATAATATTCTATATCTTGTCTCGTAAACGACATTTACTTTACTTAGAACCAGTACCAGTACCAGCACCAGTGCCAGCACCATCACCATATTTCAATCCCTTCCAATCATTCCTCTGCTCCCAAGACGCAGCGGCCTTCAAAACCAGCAAATCCTCAAACTTCCTCCCTACAATCTGCAACCCAGTCGGTAACCAGACCTCGCTGTCCGCCTGCGCAGGCACGAAGCCAACCGGTAGACTTAAGCCGGGATGTCCACTGCTGTTAAACGTAGCAGTGTTATACGTCGCGCCAATCGTGCGACTCAACATCTTCAACACGCCCAGGGTGCGTCCGCCTTGCTCGCAAATCGGCACCGGGGGCATGATGATGGTCGGCATAACCAAGACGTCCACGTCTCTCAGTGCAGCATCATACGAGTCGGACAGTTTGCGCAGGAGATTCGTACAGCGCGCTTGCAAAGGGCTCCCGAAGCGCTGTTGCAGGAAGAGGCCACGTAGATAGATGTTCTGTCCCCCGGGCCCCAGGGCATCGAAAGCCGCTTGGCTGAGCTGCGCACCGACTGCCGTCGCGCGGTCCGGGAACAGGAGTTGTTTCCGACCAGAGGGGTTGGCGAGTAGACCTTGGGTTGTGCCGGCCATGGGCAGGGCAACCATCCAGATCATGCCGCTGTCGCGATGGAGTGGGATGGAAATCTCGATTATCTCAGCTCCTAGCTCTCCCAGCTTTGCGATTGCGGCTTTGGATGCAGCTGCGACGTTGGGGTCTGTCATTGGATCTTCGAAGCCTTCTTTCAAGACACCTACTTTGATACCTTGCAGTGGTTTTGAGGACGCTGCAGTAGATTGAAGATGCTCCCGGACTCCAGACCCGAACTTGACATGCCCTTGAGGCCAGTTGTAAGGCTGACGATCATCGATCCCGTCTGTGCCTGCGATGACCTCGAGGAGCGTAGCGCAGTCTTGCACCGTCTTTGCCATGGGTCCTACGTGGTCAATCGTTGCTTCGAGTGAGATGCATCCGGTGTAGGGAACGAGTCCCCAAGTCGGTTTCAAGCCGACAAGACCGCAATTCGCTGAGGGGAGACGGATGGACCCTCCTTGGTCAGCCCCGATTGCGAGGTCGACTTGTCCTGAAGCTACAAGGCGACCTGACCCGGACGATGATCCGCCAGTACTGTAACCATGGGCATAAGGATTATGCACTGGCCCGGTGACTGATGTATCACTAGCAAGCATCAGCTTCTTTCTCGCCTCATCAGCAAAAGAGGGAACATACCTCACAGCCCCAAAACAATTATTCTCACACGCAGATTTCCCCTTCACCACACCTCCTGCATCTAGTATCCTCGTTACAATGGTAGCATCAACCAGCGGCACCCAATCCACCGCCGCCGTCCCATTCGTACACTGTACGCCAGCAAGCGCAACATTATCCTTCAATGCCACCGTCTTGCCCTGCAGCTCCGAACTCTTCGGGCTCGTGGCTTTGACCGTGGCTTTCCAAGCCCAGCCACCAAAATCCGTATCCTTGGGTCCTGAAGGCCGGTGGATGTCTGTGCGCGGATACAAGGACGTATCGACCGCGGGGTAGTAGTCTGGGAGGGCGAGGATTTCCTTCGCGCAGTGGTTTAGGCCTGCGAGGAGGGTAGCCCAGTCGTCGAGCTCTGAGGGGGGAATGGAAATATGGTTTGCTTGGGCAAGGGAGGAGACTTCAGAGGTGGTAATCAGGGAATCTTGTCTGTGGGACTGGTTAGGTTTGTTTTCAGGTGGAAGGGGAAGGGACGTACTGCGCGTCTCCTAGCACACTGACAGACATGTTTGCGAGAGCTAATGGAATGATGAAGGAGAATGAAGGTCAAGGGGGAGGGAAGCCACTATGTATATATTCTCTGGAGCTCATATCGAGTCCACTTTATCGGCATCAGTGGGGTGGATATGGAGTGTATGGTCCGCTTCATGCGCCGCGGCCAAGGCCTTGAGCGCGGACATGGTGTTTGACTGATTAGTAAATGTTTGTGGAGTCAGTTAGAAGCTCGGAAGACGTTTTTGGGTGGAAGATGTGATGTATTGATATGGAATAGTTGTTGGCTCCGATAAGAAATCCTTATCGTCCATCGCAGTTCCGATGACAGTATTGTATCAGCTTTGCACTAGCTTAGCGCAGCTTTGTAGTCCTTTGAATACCTCGGTATCTAAACCCATTTAGTTTATGCTATTATATGCTTGAATCAGTAAAATGTCCTCTACTTTGCAATGCAGAGAGGATGATTGTTCCTGGCACGTGACGTATGTTACACAGACTCACAGTATCTTCAGTTCTCATCTCCACTGATGTATCTACCTTAGTTCTGCATTATACTAGAGCCAAAGTAGCGTCTCCCATATGAACAAACTCTTACGGAAAGCGAAGTTGTAGCTTTTTTTGTAACAGCACGCTGCGGATCTACGTATTCTATACTTTCTATCCCACCCATATTCCACTAACAAGAGTTGCTTGCGAAGTTGCGATGATCTCTTTGTGTTTCCTCGTCGTCAATGGTTCATAGATTGGTTTGTTTTTCCAGCTTGATTTCGTTTCATTCGAAACTGATGACAGCAATTCAATTCTTCACTTCAATCAGCATCCGTAGGATCCCAATCCGTGACCAGCTTCTCATCCAGCCCATCCAACACTTTCATATCATCCTCGGTAATCTCAAACCCATCGACTTCAGCGTTGGATTTGATCCGTTGTTCATTTACGCTTTTTGGAAGTACGATGTATCCCTTCTGCAACCCCCATTTCACCATCAGTTGTGCCCAAGTACAACTGTACTTTTTCGACAACTCCTTTATTTTCGGGTGGTTTACTCGCAGTGAACGAGCAAGCGGCGCGTAGGCTTCAACAACGATGTTGTGTTGGGCGCAGAAGGAGGTGATGGCGGATTGGGTGTTGAAGGGGTGGACTTCAATTTGGTTGATCGCAGGGACGAGTTTCGGTTTCGAGTCCAGGAGTTCTTGGAGCTGCAAGTGTCGCGAGTCAGCGTTTATTGCAAGAGCAGGAGATGAGCACAAGGAAGGATAGAATACGAACATGTTTAACGCCAAAGTTGCTGACTCCCCCAGCCCTACATTCGCCCTCCCTAACAGCATCCTCCACCGCCCTCCAACACTCCAACCTCTTCTGCTTCCCTCCATATGGACTATGCAGCAGATACAAGTCAATGTATCCTAGGCCACTCTTCTTGATGCTCTGTTTGATGCTCTTCCGTGTTGCATCATAGCTTAGATTGCTCTTCAACTTGGTCGTAAACCAGATATCCTCCCTCTTCAAACCCGCCTGGTTTTGGACCGATGCCAGAAAGGCATTGATGGCAGACCCTACTTCCGCTTCATTCGCATACCATTCTGCAGAATCTACAGCACGGTAGCCGGCAGCCAAGGCGTAAGTCACGGCGGAAGAACATTCACGGCCAGAGGTCATGTAGACGCCGAGGTGTAGGCGGGGTATAATGACGCCGCTGTTGAGGGGCAGGGTGCTGGCTAGTATTGAAGGCATTTTGAAGGTTGATTGAAGTCTTTGCATCTAGATGTGTAAGAGCGAACGAAGATGCTTAGAGAGAGGGGTGATAAAGTAGATGGGGAATCAAAAGTGAAGTGAAAGTGAAAGTGAAAGTGAAAGTGAAAGATGACGCGCTGCCCCACATCTTTTGGCAGGGTGAGGTGAGTCCGCCGTGCAACATCGGCGTCCTCTTTCCAGAACCTTCAAAAACACCAAAAGAAAGCTGGTAAGCAAATCTCCTCCTTGAAGCTGTGTATTGTCATTGTCGTCTAGAAACATTTCACCCTTATAAACAGATTGTTAATAGCCATAGGCGGGCACTGTGCACGCATTCATCCTTTGGACCTTTGGTCGAACCGGAGTATTGTCTCACTGAGAAAGAGCTATGCAATAGATTGATATGCCTATAAAATAATATCTTGAAACAATTCATTTAAAGTCAAGCGGATTCTTTCTCCTGAAATTGCTGTCTTCCAACTTCACGATTCACAAATTTCCATTCTTTATAGTACTTGCAAGTTACTAAATTATAACTTTTGGATACTTCAATCACTCTCCCTGGTCGCAAGATGACTCGGCCACAGGTAGTCTGGTGGCAGCTGAAAGAAACCAGGTCCTTCGAGCAAAACCATTCCTGCCACGCCTTTAGCATAAGCTTATTGCGTTCTTGGAGGATTCCATACCCCAAAACGCATCCGAAGGCTGTAGGCTGACCGTCTTGGCCAGGGTGATAAAAGCGCCTATTAGGCCTAAAGTTGGATTATCTAGTCCTGAAAAGAATGTGTAGATAGAAAAGGAGGGATATCTCAGTCACAATTACATATCATCTGCTCAATCAGCAGTATCAAGCATAACCTTGCAAGTTGTAACCCGCCAAAATATTGGTTTGATATCATGCACTCGGGCGTGATATGACCTGATCCTGGGGTTTCCTGCTTACTAGTACGACTGATATCTCTTGGGCCTGCTCGGTGGGAGATTTGTCCAATTGCATGTCCATGTTTTCTTTATGCCTGGGTAAGCCGTACTTTCAGACCACCATTGTATTGTGTTGGTCCACTCAACTGCCTATATGGTTATATGCTGTCATACTTTGCATGCTTCAAATTATTTACTTTGAAGAATGGCGGCGAAGCACGTTTGTACACCACTTTAATGATAATTCAAAATCGATTTCCGACGGCGACTCGTGAGTGAGAAGGCTGAAAGTTGCTGCTATGGATAAAGAGGTATAAAGGGACACATTAGTCTACATGCTGTCTTCCACCTGAAAAACAGAAGGGGAAATCTCAATCCATCCTGTGTCTACCACTAATATCATCACTCCGTGCATCCAGCCAAAACTCAAGCATTCTTGCCAAAGACAATGTACTTCTTCGTATGCATTCATCGATATCTTCAACCTAAACTCACATACTGACTAGTCATATCCCAGACAATTCTCGTCTCCATCCTCACTACCGTCACAGCCACGGCTCTCCCAGCAACCATTTCGAAGAGAGCAGGAAAGCCCGCCGGAGGCCCCGCCACCATCACAGTAACCGTGTACACCGGGCCCTTTACCTGCGTGAACCGCGAGACCCCACCACCCATCGACGGCACGGCCGGCACCTCCCAAGTAGTAAGCGTAGCGGAGAACCAGTGCGCGATTCTCAACATCCCGTTTGGCGGCGCCATCACATCTGTGATGACGGCTACGCCAAAAACAGGGACGGTGGGGTGCTATGTGCAGATCTTCACGCAGTCTGGGTGTGGACTTACGCTGCAGAATGAGTTTCATGGGTTTCCGATGGATGGGATTGTGGTTGGGAGTAAGTTGGGTTGTGCGACGCCTCCTGTCATCAAATATGGTGCTGTATCGGTTCTTTGCGCTTAATGTTTGGTTGTTGGCTTCTAGGCTGGGAAATTGAGAAGTGTGTTAATTAAGAGATCGTGGAGAATGCGAGAGATCAGTCATTAATAAGTCTGGGTTCTCACTTGATCCGCTCGCCTTTCTCAGTCCCCAAGAAGTGTTAAAAGAAGTCTCGCCGCTGATATTCTCAGCGCCATATCCTCTGTGCTTTAAATGGTTCACCGAATCTGAGACATTCAGAAAAAGCACCGATTCGCTAAGAGCTGTCGGGAATATTCATAGGTCTATGACAGATATGATATACAGTCATAAGAAAAGACATGCAAAACCAACCAAACTCCAGAGGTATAGCCCAACACGTGTACAAGGATCCATTAGGACCCCAAATTCCATCCATGATTCATCTCAACCAAACGCGTGCCCAAGTAAAAAAAGACCTTACGCTTCGTTCCATAGGTTCCCGCTAATTTCCAAGTCTTTCCAACCCTTCCAATCGTTTTTCCAATCCGGCTCATGGTATTTATACCCCTTTCCCCTCGTAACCCTATCCACAGACTCCCTGACCATCGGATAAACATCCTTATACGCCTCCCTTCCCATCCAACAATCCAGATGCCCATAGCCCTGCACAACATGTCTCTCGTACCCCTGCGCCCCAAATGTGTCTCTCAGCAAACTGTATGTTTTCTCAGTGGCTTCAGGCGTCAGGACTTGGTTGTCGGAGCCGGAAAATAGCATGATGGGGATGTCTTTGAGGCGATGAACGTTGCGGGGCGTGGTGAGGTCGTTGAAAAGAGGCCCGTTGCTTGTTACGTAGCCGCGGTGCCCCATCTGCATGAGGAGGTGCAAACAGGTCATGTTGACGCCGCCGAAGAAGCGGTTTATTTGCCGGTGCGTGGCTTCGTTGAGATTGCGGTGATTCCACATTCTGCGCATTGTTAGTTAGTATGATACAAAACGTTGAGCAAAGAGGACGCTTACCTTCCGTAGACCAAAGATCCTCGATGACACGCGACGTTATTGCAGATTTCTTTCCTGGTGTCGGGATATAGGCGCAGCACTTGGTTGAGGAACTGCTGAAAATATGTGTCGTTCCTGCTTGAAGAGCAATCAAACCATGATCCGCCGAACGTGGAGTAGAGTTTGTCGAAGGGGATGGGACCTGCTGATACTTTGGCCATGTTCAGGGCCGCCCACATGGGATTGCAGAATACTTGCGACGCGGAAATCCCTAGAATCCAGTCTGCGGGTATTGTGCCATCAAGAAGACCACATGAGAATGCCACTGCTCCCATGCAGTGACAGATAGTGTAGATTTTGTCCGGTCCCTGGGCTTTCCTGATCTGCTCTAGACATGCTTTGATGTCGAGACGGGCGTCATAGGTCGTCCAGCCATTCTTGGCAACCATGAGATTACAGATACGGTGTACTGTCACAAAGACTCTGTATCCTGCTCTGGTGAAATAGTTAATTGCATTTACCTCAATGGTGGGAGTCGAATAAATTTGTTCGTCAACAGAGGCACCAGGAATCATGAAAAGATTCTTGGTCTCGATATTGGGATTCCGCGGCTCGAAGACCTTGAGCAAGGTTTGTACCCCATCAGAAGCAAAGACTTCAATAACATCGTCTGACGAGGTACCATTGATATAATGGTCGTAATTCACGGTAGGATATTGTTGCCACACAAAAGGGGCAAGGAAAAGATTTGCAGATTGCCGGGCAAAGAACCCCATGAAGTTGGCCGTTGATTGCACCTTTGCTAGGAAGTTTCGGCCGGATGGTTTGAGGGTGAATATTTCAGAGAGGAAGTCGAATGGTTTGATATGCATCATCCCTCGACCAACAATGACTTTATCTCTAGTTCGCCATATTGTCACATAGAGAGTCGAAGCTGCAGACCAGAAACGCCAAGGTGCCAACGTGATAGATGAATCGACGACTTTGTAGCCATGGAAGTGGAACTCTGTGTCGTCGACTGAAGTCATATTAAAGTCATACGTTAGATTCCGGGTGCCGGGTGCAGAGTTGTCAATGCTGAATAGATGGAAGTCCCCTCGTTGGACGAGGAAAGGACTGCCTGGCAAGCTTCCACAAGTAAAGGTTCCAGTCAACATTGCCTTGTGATCGGCTCGATTTACGGCTGTTACAGAAGCATCAGTAAATAATATCAACAAATACCGGAAGCAGATTTCGACTTACTCATATCTGTATCCCAGGCTTGGACACTCAAAAAGAACCTCGCCTCCTCACAGAGCCCCCTGGCGGTCTTCGCAGCAGTCTCATAGTCCTCTATTTTCTCACCTTGGATCCCATCGCCAATGTGAATATATCCCGACATCACTTCGGAGAAGCCAAACCCGTTAGCTTTAGAAGCTCGTGTCACGTCGACCAGTTCTGTCGCTGCCGCGATGCGGAGTGTGTTTCGACGATCAAGTTGCCGCTTGGTTTCAGCATGTTGATGCGGTTCCCCGAACAAATCCAGGACGTCATTATTCTTAGTCTTCAAATCGATTCTTTCACCAATACTGCGAGCTGCGTGCTCAACAGATCTCTCCGCAAGCGCCGTAATTGTTGCAAAGGGGTTGACACCGAGAGCGGTTGGGATGACAGCTGCATCTGTGACAACGAGACCATGATGGATTTCGTCGCCATTGCCAGTTAACACTTCTCCAAAGTGGTTCGTGACTCCAGTATCAGCAGTGCCGTCTTTGGCAATGCATGCTCCTCCGATAGGATGTACCGTAATTTCCTGGCCCAGATACGCGGAGAATGGACTTTGGACATATGTTCCGCCGACAGCCTCGGTAGCCTCCCGAAGGAGATTATTGAGGAACTTAACGTGGGAGCTATTCCCTACACCAAGGAACTCCAAGATCGGCTTATCATCCTTGAGGGTCATAATCGCTTGGTTGGAGTCGTGACTCATGATCAGATACACTTGCGTTCTCTCGATGCTTCCTTTCTTATAATATGGTCCCAAGAATCGACTTCCTTGCTGTGCTAAGGCATGCTTGACTTTTCCAACAAGGCTATGGCCCTTGGGATATTGATTGCCTGGCATCGTCTCTAGCATCGTCTGGAATAGTTGGGCAAGCGCGTGGGGAATGGCGCCTTCCTCAATAACATACCCATCAAGAGGATTCTCGTGATCCTCACGATTATCAATTACGCCTGTTATCGTTGGTCCAATATTACAAGATGTGTCTTCTCGGCCAATGGCATTGACTTCGTCTTCGGTATTGTAGCCGAAAGCGAGGATGTCTCCATTCCCGCTCATGCCCTGACCAACCCTGTCGCTCATTGGAAGTCCTAAATTCTTGCTTCGGAGGAGGATCTCAGTGGTACCGATGCTTCCAGCACCAAGAAAAACGCATTTCTTCGCATGGACCCACATGAGATCTTCGTAAAGATTGGTTGGAAAGGCGCCCCTCTTGCTTCCGTGCCAAGCGTAGAAGACCAAGTAACCTTCTTCCGACGGGTGCTTCTTGATGTATCTAACCTCGCATTCGCAAAACATTTCGGCACCCCAGTTCCAAGCATCGGAGAGATAGTTTACGAGAGTGCTTGACTTGCTCCCGTCATTTACTCCAGTGGTGTCCATGCCGGTCAACTGGGACTCAAACATTTCAACACCAGTACTATTAGGACCATCATGGAAACGAGTGGTCTGAGGAACTCTCTTGAATTTTTCCTCCAGCCCAAGAGCCTTGGCTTGTTTCTCGAGCATCTTCAGCTTCGGCAATTCAGGCCAATTTTTCGGGTATGGTTCAGGCTGGAGAACGCTCGCGGCACGTTTGTAGTATTTCTTCAGCTTGTCGTATCCTTGTAGTTCCTCGGGCCAGCAATCCAGTTTCATTGTTGCATCATTAGCTTCCAGGAATACGTTGGCATTCAAGAGACTCGTTCCGCCAAGACCATTACCGACGAATGCGTTCTGGCCTTTGCCGACAATGAGGTGATAAAGCCCTGTTGGGTCTCCTTCCTCGACCATTAAATCCTTTATAAATCCGGGAGCAAATTCGCCTGATACATGGAATTGCTTCATAGCATCCACGAGTTCAGTGGGATACTCTCCAGGCCATCGTTCCTTGCCTCTTTCAAGCAAACATACTTCTTGTCCAGCTCTAGCCATTCGACTCGCAGCCACAGCACCACCGTATCCCGATCCAATAACGACGCAATCGTACGAATTCCACATAAGCTCGACGGGCTTCGAAATTCTTGGAAACTCCTTGCCATTGGCGTCTTCGTCGTAGGTTTCGTTTTCGCTTTTTCGTGCATAAGGACCATGTGGATATGAGCGGTGGAAATCCTCTTGCGAGGTGGGTAATTTGGCACTTTCATTGGTCTCCTTGGCGGAAAGAGGCTCTTCGGTCATGCTACTTGCAGGGCTGAACTGGGATGAGTAACTTGTCTCCAACTTTGGTCGAAATTCTTTCTGACCTTGGGGCGGAATCAAGTGCGCGTTTTTGCGGTGACGAATTTCTGAAGGTTGACTGTTAATGTTCCCATGGATTCCGGTGACTATTTCATGAGTTTTGGCGTTTGAATGTAAACCATTGATGCCGTTGCCTAGATTGTCCCAAGTCCACATATCCGGATTAGGAGTAGGAAGATCCTTCGGAATTGGGACTCTGCTGAGGACTTGGTTGAACGACGTGATGGGACCAAGGCTCATCACAGCAGGATCTTTTGGTATATAGATTGACAGACATATCGGAACTGAAACGATGAGTAGTGACGAGTAGCTATGAAATCCAGCTTCGATCTTGACTTGATCGAGGGAAGTTGGGATGTTTCGAAGCCATTCGGAGAACAAATTGGAGGAGAGGTCGCCAACTCTGAAGTCTTCTGTTAATCGGATCGCAAATGCCATTCTTGGTGTTGGCCCTACAGCAGTTGCAGAAGAAGGTTTGAAAGAGAGACTAATCAGGTCTCCATTCGTTATGCCAAATATGTCTGATTGTGGCGACTGGACGTCGTAGGAGCCACCTGAGGCTAAATGACTTGGTAAGTTTCCGTCAATATGAATTGAGAGACGGATGCTACGCGGAAACTTTGAATTTTCTTGCGTCAATGGCAGATAAACAGGAGATTGGGGCTCCAGTCCCTCCTCCGACATACGACTCCTGACGCGGGAGAATAAGTTATCGTACAGATTCCCAATGGAAAACGAGGATAAGCTGCTCAATTCTCGAAGTTCGAATTCTAGTTCTCTTGTGAAAGAATAAGATGGGACGCTATTAATGGAAGAGTTATAGGCACAAGCTGCGATTAGCTCAGTGGTGCCGTTGCCTTCATCGTTGCTCGCAGTTCCGGCGTGGCAGCAATCCAAAAGAGCCAGTACATCACTTTGTGCCTGCTCTAATGCGGTCTGAATCCCGCTCCATTGCACTGTGGAATATCTCGACCTTGGATTCTTGTGTCCACTTGGAATGAGTTAGCTAAGCACAAAGAACAGTGCATCGACTGTGAAGATAGTTTGCAATTAGCAGGGTTGCGTACCTTGTCCAAACCAGACTCTTATTTTTGTTGAGTCGAGCCCGGCCGGTATAGTAGATAATCTTTAAATCTTCGAATCTGTCACCTCCTAAACTCACAAAATCCAGGATCTTTTGGTTGACATCCAAATTAGAGTCCTCGTCCGGAATCCTCCAGACTTCAGTTTCGAAGTGATAGACATTCTTGAAAACGTCGGATAAACGGTCCATATCTTTTTCAAGATGTTGGTTTGCTCTTTCATCGTCCCAACAGAGCATTAGTACGTATACTTTGGAGTACGGAAACCTTCTTTCGCTGGGAAAAATAGCTTGGGCAGCAGCATGGAGGCCCTCGCCAAAGTTCTCCAGGGCAATATGAGCTTGCCATCGATGAAATTCGTCAAAGCTCGAGGGTGTAGTGCTCAGAACAGTATTGTCCAGATCGGATTCGCTCTGCATCTCCTCGCCCGTCCTCACTGAGTCGGTGGTATCCCACCTGTGCTGTGTGGCGCTCATTTCTGCCACGTGATCGCAGATCTTTTTGCCCAGCTGCTGGTCAAACTGAATACGGAACAATGGAATGTTAGTAGGTACGCTTCTGGTGGAGAGAAAGCTTGCAGCTTACCTGAACTCTCCTGATATCTACAAACTATGGCAAATTATGTTGTAAGGAATGGGTTTTACTGAGAGCTGTTTAGGTTGAAACGCGGAGGCTCGGTTGAGATCAAAAGATACACGAAATACTTCAGTTCTCAGTCGCTGCCCGATGAGGTAAAATAATAGTCGAATGCGTTATGAGACTATTTGAAGTCACCAAGCTCTGTTTGTGGATAGTGGTATTGAACTGATGCTCCAAGGCTGTAAGGAAGAACTTGCAAAGTTTTTCGAGAAATAAATAGCCCTGAAAATTAAACAAGAGAGTAAGTGATTCTCAGACAGCAGACATATGAATAAATGGCTTCCTTTGTCAGTCACTGGCCTGGGTGAATGATGGCGGATGGACTGTAGTTGCAAGGAATTGAGGTGTGACGAAGAGGAGGATCGCGGCGGAGTGATTGTTTTGGGCCTCCACCACAAGAAACAGGCAACAAATTGAAATTAATAAGAAGGAAGAATGGAGAGGACTAGATTGCAATAATGACAATAATTATAATGATGTGGGAGCACAGGAAAGGGGTTCTAACGGTTCTAAACATTATTATTGGCAGATAGGAAGAGAATTTGGGGCTGATGGATGGATTCGGAAGCTGAATTATAAGGTAGAAAGAGCCCCAGCTGCTGCGGCGACGCCCCATGTCCTTGCACTAATAATAAAAAGGACTTAAAAATAGTGAAGATGCATGCGGTCCTGGGCGGGGGGGGGCTGCACAATTCCACGCTCGTGAATTGACCAATAGTGGCCGCTGCAGAATACGATCAGGGAGGGGTTTGAGTAACTACCTTACCGTAACGCCGGACCTTGCGGTGCACTTGCGGGACCTCCCCCTCCATCACCGGGCAACTCGAGTATGTATGACAACTGTAAGGAGTACTACCACCAGCTACTACTGGCTGGGTCGGGGCTTTAACTACCACTTGGGGGCTGGATTGCTTCATCAGCCGCGCCCTGGGATGGGATGGAGCAAAGCACAGTAAGCAGTAAAAAAGGGGAAGCAAGAACGCAAGATGATATTGGATGGAGAGCGTACTGTACTTTTGCCCAAGAAACTTCCGTAGAACAAATAGTTGAATCTGACATCGGGGTTTTGCAGCTGGCCAGTGTTACCATGTGATGATTGATGACCGATCTCTGCGCCCTCGCTGAATCGCTGTGCCCGACTGAGATCAATTTTACTCTGCGGCGCAGTTTATCTTTAGTCAAGGCTTTTGCTGAGCCGCTTGGCTGCTTAAATCCTTATAAATATATATATTAGATATATATTTATCGAATTGAGGGCTCATAAGAGGACTGCGGGTCCTTCATCATAAGCCTCCCTGCGAAACTGATGGATAAGAGGGCGGGCGGGTGGAGTGGAGGTGGGGTGGTGGTGGGTGGGGTGGTGCTTTCAATTATCGGGAACACTTTTATCTGTAGCCACGTGATATTTTTATCACGTGACGTATACTGTCCCCATCGATATCGAAGAAGTTTCATGGCAGGGAGTTTTAGATGACGATGAGACTCAGCCAGTTATATCTTCCTAGCGTCGTTGAGCCTTGTTTGTGGGATACTCGTTATGCACTTTTCGGTTTGAAAGACTTGCTCTGGCATAAAGCTTACATCAAGGTTTTTTCCAAATGGAGATTACGAATATGCTACATAGATGCTATGTAGGTTATCCCATCCATGATCTGAAATCCTATGATTATTAACAGGAATCCAATAGATTCAGGAAATCCGAAGAAGCAGATTTGGCTTTTGGTATTGGAGGACTTGGCAATATCACCCTGGCTCATAAACTGAACATTAATGTCAAGTATCAAGAACATCAAACGCAAGACTTATACCTTCTTGTAATACGTGCTCGGATGCCCATGCTTCTTCCGATACGAGACAACCTTCCCATCCATATCCATACCAACAAACAAGGCCACAATACTCGCCAGCCATATCTCCAACGTATCAAACAGCCAATTATTCCTCGTCGAGCAACCCCACGCACAAGCCCTCATCAAAGACCCCAGCCAATTAACCGTAACCAAGTACTGGCCCTTTTCTAGCCCGGCAATGGACCGCGCTGCAACGGCTTCGGGCGTCTGCTGAGGATCCGCCGCTTCCAGTATATGCGTAACATCCGGTTTGGTCTGGTTCTCTGTTGCATATCCGTTGCTGAGGATTGTGCCGGGGAATACAGTATGTATCTTGACATTATCGCCATATAATAACACCTCCTGCGCCAGCGTATCACTCAAGCTCTTGATGGCCGCTTTGGCTGGCGCATATGGCGTATAGCCAGCCAGGGAATAGAAAGCCACGACCGAGCTCGTGAACACCAGATGTCTCTCCTTGCCTTGTTGCAACGCAGACGGCGTGAGCCAGTCGCCGAGAACTGCGTGTGCCATGTCGGCGCAGGACCAGAAGTTCACGTCCATCTGATGGCGCATTATAGAGACGGGAGTGTCGATGAAGAGGCCGGGGTAGGCGGCACCCGCGATGCACCAAACTATGTCAGGACTTTCGCCATTGTTCCAGGCTATTGCTTCTGCGATGACACGCGCGGCGCCGTCGGGTTCGGAGACATCGGCGCTGATATATTGGAAGCGTTGGGTTGAGGGGTTTGCTGCTGAGGCCTGGACGCGTTTATTGTCAGCTTGAGTCGTGGTAATGGGGAGTCGGGTGATCTGCCTTAATTTGTGATAATGCTTCCTCCAGTTTCCCAACATTACGCGATACTATTATGATGTTCGCGCCTTTTTGTGACAATTGGATCGCAACGCTTTTGCCCATGCCCTCGGACGCTCCGGTAAGGAGAACTGTCTGGAGTGGTAATCAGTAGAGGTTGTGAAAACTTGGGGGGGGGGGGAGCGTACCTTGCCGGAGACATTAAATTTGTTGCTGCTAAAGAATCCCATGATTGTAGGGAGTAGAACAAGTAGACCGACTATAAGACCAGCAATTGTCCAATAATTGAGGTCTACGGCCATCTTGTAAAGGTGTGTTCCTGTTAGCATCAAGGCTGTTTATATACGGAGTATGCATGGCGATGGTGGTATAATTTTGATTTACGTACGATAAGCGATAAGAATTTAGAGGCTAATTAATACTTGTACCGCGTATAGCAATACAAGGGTAGCGTATCGCCTAAGGAATCGTCAGAAGCATAGCCTGCTTTAAAGAGATAGAAATACATGAGACTCTATTAGTTTTCCTAGGCATTTTATAGTTTCACATGGTCAGTGGACAAGAAAGTGAGGCTAAATCGCGGGAGCTGGACTGCAAGTAGCCTATACTTTATAAAAGGGTGGTAAAAACTGTTCTCACAGGGTGATAAGCGAAAGGTCTCAGGGGTACCACCGAGAAGAAAGTTCAGACGGGACAGCTGGAAGTATAAGAGGAACCCCAACTAGGGTTCAATCGAAAGTAAGATTAAATGTGGCCTAAAATCTTCAGTGCCCACATCAGAATGATGGCATCAAAATGATGGCATCAAATATTAAAGCAAGAATGCTAATCCAAGCAACCCCAAAAACACCATTCCCATCCATTCCGCCACGCCTATTTTCTCGGAATAACTCTGTTGGCTGGATTGTCCAGGAGTGGCCATCGGCCCCTTCATTTCCTGTGAGGCCGTGAAGTTCGACGAGCTGGTGCTCACGCTACCGGTTTCCACAGGCGTTGGTACTACAAATCTTGTTTGTACCTCAGTCTTGACCTCTTCAACCTTGCTGCTCACTGGTACGTTTGGATTATGTTGAGGTGGCGGGTTGGGAGGTGGACTTTGCTGAGGTGGAGGGTTCTGAGGTGGGTTCTGTGGTGGTGGATTCTGCGGCGGGTTGAGATTACCAGGCGACGCATTCGGGGGTGCAACAGGTGGAGCTTGGCTGCTGATTGGGATCTGGGAGCATGTAGCGCAGGTTTGGGCAACCGCTGGCAAAGCAGGCGGCGCCATGTTGGTTGGGCTACTACGGACCAAGGACTGGAGGGGAGATTAGCTAAGTTAAGAATTTATCACTCCGGGTTGAGAAACATACCCTTGTCACTGTAACATCTGAACTAGGTACACCGACCCCTTGCGACGAAAGTTGGCAGACATAGCAGGCTATGAGAATTAGGCAGTTAGTTGTGATTGAATACTCGGGGCGCGAATACATACGTTGGTCTTGTGTGGCTTGATTGTAAAGATGCGTCTGATCACTCGTTAGGGTAGTTGTGAAGTAGCTCGTTTCTGAATATGCGGTTAGTTTGCGCTTAGAGTTCAATGACAGGCACTTACCTGTTACGTCGCCGTTGATGTGAATCACCACAGTGATATCAATTATGACCGTGACTAATATTCCAACGACCACTAGAGGCTCTGGGTTCTGAGGCGCTCCTGTGGGCTCTACAGGACACACCGTGGTATACACAGATATTGTATCCGTCGTTACTTGGCCAATTGGACAATCTACAACTGTCAACGGACAAGATGTAATGGTATACGTAATTGTTGTGTACACTGTGGATATCGTGCTGCCTGGATCGTAAGGCGTAGTCCCTGGGACTTGTGACGAAGTGGGCGTTGTTGTCTGTGTCAGAGGGCAGGCAGTAAGACTCTGTGCAGCGTTATCTGGATAGATGCACCGACACACAGTACCCTCTCTCTCGACTACAAAACTATATTAGTGACCGAAGAACATGAGAAGGGGTGTAATTCAATCTTACTAGATTTAAATGCTCCATTTCGCTTGACCAAGCCTTGACAAAGTCCCACACATTGGTCACGTGTAGCTATGAAACCAGCGAAGAATGGAGCAACTGGCACTTGATTCCACACACAGCCAGTTGGAGCCGATGTTGCGGTGGAAGTAGAATTAATTTGAGAAGCCGAAATTTGCGTAGGAGTTACTACAGACGACGTGTTCAAAAACCGCGTTATAGACAGGCTCAAGGAAGGCGTAGCGAGACTAGTCGATAGATTTTGACTCGCAGAAAAGCTGGGGGAAGGCGTTGAAAGGCTCGTTGATAAATTCTGGCTTACAGACAGGCTCTGGCTTAAAGACAAGCTCGAGGAAGGCGCTGAAAAGCTAGTCGATAAATTCTGGCTCACTCCGGATGAGCTAGTGAAAGGAGTGGAAGAACTCCCGGAAGAAGTTGAAGAAGTGAGGGACGTTGAACTAGTTATTGCGGAGGCTAATTGAGTTAGCTACGACTTGCATGGAACGAGGGAAGAAAGAACATAGAAGATCCACCTACTAGACAGAATCGTCGCAGACGAACTTGAATTTCCCGAGGCAGCTGCTCTAAACCGTGGGAAAGTGGTGCTGAATGTAGCGTCCACATCATCGTTTACATCGCCCTCGCGGGCGGCCAAAACTTGATGAGAAAATTTACCTGGCCAAGTTGTTAGTTATAGGTTTAAATTTATAATTAGCTGTGAAAGAACAACCATAGCAAACTATACTGAAGAAAAATAGAACCAAAAGAAACTGTTTAGTTAGTTTTTCAGAGAACATAATGAAGAGACAGAAGAAATGCGGATCCGCGATGAACGATGTCAGGATGAAAACAAATGGAATATGAATATCACTAGAATTGATATGTGTGATTTTCTTTGCTTGATTTTAGCACGGCATTCTTTGACCTGTGACATCTTGATGCCGATCCATTTCTGCGAGCTACTTGTAGTGGCTTCCTGAAACACTATCGGGGCCATACCAGGCCAGATAGAAACAAGATTCTCAAGGTTTTGGACAAGGTTTTCTGAGGAATTATCAGCATACAACTAGGAATGTTGGATAAAGTTTGGTGAGTCCCGCAGCATTAAGGCGCGACACGTTTAACGAGCATTATCCATAATCCAACTTGTACTGTAGGAGATATTAAAATTAAGCTCACAGTGATTTCATGGACTAGATTTGAAATTGACGTTAAGAATGAGATGATAAAACTATACAAAATCATTTTTCTTCCGAGGGAAGATACTTGGATCCAACAAACTCTTATACATGTTCCAGTTCATATATAAGAGGATAAGAATCCAAGCGGTCTTGACTCAATTGAGGGAAAGTTTTTTCGAACAATGCTCTCGGCACTGCCTGCTGTACTGGGGGCATACTCTTCATTTGACTCAGAAATGCGACGGGGTTATAAGCGGCTGGTCCCAAAAGCCTAGCCTTGCGAGCATGTCGTGGAAAAGTTACGAATCCTGGACTTCGGGATCCCCCTAGAATCCAGTACTGAAAAACGCCAGGAGGATATCCACAAATTTATCCTGGACCGAACCTCCTCCAATATAGCCAACTTACCTGTTCTCATGAGATCGCGCTCCAACAAGCGGTTGATCAGGATCGATGAGTGGCAATTGCTTTTCGCCGTCGATGTCCGCATATGGGCCCGGCCTACAATAGTCAGCAAAGATAAGCAGTGGAAACAGACATGGTTCACGTATACACAAATCCTTTTTTCAGGCTTTGCACCCTTTATCATAACTCCAAATGTAGCATATCAGGGAAAGTCCACCCACGAGCAAGCTACTGGGCAGTGGGATTAAGCAAGCATTGGTCATGATAGGCTTGACCTGTGGTCCACGGGAGGCCAAGTTCCTGAAAAACCAGGTCGATGTCTCGATTATGACTGTATATCGAAGGCCACCCGTAACCAAACACAATTGCCCCACCAGCTTTGAGATAAAGCGAGAGGAGCGCTCGGGCGGGGGAGTAAGGGCCAATATCATCATCTATGGCAATATTATCGTGCAGGAAGGCAGCGTCCGTGATGAGGATAAGTCGCGGGAAAGATACACCGAAGTATTGTCGAAAATTCGACTCCTGTTCCGACCATAGTTACATACACGATGCCAGCGAGGCGTTTTTTCAAATTGGGGCAAATCCCAAACACCAGGATACCCGTATGCTGCATGCTGGTAATTGTAGTGCAATGTGAATTCCCCATGCAAGTATCACAACCCGTGGTAGATAGAAAAGCGAAAGGAAAAATGAGTTTAAAAGTGTAAATACTGAAAATGAAAAAGTGGATAGAGTTTTGATATGTTGGGCGGAGTGGGACTTTCAAAATCGATAAGAAGTGTGCTTTTATTGCTTAGCACCATGTGAGAGTGTCGTGTCGAGTAAGAGACTTCGATCTAGTGATGGAGACAATATAGATATGTAACATATGTTTCACTTGATAATGGACTTTTAAGTTGAAGTTGGAATAAGTTATAAGCGAGAGAGATTGTTTGTACAGGTGCGGGCTACGCATTCCAAGTTTAAGCAAGAGAAAGGAGCGATCGAGACCGTCAAAACAAAAACAAAAAATGAACAGGCAAAGAACGATACGATTGTCAAGATATCACGTCACCAGTAGTGAAGACATTATCCATTGCTTGAATGTTCTGCATTCATTCAGCTGCAGTGATCCGGAAAAACGTCGAATCCTGCCAAGGCCCGACCCAAACACCTTGCTAACATCAGAAACGCAAACACTAGAGGCAGCTCAAAGAGCTTGCCATCATAAACTTTGTGCAGAACCTTAAGGCTCGTGCGATTGGGACTCAAGAACGTTAGGTATTCTTGGATCAAGCCACCAGTTCCTGTCCGATATGCCATCTTCCGAAGCTCTTCTGTGAGCATTCTGACCAACATACAGACAGGAGTGTAACATGCACTTGGGCGATATCCATCTATCCTCGTATTTTCGTATCAAGAAAATTACCCAAGTGCAGGAGCGTCTACAGTCGTAGTAAAAAGTCTGCTGCCGTTCATCAAACCCCAACCATGCCAGGGCCGTAGCTGTTTTGGCGCATGGGGCCGGAAGGAGTTTGGAAGGAATGAGGACCAGTCTTTTTCGTTCTTGTTAGCTATGAATCTTGCGCATGCGTGTATAGCAAGCTACCAACCTTCTTGGGTCGTTTACGGCCACCTCTGTCTTCTCCATCTCCGGTAGAGTATCCCACGTCATGATTGTCATCGTCAACATAGCCCTCACCATAGCCTTCGTAACTTGCATCACCATAGGATCGTTTCTTCACATTACGCTTGGGACGGGGAATGTCTGCCTTGCCTGCCCTGGCGGCCACTGCAGCATGCGGAATCGGCGTCCTGTTCCCACTATGGAGACCCTTTGCGGGTTCGGGCAGTTGAGATGGGGCCGCCACCTCGCCGAGTATCGCAGGATTCCACGCAGCCTTTGGTATCTTCCCTCTTGCCATCGTCAAAGCTTTGCCCATGCTAGTATTCATTGCGTCTGAAAAACTTTTGTCCATCTCGTGCCCCCGAACCATTTCAGAGTCCCATTGTTCTTCAGACTGTGCCAACATGGCGGACAGCGTACCTGGAGCGCTCACTTCTTTCTTGTCCACTTGCGGGTCGCCACTCAGTTCTAGAGCTTTGAAGAAGTTCTTATAGGTCTTGCGCAAAGCATTCTTCTCTCCATTTGGCTTCTGCCTTGCAACGGACTTGGCGATGCTTTCTAGCGAGTAGCGCTCAAAGAGATCTTGAGATAGTAAGGGTGTTTGGCCAGGGTGTGCTGCACATTAGATTGCATGTTAACCAAGGTGCATCTGTAAAATTAATTGCAGGGGACTTGATGGGAGGAACTTCTCTATACAACTACCAGTGGAAGAAGTGAAAGATCTCTTAATAAGAAGGGAAGCCTTACGAGTTCTGCAGAGAAGGTATTTTTCGCCGACATCCAAATGGAGGTCTTCGATACTGAGTCTGCTATCCTCGACGTGAGCTTTCTTCTGGTCCCGCTCTCCGTGATCTTCTACGTCACGCTTGCGCTTGTTCGAGGGTTCATCACGCATGTTTGCCTCGACGATCTGAGGCTCTAAAGATGACATGCTGCCGTTGATGCTGTGTGCGGGTGTGGGAAGGGAGTTGGTGAAGTGGGGCGAGGTGCTTGGTTTTCGAGGCAGGTCGGAGGGACCGAAAGAGGAATGAGAGGGACTTTCGGGTGTCTGTGGGTGATCAGAAGGCATGTCGATTGTGAATTCGTGGCTCATAAATCCTTTGAGGGAGGTTGTGTTGGTTATAAAGGGTCTCGAGGATGCTTTTGTTTCCTGCGGCGGAAGGTGGTGAAATGATCGTAAGATTCGAACAATTGATGTTTGGTTTGTCAAAATGCGCCGTTATCCGTCTCAAAACGAGAGGGGGATCGAGTAGTATGTACGGGAATTGAAGTGCGACTCGCGGAACGAAGGAAATGGGCTCGTGAGATGCGGTGTTTGTGCTTGTTCTTGACGACGGGCTGGAAGAAGAGCGGGCAAAGGGTCGGCGGGCAGGAGATGAGAGTTCACGACGAACCGGTCGCAAGGCCTACGCAGCGCACACCAGAGCGATCTACCATCAGCCAGCCTTGTATGTGTATATGTATGTGTATGATACAGTATCGTGATGTGTATTCAACGGCGGCGAGAGAGAGTTGGTGTATATGTCTGTGGTCGTCGTTGGGTTGGTTGCTGTTGCTAGTCGATGGAGGTCGAGAGCGTTCAGCGCTGGGATGGATCCATGAAGCGGCCTTTGACGCTGGCGAGTGCGCTAATCCACTTATGATTCTAAAAGCCCGTGTCACGTGCCGTAAATTCTATCACGGACTTTTTTATATTTTTATTTTATTTCAATCATCGAGCTCCCGCAGCAAACAGGAAAATCAACTCCGCGAAAATGGCTGATTCACGAAAAAGACAACGTCTCTCTGAGGATGTCTCTGATGCCCCGGAATTAGCACCAGCAGTCTCCGAAAATGATCCAGACCGGCCCTCCAAGAAAGCAAGAAAAGAAACAAATGCTTCTGCTCGCCGCACGCTTTTCGTTCGCTCCCTCCCCGCCATAGCCACCAGCGACAAATTGACCGAATTGTTCTCTCAAAGCTACCCCCTCAAACATGCGACTGTGGTTATGGACACTGAGACCAAGCAGTCAAAGGGCTATGGATTCGTTACATTCGCAGATGCAGAAGATGCTCAACGAGCAGTGGATGAATTCAATGGCCATAAATTCTTGGGTCGAAACATGCGCATTGAAATTGCGCAGCCACGGTCTCGCGAAGTTACCAAGGATGGGGCGTTGGGCGGAAAGAAAAAGAGTACAATCTCTGCAGAGGCAGCTGCAATTAAAAAGGCCCGTTTGGAGGAGATGGCGGAGGCTCGAAAATCACCCAAGCTGATCATTCGAAATCTTCCCTGGAGTATCAAGACAACCGAGCAATTGGCGGAACTGTTCAAGAAATTTGGCAAAGTCAAGCACTCTACACTTCCCAAAGTTAAGGATACACAGGCTGGGTTTGGTTTTGTGGTTATGCGGGGCAAGAAAAATGCAGAAAAGGCCTTGGCTGCAGTCAATGGAATCACAGTAGATGGAAGAATGCTGGCGGTTGATTGGGCTGTAGAGAAGGAGGCTTGGGAGAAGCAAAAGAAAGATGCCGACTCCGATGCGAAGGATGAGAGCGATGATGGTGGAGCGACAGTGGCAGATGAGGAGCCCAAATCCGAAAACGAGGAAGACGATGTTGCAAACTTCTTCAAGAATTTTGGTGATCAACTAGAGTCAGAAGATGAGGAGGAAGCCGAGCAGATTGACCTTTCCGACGAAGAGGACTCTGATATTGTAGAAAAGGACAACGAAGAGAGCGACGTTGAAAGTTCAGAATCCGATGAAGAGCCAGAAGACATAAAACCACAAAAGGTCCTCATAAACGACAATTCCACCACCCTTTTCATCCGCAATCTACCCTTCACAACCCTCGACGCCGACCTAAAAGAACACTTCAACCAATTCGGCCCAGTGCGCTACGCTCGCGTCGTGATGGACCGCGCAACCGCCCGTCCAAAAGGCACAGGCTTCGTCTGTTTCTTCAAAGTCGAAGACGCAGATTCCTGTTTCCGCAACGCACCTCGTGGTGCCCCCAGCGGCGCAAACGCCATCAATGCCGCCGTTTCTAAAGTCAAGCATTCTCTCCTCGAAGACGAGAATGCCGACTCAGCTGGGATGTACACGATCGACGGCCGTGTGATGCAAATTTCAAAGGCAGTGGAGAAGGAAACTGCTGTCAAGTTGACGGAACAGGGGACGAGCTTTAGGGATGACCGCGATAAAGATAAGCGCAAGCTTTACCTACTGTCAGAAGGAACTGTCGCTGCTGGTACCGCACTGTATGAAATGCTTGCACCGTCTGAAATCAAGTTGCGAGAAGACAGTGCTACGCAGCGTAAGAAGCTGATTCAAAACAACCCCACGCTCCATCTCTCCTTAACCCGTCTCTCGATCCGCAATCTACCTAAAAACATCAACTCCAAGGACCTCAAAGCTCTCGCAAGAGAAGCTGCAGTCGGATTCGCGAAAGATGTCAAAGCTGGTCTACGAGCTCAGCTTTCAAAGGAGGAAGAGTCTCGTGGCGGTGATGAGATGCGGGAGGCTGAGAAACAGAGAAAGCTCAAGGGCAAAGGAATAGTTCGCCAGGCTAAGATTGTGTTTGAGGGCCGCGAGGGAGCCAAGGTTTCCGAGGAAAGTGGTGCGGGACGCAGTCGTGGATATGGATTCGTGGAATATAGTTCTCACCGCTGGGCACTCATGGGGTTGCGATGGCTCAATGGTCATGCGGTGGAAAATTCCAGTGGGAAGAAACAGCGTCTCATCACTGAGTTCGCTATTGAGAACGCACAGGTTGTGTCAAGACGTAAGGAGCGCGAGGAGAAGGCCAGGGTCAGGTCCAAGGAAGTTTTAGACGCACGTGAAAAGGGCGATGCGCCCGCTAAGGAGAAGATCGCGCCGAGGAAAGACACGACCATGGCTAAGACGCGGAAGGGGATGAAGGGCAAGAAGGGCCGTCCTGAACCAAAGCCCGAGAAATCTTTTGACAAGGTCTTGCCAAAGAGAAAGCGTGAAGATGATGCTCCTACTCCTGCTTCTAGCAAGAAGTCCAAGAAAGGTGTAGCTTCGAGGACGGCATCACCCCCGCGCGATGACGCGAAGGTGTCGAAGCGTGGGTCGATTATTCAGAAGAAGCGGATGCTGAGGAAAAAGAGGCAGCAGGGACATGCATGATGTTATTGTATGAGATACCACTACTTTTGCTATTGATCTTAATATCAAAATATGTTTTGGCTACCTTTCTCGTTCATTGTGACCTTGTCGAGTTTGCACCCCTTTCTCATTTCTCACTCCTTTCCTATCCACAAACTCGAACCACGCTAAGCATATACTTTTATTAACTTTGCTTTTTAACCACCTTCAGACATTCCAATAAAGCCAGAACCAGATTCCCACATGAGAAGAGCCTCGCAGCTCAAACACGGACTACTCGTACATATCTAGCAATACCCCTCTTTTTCCTTGTCAAGGGACGAAGGATTTCCAAACATGAAAAACGATTATCCCGAAAGTGGTACCCCTTAAAACTAGAAGATCGAAATAGAGCTAAGAGTGAAAGTATTCTTATTAAGAGAAAAGCAACGAAGATATATTAGGTTGTGGGAGCAATCCTTTTAGCGTCTTGCAGAGGAGTAAGTGAGTGTTCCGTCTCATTAAGCGAGTCATTTAGGGGTAAAGCTTTAAGATTTTCTTTCTTGCCATCTTTAATATTTACCACGGAGCCTATTAAACCAAACCTCCGCCCTCACCCTTTACAAGACCCCGAAAGTTCAAGGCAAACAGTGGGACGTTCTGAATTGGAAGCAAGTATTCAGCTACCTTATGTTCATTCTACTCGAGGACGCCCTCAGAAGCTAAATACATAGGAATCTATGCAGCCGAACTAGTTTCATGCGCATATATATCATGCATAGCACCTTCTATTCGAATCACTTTGAGTGACTTTCCCGATCCTTCAACCCTTCCCGCACCTTTGGCAGCACATAACGTCCATAATCAATTGCATCATTGAGGTTATCGTACCCTCGAATCGAGATTAATTCTGCTCCAAGATCAACATAATCAAGGATCGAATCCACAATCGTCTGTGGAGATCCAACCAGAGCAGTGGATGCGCCACGGGCATTGGTCGCGGTGACAGTAGGATACCAAAGAGCCCGATCTTGGACCTCTCCACGAGAAGCGATTTCAAGCAAGCGTTGGGAGCCCACGTTTTGCGGCTGGGGAGCGGCTTTGTCGAGGGTATCTGCTGGTGTCTTGGCCACTCCATTCGTTGGCTTTCCCCCTTTCAGAGCGTCTAAAGTACGGTGGGCTTTAGCCCAAGCCAACTCTTCGGTTTCCGCGACAATAGGACGGAACGTCACCCAAATTCGTGGGCGGTCGTTATCCGCTCGACCTGCTTTCTTGGCCTCTGCGTAAATGCGATCAATTTGCTCCTTGGTTTCCTTCAGAGGTTCTCCCCAGAGTCCAAAAATATCGGCAAGTGAGCCACCAATACGATATGCTTCGTCGGACGACCCGCCAACCGATACGGGAATTGTGCCATTGACAGGACGGACCTGGTTGGTGAACTGCTTGAATTGGAAGTACTTTCCATCCCAGTCAAATGGATCGGCGGATTGCCATGCTCGGCGAAGAATCTTGATATATTCTTCGAGCCTCCCATAACGCTCTTCCTTGTTCAGGAAATCGCCCTCTTTCGCCTGCTCGGCATCGCTGCCACCGGCGATGAAATGCACAACAGCGCGGCCTCGACTCAGTTGGTCAAGTGTTGCCAAAGCCTTTGCGGCGACAGTTGGAGGAAGTGTGTTTGGTCTAAGCGCAATGATGATTTTGAGGTTCTTGGTCACGGCAGCGATGGTTGCGCCGATGGTGAATGGGTCATATGAGGATGAGCCATACGGTACGAGCGTGTAGTTGAACTCATAGTCGTCAAGTGATCTCGCATAGCGGGTGAGGTAATCAGGGTCGATACCAGCATCCGGAATGGGAACCAGTTCAGTAGATGCGTTTGGGAACGTGACGCTAATAAATTCTGTAGGCATGATGATTGATTTCTGGCAAGTTTTCTGTATATTGATGCAAAGCAAATGTTAAGGAAACGCATTTTATTAATTGATTTATAAAGCTTTGTTATGTTGCTGATAACGACAACTGCGGGAAAATCACGCCTTATGATGTGGGCCAATAGGCCGAAGGTGCCACCGTTTTATGGAAACACCAGAAATGTTATCACAGCTTACTAATACAAGGAAAATAGACTATAAGATTATCAGTAGTAAATAACTATTAGAGGTATAGTACCAAGTATTAGGTGTTTAGTTAAAAAGAAGTCGAACTTTCAGAGAGCTAAGTAGCTAATATACACCTTTACGTATAACCTCAATCTCGAAAACCTTCGTCGAACTGATTGGACGTCTTGTTCTTGGCCAGGATAACAATAAGCTGCCATTGTCTGGAGATTCATCAAAGGCCAGGGCTCATGAGGGTACGTCTGAGATGAGGGCAGAAGTTGTCTAAACTTCGACATTATGACTATAAGCTTTATACCTTACACTTTCAATCACCCCCCTTTCCGAGCTCGCTTAATTTCAAGACGTCCTACAAGTAGACATTCATTTCGAGTCAATGATGCTCTTTTATGGCACACCTAGTGAATCTGTGTGAACGAGCCGCACAACTACTACCTTTGAGTCACCAAGTCCCATGAATCAAGATAGAGACTTACCTACAACTGAGAGCATATCAAGCGCGCTACAGCTCTTCCATCTTACAACTACTGCCCATCGATATATTCTCCTCGCATTTCATAATGTCACTTCCAAAGCCAGAATCGAACGAAACCGCGACTAGCATGATGCAACCCCCTTCAATTACCGAGAAGCCGCTTGGGGGCCTCTCCGATATTCTCCTGCAGTTTATCGACACTGCAAGTCTGAACACCGCGTACACGCAACGCAGCCACAAGCACACCTCTCTGTAAGTAATTTCAACCTCCACCTGCAAGCCTACCTTTCACATCTCCTTCCTGATCTAACTTTCCAAATTCCATGACAGTCTAAACGCCTACGTCGTCGCCGTCTTCCTCCAAGGCTCAATCGTCGAGAACATCTCGCCTTTAAAACGCAATGCCGGGCTCCGCGACCTCTCCCAGAAACTGCATATCTGGCCCGGGGACATTGCCATGGATCTACGACGCGATGCACTGAAATCGATCGAGCTGCTCGAGAAATATGTCAAGGAGAGCTTGGCGTCCGAGATACGCTATGTGGAGGGCGTAGCTGTGCAGGGTCCAGATACGCCTGTGGGATACAAGGAGATACAGATTCCGAGGTTGGCATTGCTGAGACATGAAGCGGTGGTGGCTTTGGAGGGGTTGATTGGCAAGACGAGAGAGAAGATCAGGGAGGCTGATTGGGACTTCGCTGCTGGTGGGTTGGATCTGAATGATTTGGTGCCGTATATTCCGTTCTTCAACGTAAGTAAGGACGCGTCGGGGGTCGTGAGAGCTAAGAATAATGATCCGGCTAAGATGGGTCAGGTTGTGCAGAAATCTGGTCTGACACCGGCACGCGCAGATGCGGTCAAGGCCGTTGAGGATTATCGACAACAAGTCAGCGTCTCTACAGAGCGAATCTTGCAATATCTGAATGGCTCTGATAAGTCGCACAAGGACTTGAGAACGAATTTTGGCAAACTCTCGGAAATACAAGCGGCGCATGAGTTAATAACGACCAAGTTGGCCCAGCTGCTCGAGGCAGAGAGCAGTACAGATGAGGGGACTAAGGACATGAGGTAGGCATGTAATTTGCGGTTGAAGTAGGAGTTAGGATAGTATCTCTGTAGCCTGCGATATAATACCAGACCTTGCTTTACATACAACTCGTAGGTATCGCCGCTTTGCTTAGGTGAAATAAGAGATCCCTGATGCTAGACGCTCATAATCTCTCGGACACCCTCAACGATATCCTCTATGATTTCCTCAACATTTCCTTCAACATTGACTCTCAACACAATTTCCTCGTCCAAGGATGCACCGACCGCCGTTCGGGGAGCACCGAAAGAGCCAAGTGCCGCAAAAGATGTCATGGTCCTCGGATCCAGGGGCTTCAACACAGGCAGCTCCTCATCTCCATCCTCGTGCAACGGGACATAAATAACGCCGATGCTGTATTCGCCCACAGCCTTCCTGATAGAGTCCTTGTGCCACTGCTCCAACTCAGGGTGAGTGACAACCATCAAAGCAGGGTTCGCCTTGCGCAGTTTCTCGTCCTCGGGAAGGGCGAACACGGAAGGCTTGTTGATATACTTTGTGGTGGGTGGAGCGGCAGACATGATGCTACTCGCGATGCTCGATGTCGAGACAGCTGTATCTGACAGTTCCGATGCGATGGAACTGCTGGACCCTCGCCGGCTCGTCGAGGTCGACGATGATGCTCCACCGAAGCCCGTGAACCCGGAGGTGGCCGACCGAGACTCATCTGGGAAGAGGAGGCCGGTTCTCGTCATCTTCGAGAGCCACATGCGCTGGTAACGCGCTTCGTTTGCGCCAGATGTAGCAGTCTCCTCAGCAGCATCGGCGCCTGCAGTTCGTCTCGACGCTCCCACACTGGCAGCTTTGGCACTGGTTTCATGCAGGCTATCGCCTTGAAAGAGGGGGCAGGATAAAGCACTGGCCACCGATTTGGCTATTTGCACTTTGCCTGCCACGGCTGTTGAAGCTATGATGAGGATTATGTATTTTGACGGTTTCGTGTTCACCTCGGAAGAGGGGTCAGGCTTATCGGGTAGACGATGAAGCATTGCCTGGGGCGTCTGTGGTCGCGTTGGGTAGTCGGACATTGTGGAAGAGAGTTAAGCCGGCTTCGTAAAACAATGATTGTCCTTTGGCTTTCACTATACCTTTGTAAGTTGTAATCTGGTGAAATATGAGGTTATTCATTCCAGTGCAGTATCGGATACGGATATGAACGAACCCCGCTCCCGAAACGATCTTACGTACAGTAATGTAGTATATTTGACGAGAAGTGAGAATAGACTATGATTATATACCAAGATATATACTCGAGAAATCAATGGAGCTGCTTTAATAACAGTTTCTAATGATCCAAGGACAGTGAGAGCAATTTTAAGGTAAAATTAGTCGTAATAGTAATAGCCCTGGAAAGGGTGTTCGTATATAAACTTACCTTTCAGAGTAAATTGTTTAATCCGGAGTCTTGTCAAGAGGGCTACTTGCATATACTATACTATAAGGTTCCTGTAGATTCTTGAGCCTAGAGTGTACTGCGTTTTGAACATCCAACCTTTCATACTCCATAGAAGACCCCTCAAAAGCCCATTCCATCGCCCATATCCCCGCCTGTCCCAAAACTATCCAAAAGACCCCCACTATGTCCATCACCCATAAGCCCACTCATCAGATCATTTTCGCCTCCCAAGCCATCACCCAATCCGTTCCCTAACCCATCTCCACCTAGCCCAACATTCGCCATGGCCCCATCGACATCAAGGGCCCCCGAATCAAGCGCCTGGTCCAGATCCCCAAGCGCATCGTGCGGCATGAGCGTCTGCTGCCGCATTGGCATCACGAGCTGCGCTTCCACTTTCCTATACAACCTAACCACATTCTCCGCGTGCACCGCATCAGTCTTGCTAACCCTCGGAGCATTCTCTGCCTCATTCTTCAGCGCCTCCCTCAAATTCAAGCGCCGTTGCAGCGGTTGGCCCATCCCATCCAGGCCCGCATTATCCCAACTCCCAGCCTCAGGAGCGCAGATTAGCGCTGCCGCGACGTCGATAACCACGCTTCCGTTGCCGGTCTCGGTTTGCGATTTTACTTCACCGATGATGGTGCTTAGGAGACGTTTGGCGCCTAGGATTTTGAGAGAGACGAGGATAAGGCGGTGTGTGTAGTTTGCTGGGTTGATGTTTATGCCTGGATTTAAGCCCCATTGCACGAGGCTTTGAATGGTTTGTTTTATGGCCATTGAGAGGCCACCGCCTTGAGTGCTCGTCCATATTTCTAATTCCGTGTGTTCAGACGCGCCTCTGCGTTCCCAGCCTAGATTCCCGCGCAGGGCTCGCGAAAGGGGCTCGACGTCTTGACGAGAAGGCTCGGCGCGTTGGAACCAACGAAGGCTGTGCTCGAGGTTCTTGGCGATAATGTTGAGGATGCTGTTCAGCATTTGCGAAGCTTCGGTGTTGTTTGAAATAGAGGCAGGGTTTGTTATGAGTGCGGAGAGGATTTGAAGAACGGCGTTGGCGTCGCCGCGGGATTCCCAGAGATGGGTGGAGAGCCACGTTATGCCGGGGATGAGGGAGGGGAGAAGGAAGGTGTCGACAAGATATTCGAGGCCGCCTTTAAGGCCTTCATCGGAGAGGTTTTTGGTTGAGCAGGCCAGGACGATGTGGTGGAAGAGGGTGGGGACGTGGAGGTAGAAGTCTTGAGGTGGACAGGAAGACATTAGTTCATCTCCAAGACCACCGCTTTCATTATCGAAAAGTCCTTTAATCCATCCATCCAGAATGTTCTGTTCTTGCTCGGTCAAGTCATCCATGGCGCGGCTAAGATGGCCTTGGTTGAGAAGCTTCGCAACAAACGAGTCTGTAGCCCTAATACCTAGATCGACTGTCGATAGATTATAGCGATGTGTAAATGACAGCACTAGGAGAAGGATGGACCCGAATTCTTCATAGACGGGTTGGTATTCCCCTTGATCGTCATCGTACCGCCAATTATCAAGTAGATCGCATATCGGTTGCAGAATAGTAGTTGCCTTGTCGAAGAGAAGCATAACATCTAGGGACGAAGGTTTCCGGGCCAGCTGGCTGCAAAGACCCTTCAAGGACATGGTCTCCTTATTCGTGCATAATCTCCCAATTACCTCTGTGATCGCCTGGCTAACAGCACCAACATTCCCATCCATATGTTCCAGCTCATCAATCAGCCCTTCAGCACGCTCCGGATCTGACAGACATTGCTGAACCAAATCCTCTTTCACATACCGTCCACCAGCCGGCAAACTCTGCATCGGAATATCACCAAGCAGAGTTTCAATACTCGATTCCGCTATCAAGCCATGTAAGCAGCAAGAAAAGCAAAAGTCTTGCCGCACCGAGTCTGAGAACATGTTATTCGTACTCGACTCATCGAACATATTTGAAAGCGTGGGAAACGCATTCGTATCCACATGGCTCAGGGCCTCCGTGATACAGTATTCTGAGGTCAGAGGTGGAAAAAGGGACGAAGAAAGTGAAGTGAGTAGTAATGGGATCTTGTTGATAAGAAATGAGCGAAGTATTGTAGTAGCTTGAACTCGTTCATTTCGGAAAGTAGCATTTGCTAAAAGGTCGAAAGAAGCAAGTATGAGGTCAATTATTGTTTGCTGAATATCGCCCTGTAGGTGTGAGCAGTGTATTCGGGATGAAAGCGTAAGGTCTTACCTGATATCTGTTATGTAGATATTGAAATATAGCAGTATCATCTATTAAAGGTCGCGCGACTAGCTGTATGGCAATTAGTATATATATTCCATGTCAAAAGCTCCCTTACGCCTACCAAAGAATTCAAATAAACATAGAGCCCGGCTCTCGAATTCATACTCGGCAACTCTACCACTACCATACTATCAATCCCCATGCCCTCGTCCAGCAGCTCGTCAATTTCTTTATTGGCCTCTGCATCCTTCTTATCCACCGGTTCCACAGCTACCAGCGTCTGCGTCCTAAACAGTTCCAGCCTTGCCGCACTCTGCGGACTCATATGGAGCAACAGCGGGACAAAGACTCCCAGTGTCTTTGAAAGCTCCTTTCCCATGCCTTTCGGCGCGCTCGCTTTGCCTAGTACATTGATGACTTGCGCATTTTCCACAGCCGCAACAACCAGTGTTCCAAGCGCCATGGTATGAGCATTCATCTCCTCAGTTCTGCCAGGCTCTAGCATGCCTTGGGCGACATTACTAGCTGCCAACTCTGTTTCCATCCATTGTATGCAGACGCGAATAAGCTCAACGGCTTCTTGCATCGTGCGCGGTGCTGCTGCTGAGGATATGGTTCTCGCGAGACGGTAGAAAAGCGTTTCTTCCGATGCTGTAGAATTGCTCCATCTCTGCACCTTCTTTTTCTCCCCCTCTTGTGATTCATTGTCCTGCTCTTGTACGATCTTACTGCTCGAATATCTCAATAGTGCTCTTAATAGACTCGGCACAGTGACCAGCTCCAGCGAGAGAAGGATCTGCACATAGCGGGGGATGCGGGGATCGAGGCTGGAGGTGTTGGTTTCGGTGGGACGAAGGAAGATGTCGCTGATTGGGGATGGGGGAAGAGGTTGCTTTGATGAGAGGATTTGAACGTAGCATTCGAAGGTCTCGGGGTCAAGGCGCGTCGCGAGGCTGTGGTCGAGGAAGGTTTGCCAGCTGGCTGGGGCAAACATTGTTGTAAGCAATGGCAATATACTGATGTAACGATTGTCGCTGAGTATAATATTACATGGTGGTGGGTCGAACTCCAGAAGGTAAGTGGTTGGGTTGCGGTGTGGAGGTTAGAGCATTGTGATACTGTATGAACGGATGGTTGATGCGATGTGACTGATGTGATGGCGGGAAGCGAAAGTCACAGCCTCACCGTTCAGCCCTGTGATATATTGGACGCTGATTGGATACCGGGAGTGATAGCAACAAGTTACAAGTATAACAATAACAATTATTTTATGAGACGAAACTTCAGCTGCCTTCATATTATTCTGGCTGAAGAGGTTCTGTTATCCCCATTCAGCAGAGCCCGCCAATTGCTACTACTATTCAGACAATCATAATTCATCCCACATTCCACAGAAGTCTTAGCCATATCACATTCCCAAGTGTGTAAATTATGTGTTAGTCCTAGTCTTAGTCCTGCGGCTCTCTCTTCACTCGCGGATCCCTTCCCATTGTCTCTGGTGCTCTTGGTCCCAACATCCAGTCTTGCATTGCAAGCCACTCGCTCCAAGTGGACTCTGCAGCCTGTATTTCTTTCTCTGACACATTCTGCAATGGCCGTAAGAAGGGCACCGTCTCTTCCGACGACATGTCGTATGCCTGCTTCACTTTCATCCAGTCAGCACTCTTCGCGGCGAAGAGGTAGTTCCGTCTTTCGATTTCGTGTAGTGAGCCTACGCCTCGAAGCCAATCGTCGCCAAAGAACCCATGTAATACACCTGGTGAATCGTGGCCCGTGGCTACAAGCCGCCGGAGGTATGGTATTAGAGACACAGCCTGGGGCTGAGAGGCGTTCTGTTGGTTGGCGAAGGGATTGGGTCGCAAATGCACCCCTAGCTCAGGACCTGCAGAGCGGGAAGATGAGGCGGCCGACGATGTTACTGGAAAGGCTTGTTTCTGGAAGGGCAGTTGGATGTTGATGAAGGCAGCGAGCGCCTGCACGGGTATTGTGTGCTGTGCGACGTCAAGGAAGTACCTATGGCAACTCTGAAATTGCGGGTACCATTCGATGATATCGAAAGACGGGTTTGTCGCACGGTGGTGGTTACTAGAGGGGCTGCCATAATTTGGGAACGACGAAGCTTGGAACCCCTGCGAAGTTGGGCCAGCGTGGTGGTTATTGAAAGCCATCCTACAGTTGCACAATTCCATGTCAGCAGGGAACGCCAAACCTATAAACGGGGGATTTAGGATTGTGTTGAAACGAAAAGCTGACGGCTATATCTCGAGTGAGTTATTAGTTATTAGAAAGCGCGGTACCTACACCTAATGCGCGGCGACGGTTGAATCTGCACCGCGAAGCGCGTCGACAAGAGAAGTGGTGTACGACCCGAATCCCTCTATCCTAATCCTCAGGAGGATGGAGGATAGTGATAGTGATATATAGTAACACCTAAGTGGGGATGTGACGCTTTGACTATTCACATAGTACTCCCGATTGCAAGTGCAAGTGCTATGGTGTGCTTCTTCATTCGAGGGCGGAGACGAAGACACGGGTGGATATACTCCTGCTTGCACTTTCTGGATAGACGACGAAAAGATGGGAGGACAGGGCCATGGGCAACAGGACAAGAACCCCGCGTGTGGCGGGGCTCGGTCTTTATTTATATGTACAGTATATATAGAATGCAGCTTAATCTGAGTCCTGGAGTACTGTGCGGCGGAGGGGCAGAATAGAGAAAAAAGTATCAGTCAGTTCTCAAGTGCATGGTTGCATCTGTCCTTTGGAAATGGAAAATGTGAGTGGATGACAGGAGGGGGAGGGGCAACTGGGGCCAGCAGCAAAAAGGAGCTTGTCTCGGTAGAGTAGCGAATGCCTAATGGTTGTGGTGCAGCCAAACTCTTGAGTGCCCACAATTAGCACTATTTCCGCCGCCGGTTCAGGGCAAGAGGGTCCAGCTGCAAGTATCACCACATCCTGCCCCAGCTACTGTATCCCAGCTATCTATCCTAGCTATACCATGTGAGCAGTGCTGGCTGGGCTGGGCTGGCTAGCTGTTCGTGGCTTCCTCAATGTCAGGGTTATGCTACCGCTGTACAGGCACAAATGAAGCATCATCCCCTATCGATAGATAGCCTTATGTTTCATTGTTACAGCAATTGATTTATTTCTCACTTCCGGCTAGACTTTCCCTCCTGTTTCCTCACTACATCTATCTACATCCTGTCCACGTATGGCAAAGCACTACCCCTTTTAGGCAATAATCAATTATTCGACTTCTCGAGGCTTCCTTCCTTCCTTTCTCCTTCCTTTCCAGACCAATAAAGTCTGAGCTTCCCCTCTTTCGGAGTCTTTCCTTCTCCTGCACCACGCTTTTGTGCCCAATCTTCGACAATCGAGCTTCCAAATCCAGCATTGCTTCCGGATGGCAACAGAACATCGTCACCTCTTGCAAGTGCGCTGTCTTCTCGGGTTCGGGCATGCTGCACGAGTACAACTCGTATCCGCTTTCCAAGTTGCTGGGCCCTGGTGGACCAGTATATATTTTATTCTCTAGATAGAGTCGAATATACCAGTAGTGCCAACACCCCTGTGTTCTGCGACCAGCCGTCACGCCACAGCTGCATCATTCGGCCCACTGATACGGAGACGATTCTCGTATCATCGTTCTCCCCATCGGATCCCAGAGCAGAGCCCGAGGAACATTGGACGACGACGCCAAAAGCAAGGTGTCGTGCAATGACCCAGAACCTTGGGGGTGGGGCGGCTCAAACCCTAAGTCCCTGCCGATATGTTGTGCAGCATCGACTTGCATTCAGCTCAATCATAGGTCAGAGTTGACGTCGTCGAGATTGAGATCTCTGACCCCTCCCAGTTGAGTTTCTTTTTCAAAATTGTTAACACTTGATGTTACACAGGATCTACTAAGTGGGATTTAATCCCGGCAGGTCAGGGTGTCAGCCTTGGATCAACCTCCTCAGCGGGTGACGAGCGCGGAACCGCCCGAGATGCCGATGTTGACAAGTCATATTATATCAAACCAAGCATGTCATAGCTAAGCCTTACTCAAAGTTTCATTCTTCCGAAACCGCTGTCCATTATCTTCTTCTCCTGAAGACATTTGTATTGGACCGAGGTATCTACGGCCACAATGAGCAAACATTTTCTATCAAAAGCGGATTCCCTGCCGCATTTGAACATGCATATTTTTCATCTGTCCATTCCTGTTAGAACTCTCAACAAGCAGAACGAGAAATCCGATTTGATCCTGTCTTGCTTCTTGTACCTATCAAAGCTTGGCACATTATATCGCCTTTTCCCTGCTACTTCCCTTCTAGAAAACTAGTCTTGCAGACCGGAAGCTCCGTCCAACTTCATTTCCCGGATAGAAAGACGCAAATCTCTACTATCGAATTCTGAATGAGGTTTCCGGGTTTTCTTCTGGTACGACTTCCCCTCTATTCGTCTATCTTACTACGTAAGATTGTGAACGAAGAAAGATCGCCGTTGGTGCTACGTGCTAGTATCAAGACAGAAGTGGCATAATTGTGTACCGCACGAAGTACTTTCCAATGAAGGGACTCACACTGAGTGATATCGAATTCCTCCCCGCCTCACTTTCCCCGCCTTGATACTTGCTTACCGAAATTGCTTTTATGACCACGTTGGGGGTGTACAGATTGCGTTGTTCCTTGCTTCTTTCCAGTAATTGCAACTGCATGCCCGATTTCCAAATACTGGGTTGATGGTACTGATGTTGTGCTTTCCGCACTCCCCAAAGTCGTCTTGCATATCAAGTACACCTGCAACAAAGGTCCCTTAAAGCCTCACTTTCTCGGGTCAACGGGTTTCGACAAGCATTTTGCAAATATAAGTTACTTGGCATTATTTGTATAACTCCACTAATAACTGAGAATATCCCGAGACCCGGCTATATATCAACACCAATGCAGACTAAAGGAACTAAAGGTTCAAGCTCGAACTACTAAAAATGTTAGCGGTCAGTTACTCGACCCGACCAATCAGTGCCACCTACGGGCTACTATCTTTGGCTCTAATTTACCTCCTCCGAGCTCCTCAAGCTAAATCAAACTACCATTTTCTGTCAACCATACAAAAGTTACAAACCCGTTGGGAAACTCTATGCAGACATGGCTTGGAGTTGCTCAGCGCTCACCGCACCCGGAACACCTTCTATAATTCATATCCTTCCAATTAGCTTACCCCGCCAGAATTTATTGCCAAATAATATGGTCTGTCAATCTTGTACTTGGCAATTCTAAACGGCCTGAAACCCGGTTTAGTGGCAAACCAGTTGCGCAAACAGCCCGTTGTAGGTGTCGCATGGCTGGCTGAATGCACATGTTATTCCGCCACACAGCTATTCCCCTTTGTTTAGAACCATTAGTCATTTGTTCGGCGTTTTCTCGGGAAGTATAAAATTTTCAATATTTTACAGGCATATAGAAGTACCTGCGGAGAGATAAGCTTTTAGACCTTGCATAGCTGAGGTGGCGTGGCGTATGCGGGGTTGCAATGAAGTCGCGGTCGCACCTATAATAACTGCGGTAAAAACCCAGCTCCGTCGGTGGGAATGCTTATTTGGGAAAGCCATCAATTTTGAATACTTGATAACTTGATCAGACAGAAGTTCTAGTATAGTGAGTTGCTTGGGAGAATTATGTTTTAAAATCAAACACTATCAATGTTCTTCCCACTTGAGTCTGCAATAATTGCTGAGAACAAAAATCCACAAAACGTGTATGCCGGCTTCTTAACTTTCTTAGATTCGTATTCGTATATCATTGCATCATAAAGATATTACTGCCAATATGTATTTATTCTACAAGGGGGGTTCTTGTTTTTTTTTAATCAAAATCCCAGAGTTGTGAAAGTGCAAATAACTTGACTCAAATTTAACTTTCAGGAAATCAGGGATTTTCTCTTATCATATTAATGGACTGCAAAGAGGGTGAAGCGAGATCACCATATATAGTATGCAGTCCAATGCTCACTTCGAAACGGCGGTGGGCTTGCGCGCTTATGCAGTATAATCTCAGCCTTTTTAGTTGAACTAAATCCTACCAGCATTTGCCAAATAGCACTTGGTGCACCGCGCGGCTGGAGAAGTTTCCGAGGCCAATACTGCACAACATGAATCCAGACCTGTCGGAATTGACGTGCAGGTTCAGGGACACTCAGACAATCAACATGCGTACAACGTCAACGAGGTCGCCGAGTCGCCGACCTAAGGAATAGTAAATCAACGTTTCTAACATAATCCATTCCGTTTCTTCATTTCCCTGGCCTCGAGAACCATGGTTTTTATAGTGCGTCGTCTATCGTAATCTCATAGCGGAAAGCAAAGCTCATGCTAAAGAACGGGAAGCTACCTAGGTACGCGTGGCTTATTGAGGATTTCGGACATGTCCTTCTCTTACGGGGAATAATAGTTCATTTGCAGGGAAATCGCATTGATTGAGCTTCTAATGACTATCCTAGTTGATCTTGGAGAATCAGATTTGTGTCATCCAAGTCAAATCAGTTGAGTAGCGAAAATCAACCCGAGAGAAGAATATGAAGCCGGGGAGCAGATTGATGATTTTAGTCTAATAATTAAGCATTAATTTAGTGATTTAGAAGAAAGCTTGATGTATATCTAAAAGTGAGGGGTTATAAATAGGTGGGATTTCATTTACTTCTATACGTGTAATAACTTTCAGCATGCGAGTATGATTTTCCTTCCGTCACTTACCTTATTCTGATGGTAGTAAGTACCGCTTCTTTTTTTCTAGCATGAAGAGCATAAAAAGTTTAATGGCTTATGATTGGGCCGTAAAACACCATACTATAGGAGAGGAGTTAACGCCAATCTCACTGCGGGGTACTAGCGGGGTAGATTGTTACTGACAGGAGATACTGAGAGTTCACCAAGAGTTGGACTTTCACAAATGAAGAGAAGGGCATGTCAATTATTGCAAAACATACAGCCCCTTGCTGTCAATTTAAAGTGTTCTATCTCGTTCTCAATATGTAAAGGAGTATTAATTCGTGGGATAGTAGCAAGCATACAGCCGATATGTCTGTCCTACGTGGAGTTATTCCCGGCGGGGTAGCCGATGGCCTCGGAACCCCACGATAGAAGTATTATATCTGTACTTCCATCATTTGACGTTTCATCCTCTCTAATTATTCCATGTCGGTCAAGTGAAGGATGAAACTGTTTATAACAAATCGCGGGAAACTCCTCAGTCGGAATTTTCGAAGTCGTGGGGCAGCGACAAAGAGAAGGAATTTCGTCACCCAGACATCAAGGAGGGCTACGACGGCGGCTGGTGGAGTTTTGAATTATCCAGTAATCGACCATCATTACGAGTAAGTATCCTCGTGCATAACGGAGATTTGTGGTTCTAATTAGAGCAGTGCTATTGTTGTCGGAGCTGGAGGTGCTGGCCTGCGAGCCGCGGTTGGACTTGCAGAATCAGGTCTGGAGACTGCTTGTATAAGCAAGCTGGTAAGTTTTTAAGATTCTTGAATTCAAGTCCAAAGTGTACCACATGGCCTCATCACTGATTCTACCTTAGTTCCCTACTCGTTCTCACACTGTAGCTGCGCAGGGTGGCATAAACGCTGCTCTGGGTAATATGACTAAGGGTAAGTGAACGTTGACGCCTTGAATACGAGTTCTTATTTCTGAGCTGCCAACAGATGACTGGAGATGGCACATGTATGACACTGTCAAAGGAAGTGACTGGCTCGGAGACCAAGATGCAATCCACTATATGACTCGAGAAGCACCAAAAGCGGTATACGAGCTGGAGAATTACGGGATGCCATTTTCCAGAACGAGCGAAGGAACGATTTACCAAAGAGCTCTCGGTGGCCAGTCCTTGGAGTATGGCAATGGGGGCCAAGCATATCGAACTGCTTGCGCGGAAGATAGAACTGGACATGCTATGCTTCATACACTCTATGGCCAGAGCTTGAAGCATAATACCAATTTCTTCATCGAGTATTTTGCTCTTGATCTGTTGATGGTGGACGGAAAGTGTGCTGGGGTCATCTGCTTGAGCATGGAAGATGGCACTATCCATAGAATGTTTGCTCGAAACACGGTCTTGGCCACTGGCGGGTTCGGTAGAGCTTATTTCTCGTGTACGTCTGCTCATACGTCGACTGGTGACGGTAATGCTATGGTAGCAAGAGCTGGATTGCCAAATCAGGACATGGAATTCGTGCAGTTTCACCCTTCTGGCATTTACGGTGCAGGAGTGCTAATCACCGAAGGCGCCAGAGGCGAGGGTGGGTATTTGCTCAATGGGAATGGCGAGAGATTCATGGAACGGTACGCTCCCACTGCGAAGGATCTAGCTTCAAGAGATGTTGTATCGAGGTCCATGAATCTAGAAATCAAGGAAGGAAGAGGATGTGGACCTGAAAAGGATCACATCTACCTCCAGCTATCACATCTCCCACCTGAAGTGATCCATGAACGGTTACCGGGAATTGCAGAAACGGCCAACATCTTCTCGGGAATCGATATCACAAAACAGCCCATCCCTGTTCTCCCGACTGTACATTATTGCATGGGAGGAGTCCCAACCAATTATAGGGGGCAAGTCATTTCAGTAGCTGATGATGGAAAAGAGACTATTGTTGAAGGCCTCTACGCAGCAGGCGAGTCGGCTTGCGTTTCTGTCCACGGCGCAAATCGACTAGGAGCAAATTCGTTACTAGATATCGTTGTGTTTGGCAGGGCATCTGCACTTCACATTGCAGAGAACAACAATAAAGGAGCTCCTCATCTCAAGGTCTCAGAAGACATTGGCCATAACTCGCTAGCTGATCTTGAGAGAATACGGACTGCGTCTGGAGATGTCCCCAGTGCAAAGTTACGCCTTGATATGCAGAAGGCTATGCAAACCGACGTTGCAGTGTTCAGGACCGAAAAGTCGCTATCGGCTGGACACTCGGCAGTCCAGCAAGTGGAGAAAAATTTCCAAAACCGCTTAGGCATACGAGATCGGAGTCTGATCTGGAATAGTGATTTGGTCGAAACATTGGAGATGAGGAATTTGTTGACATGTGCTAGTCAGACAGCAAAGAGCGCCTTGGTCAGGAGAGAGAGTCGGGGTAGTCATGCGAGAGAAGACTTTCCTGAACGACTTGATGCTGAGTGGATGAAGCATACGTTGAGTTGGCAAAAGGAGGGAGAGGATGTGAAGATAGGCTATAGGAATGTAGTGTTGTCGACCCTGGATGAGAATGAATGCGCAAGTGTGCCTCCGAAGAAAAGGTCTTACTAGACTTTGATTCATGCTAACTTAGCAATAAGCCATAATAACAACTCTTTGGCAGTAAGTATTCTTCAAAATAGTCACAGTAGTACGTTTCTATTCTGTCTCCAGTCTATAAAGCAAGCGAGGGAATGGAAGTTTCTGATAAAATAACGTCTAATAGCTATATGTCAAGCATTGTATTCCGAGCTTATCATGCTACCAGGTAGATATTATATTTAAGAATCCATAAATTTCGAAATAGGGAAGTCCAAAAGGCATATAGCCAATTATATGTAAGTGACGGACGGCAAGGCGTTATTATCAATGATTGATTGCTGTCAATTCAAATTCTACGGTCAAGTAATATTAGACAATAACACATATTAACAGTGAAAGTGAAAGCCTAAAAGAGAATGAATCCCATCTAAATCATTCATTCATACATCAAATTCCAAAGCCAAGGTCCACTATAACCATTACTGACCGGTACATATTCCTAAACAAGCCCAAGACCTCCAGGCTCCATCAAGAAAGCAGGTGCTAGGAAGAGAAGAGAGCCTATGTTTCCTGCGCACTATATTGAGAGAATTTTGCCTTGATTGCCGAAAGTTGAATAGCAATTCAACTAACTATCAGAACAACATATCCAGAAACCAAGAAGCGATTGCTGGGTTTCAAAAACCTACCTACTTACATAGCAGTTCAGTCCAATTCTGCAGGTAGTGATTTCACTCCTCCCATATATATCATACCAGCCATACCCCATCGTATCCCGACAAGTTCAACCGCATTTCCCTAGGGAGTACCAGTATATGAGGAAGGTTTGCTGAGAATAGCTATTAGATATACAAGTGGGAATGGCAAATGGATTTATAAGATAAAGTTGAGGAAGATGTTAAGGATGCGGACGGATGTGATAGTAGGGAATAAGGGATGTGTTGTAACTTGATTTGCTGTCAAGGAAATAACTGTTGTCGATGCTCGTTCGTTCGTTCGTTCGTTTAAGAAATACTAGTGGGCGAGTAGAAGCAATATAACACCATGCAGATCCCCGTGGAATAGTTGCGAATCTTCATCGCCAATAGTTAGTCTAGAGAGTAGACCGCAAGACCGTGACTTGGCAACGCTATGTCGCTGCTTTCAGCACCGAAGTAGATCCCGGTCGCGAGAGATGTGGTAATATACTAACCTGTACGAATAGGGGCGCTGTGCATAATTGTTTGCACCATATGGACTTTGTCGGCTGTATGAATCATGAACATTGCCCCTCGAGTGTTTCTTTCGTTGTCTTTTTCTTCCAAATGCTCCTCGCTTATTCAAATCCAAGTCCAAACCCAGATTTTCACTCGTATATCCATTTTAAATTGAGTATATACTATAGACATATATTCTCCCTCATCTCGATCCGATAGAAGGTCTCCTTTCCAACGTCTTATGCAAAACATGTTCCCTCATAAAAGCACCCACCACCAACCCCAACACCGCAACCCCAAGACTAGTCAAAAACACCCCCCTCAACGCCTCCCCAAACGCGTCTTTCGCACCGCTTTCCCATCCCCCCGGAAGACTGCCCAATCCATCAACACCATCTCTAATCCTACCAATCTCCTTTTCAGCCCCAGGGTATCCATCAAACCTGTCATGCAAGCCCTTGGAGAGCAGGTTCTGGTAGACTGCACTCGCAATCGTGATGCCGATCGTGGAGCCCGTGGACCGGAAGGCATAGGTCGCGGATGTGATGACGGCTTGGTGTTCGTGCGCTATGGCTGCGATGACTGCCAGGAGAGTGACGGTGAGGATACCGCCGTACCCGGCTCCTATGAGCGCCATGTATATCCAAATGCCCCAATTACTCTTCGCGGCTACATTGACGTCCATGGTGGTCAATAAGCCGGTTCCAAGCGTGAATATGACTAGCAGGGCAAGGGAGAGGATCTTGTAGCGGCCGGTGTGGTTTAGGATGAGGCCGGTGCCGAGCGATCCAAAGGAGGTGCCGACGGAGTGGGGGATTAGGCGTAGGCCGGAGAGCGTGGCAGAGAGGCCGGCGGTTTGGAAGAATATGGGGATGTAGAAGAGGGTTATGAAGGAGGAGGCGGTGGTGAGGAAATTGGTTATGCAGGCGGATGCTACAGTGCGGTGGAGGAGTAGATGGACGGGTATAATAGGCTCACTGGCCACCCTGGCCTCGATGTACACAAACAATGCAAGTCCCATGCCCGACAGCGGTAAGGAAACCAGAACCAGAGGGTGGGACCAGGGTACTACATTGCCCCCAGAATTCAAGCCAAGGAGTAGCAAGACGAGTGTCAAGACCAGTGTCCCGGCACCGAGGAAATCCACGCGCGAAAGAGCGGGCTTGGACGACTGTTTCGGCGGGACGTTGACGAAGAAATATACGAGGATGGCTGAGATGATAATCAAGGGCACTTGTACCAAGAACGCAACTCTCCAGCCCCAAACGTCATTTACCCATCCGCCAAAAATCCCACCTAGCCCCGCTCCAGAGCCATAACATACATTGCCTAAACCCTGTACCAAGCCTCTCCTCCTCAAAGGCACGAGATCAGAAGCCACAAACGTGCTAATGGCCATCAAACCGCCTCCTCCCATGCCGGCAACGACTCTGCCGAGTATCATCACGGCTTCGGAGCCCGCGAGACCACAGATCAGATTGCCGGCGCAGAAGAAGGCGTTGGAAACTAGCAGGCCGGTGCGGCGCGAGAAGATGTCTGTGAGGCGGCCGGAGAGCGGCTGGCAGGCTGCATTGGCTATCAGATAGGCGGAGGCGAGCCATGAGAGGAGGGAGAGGGAGGAGAAGGAGCGCGAGATGGGGGTTGAGAGGGTGGCTATTATGGTGCTGTCGAGGGCGCCGAGGAAGACGCCGGTGTAGACGGCGGAGAGGGTTATCAGGAGATTCCAGGAGGAAGGTTGCGAGGGGATAATGACTTGTTCTTCGGCGGGTTCTTCATCTTGCTCATTGTCGTTATCGCCGTGGGGAGTTTCGCGGAGGAGGGGCGTTTCTTCGTCTGCACGGGGTGAGGACTCGCCATTGGGAGTGTCTACTGCCATTGTGAAGGTTGGAGTATAGGATGGATATGTGACAACATAGGAAATATAAGAAATATACTTATATCTTCTCCATTCTTGTCTGGAGTACCGTATGTCGTGCTTATTTCAAGGCGGAGGGCGTGGGCGTGACGGACATCGGCACTCAAACGTGGGGTCAAAGCTTGAAAGAGAATACGGCGTAATAATGCAGAGTGTACTTACTCATTCTTCATTCCTGATTTTCTCTTCTAATCATTAGTCTGATATATCTTCATCCCACAATTACTTGCGTCTTCCATACTCTTTTAAGAATATCCAGAAAGGGGTCATAATACGAAGTTTTACAATGTTGCTATTTTTATCTCCTTCCCGTTCGCTCGTTGATCCACCCGTCACCCTGACAGCAGCTGAAGCCATTCGGCGGTACGCGTGGAGTAGCTGATGAGCCTCCCAGATGACACAAGCATTGCCTGACTGTCTTTCTTCAACAGGAAACTTGGTTTCTTCTTCTTCTTCATGCATGCATCCATCCCACGCAACTATTTCACACGGATTTCTCAATCATCTATCTTCTTTCTGACATTATCCGCTTCAGCTTGATTTAATTGATTGCGCCGACTAGCAGCGAGTAGAGTAAACAAACCACATCCTCGTATCCGTTCAACAAAGATCCACAGCGAGAAACAAAAAACGCCCACCCACCATGGCAATAATGGAGTTCGGCGTCCAGCACCTCCAGAAGGGCAAGCTGGGCCTACATATCGCACAAGCAGTACTCGTCTTTGTCTCCTGGGTGCTAGATATTACTGTTTTCCGGAGTAGTGCTAAGATCGACGGGAGGGTCGGGTGGAATTTTGGTGTCGTGAGCCTTCCCCAGCCTTGCTTTCATTTCACCCTCTTCAAACTTGTAACAGACTCCAACTCGGGAGGACTTCATTGTAGTGCAAATATGCTAATTGTTGGTGTCTGCAGTGCTTTCTAACAATACCCGCTCTCATCTACCTGACCATGACCCCCCGCTTCCCACGCGCTCGCAAGTTGGCAAACCCATATGCCATGGCAGTAGTCGATTGTCTATTTTGTCTTATCTGGCTCAGTGCGTTTGCCACGGTGGCGAATTGGAATGGGGCCGGGAAGTGCGGAGATGGGTGTGGAAAGGCAAAGGGAGTTGTTGCGCTGGGAGTTTTCACATGGTTTGTTCCCCTATACACATCCTATTCAGCCTATCCTTTGAAGAGAGGGAAATTAACTAATGGGATGGGATAGGTTACTCTGGATAGCAACATCGCTAATCTCCCTCTACGGCGTCGTATACTACAAACGTGAAGGCTACCTACCTGGTGCTTCGAGAGTCCCTACGAATGCGCAGATGATCGACCCGGATAAGGAGGCCTTTAGTGCGGGGGCTCATGATGGCCACGATGATGAGTATGCGCCTATGCATGAGGAACATGATATGTTGCATGATGCGGATCACCATGATGGACAATCTAGTAGCCACTATGATGAAGGGGAGCAATATGGTGGAGGTGGAAGCGCTTATGGGGCAGGAAGTGGAAGTGGAAGTGCTTACGGAGCAGGAAGCTATGTGCCGCCGACTGTTCATGATGAACCTACGGGTTACGGTGGAGCGGGCATGATGCATGATGAACCTACTGGATATGGAGGAGCTCCTGCGATGCATAATGGGAGAGCACAGTTTCCGAGTGCGAGGTATGATAATGTATAGAGGCAAAGGAAAATTATGAGTGTTTTGATAGATGGATTGGTACACAGGGCGGCTTCTCGGAGTATACATGGGAACGGACGGTGTTTGGTGTATTGATACTATAGATGCAATCAATGAATTGCTGTGTGTATACACAATCATCTAAGGAGAGGGAGAGCTATCAGAAAGGCTCAGTACAGTACCAACATTGAAGTCCGGGCCAAGGAGCCAAGTCCGAGAAAGGCTTTCTGACCTGGAACACTCGGAAGACCGCCGAGGAACATTCGTCTCCTAGGCAAGGCTTCTTAAAAGCACAGCCTCTATTATCGTAGGAAAATCTCGGAATCTCCCTCCGGTCCATCGAGGCTGAATCTTTCCATTTACCCATACCATCCATTCCAAAGCTTGACGTCGGGCCGAACCTAAATAACATGTGCAGCTTCTTTTTGCTGCCCAATCCTTCCCTCTCGAATCATTCATGCATGTGTTTCTTTCAACCCTTGGGAAAATGGTTCTTGTATTCCCGATTTCTCCCTGCGTTTACACTTTGTTTTCGTGCAGTTGTCGTACTAGCGACACCACCCTAGGCTGGTGCTGGTCCAACAACAGAACAGCCCCGCACCTGACGACGCGGGGTCACACGTTAAGGAAGCAGAGAGGGGCATTGCGGTGTTCAAGTTCAATAAAGCAGCCTCCTTTCCCTGTTCTCCTCCGACTGGATGCTATCAACTTGACGAGGACTTTGCATTGACGATACAGGTTAAAGAGCTTGCGTACAGTTATATATACCGTTACGAGAGAAGGAAAGATAGGGAAGACAGCGAGTCGAGACGAGGCTGAATCTACTCAACGACACTACAAATATACGGAGCAAAGGATCCATCCATAGAACCAAGCATACTACCCTCCAATTCCACTCCACTCCCTCGCAATGGCACCAAGAAAGGTATTCGTTTCCTTTCTCTCTCGCCCTCTCTTCGAAAACATCAGCTAATTCCAATTCTCCAGATAACAACCCTCCTCTTCGACTGCGACAATACCCTCGTCCTCTCCGAATCCCTCGCCTTCGAAGCCTGCGCTGACCTCGCCAATGAAATCCTCGCATCTCATAACATCCCCGAGCGTTACACAGGTCCGCAATTGCTATCCGAAGTAAGAAAGATAACCTCAAAACCATCCTTTCCCTTCACCCCCACCTCTTGCCCCTCTCCCCCTATATCCCACGATCTCCCAAGACAGAAAGAAAGCTAACTTGAACGCCCCTCCTTAGTTCGTAGGCCAAAACTTCCGCGGCATGATGGTCTCCCTAAAAGCAAAATACAAGTACGACATGCCCGACGCCGAGCTCGAGAAATACGTAAGTAGAGAAGAAGACCGCGTGATCGCTAAGCTGCGCGCCGCGCTGCAGCCCTGCGAAGGCGTCGAACCCATCCTATCTAAGCTGCACGCCGAGGGAAAGTACACGCTTAGCGTCGTGTCTTCATCGGCGTTGCGCCGCGTACAGGCGTCGATAGAGAAGGTTGGGCAGGATAAGTATTTCGATCCCAAGAGTGTGTTTTCAGCGGCGACGAGTCTAGAGACGCCGACGAGCAAGCCAGATCCGGCAGTTTATCTGCATGCGATGAAGGTGTTGGTGAAGGAGCCTGGGGAGTGTGTGGCGGTGGAGGATAGTCGGAGTGGTGCGACGGCGGCGGTTAGGGCGGGGATTACAACGGTGGGCTATGTGGGGAGTTATGAGTTGGAGGAAAGGGGGAAGATGAGGAAGGTGCTGCAGAATGCCGGGTGTGGGGATGTGATGGAGCATTGGGGGGGAGTTTTGGGGGGTGTTGGGGGGGATTGAGAAGGGTGAGTGAGGTGGGGTTTAGGATGGATGATGTCTTTTGTTCCCTTGGTGGGGTATTGAGTTGAATTATAGTAGCTTCTAAGGCTATTTATTAAAGAGTAGGTGGCATGAATCTCTTGCTAAATAACATAGGTAGATAGTGATAGTTTGTTTATGTGTTTATGTATTTATGTCAAAACTCTTTCTTCTCTACCTTACATCCATATTTTACTATATACTCACTTCACTTCCGTTATTTTCAAAGCTTGCAGATTCTAAATACGTCTTTATAAGCTACAAAATAATAAAAGATACGCTGTTCTTCACTCTTGCTTACCAAAGATTCCGATGCCGGGATGGAAATTAGGCTGCTATTCTGATCTGAAGAAATGCAAGTGCTGAAAAACCAGACGCATGTCTTTGATTGCATGGGAGAATCAGCGGAAGATCATTCCATCTTTATTATAGGAGGAGATAGACAAAGTAAGGTAGATGAGTTCTACACATCTTATACTATTTTAGGGGAAGTGGATTAAAAAGTGGAGGGGTTGTATTTTGTACCATTCACTATCCCCTTCCTACTTAAAGGTATCCCGAGTTATCCGCTTCTCTGCTATCTTCCTCGTACTCGCACTACACCGCGGAGTGCTTATAAAGATACTTCTTTCACTTGCTAATATTACTCGCCATGATTAGATGTGATCACAAAATCAATCCCATTTAGGTAGCAAGGAGGGAAACTTGTCGGCAAGGAAGATCGAATACGAAATTGATAGTATTAAAAGATGAACTGCCTGGGAGAAAGTTCTGTTAAGGGAGAGTGATAAAAATAAGTTCATCGGGGATATTTGCTATCAAGAAAGCATTCGGTCGAGGTGCCCTTTACTGTCATTATCCTATAATCCACGACGGGAAGCTGATAGCCTGAGGTTGTGAATAGTTCTCTAAGCTGAGACCCTTAATATCTTACACAGATACTAAGAATTGGCTAGAGTTTTGATTTGCCTGCAGGGCTGAATTCCACACGCAACTGATTGGTGCTCGATCAATTGCATTTACTAGGTTAAAAAACAGAAAAGAAGAAGGAATCCCATAGAGCTTTATAGTCTACAAGTCCCGGGATAATACAAATTTCTTTGTGAATTCACTAGACATGCGTCTACCTTATCTGTTTCTTTTTCTCCCGACCAAGGTGAAAGTGGTTGATCGGGGTATATAAGTTTTATTATTTTAACTTCTTTTCTAAGAATGCTAGCCTGCGAATAAGAAAACGATCAGCAAGTTACGGGGAGTGAAAAGGCAAGGCCGGAATGTGTTTATTATGATTCGGCGCGGAATAGGATAGCATCACGGTCTTCCAATCTTAGGAGCGTAGGTAATAAAGCGTCTGTTTCAGCGAGACTTGAACAGGAGTTGCTGTCATATAGAACAGTCGGTCAAGATAGAGTGTGTTGTCAATCCTCAGACTAGGTAGTCAATAGACTTCATTGGATACCCCACTTCCACCGTGCAACATAGAAATATGATCTAGCGTTTTTACCTCAAGTACTTTTACATCTCTAACTATCTCGGAGGCTTTTTTTCGTCTTGTGCTCAGACTTCTCAAGGAATTCGTATTGCTTTTTGGTATGCAGAGGAGAACAAGGCGACAGCTGAAGAGTTTTATAGGCTTCTTCGTAGGGCATTGCAGATAAGAAAAACTGTGTATTCACTTGTCAATCGGCCGCAAGCTCATGTACCATCGGCATATACCCCTTAAGCAAAGGGCAGGCATGAGTACCGATTCTTATGAGGATGTTGAGGCTTTGCATAAAACTTCGCCGTTGCCGGGCTTGCGGACATCTTGGAGGAGAGTCCCTACTTGGCCTTTGGATGGGAAGATGATGTTGAGGGACTTCATTCTGACGAGGTGGTATAGGGACAGTGATCGGACGTGCAACTATATTTGCTAGCTAACAAGTCGTGACTTTTATCCAGGTCCTTTTGTCTCTTGAAGCCAAAACCTCCCATAATCATCTTCACCATATTGCACTCCCTGGGCAAGAATATCGGATGTAACATAACAGTTCTAAAAGCATCTGTCTTCACGCCCTGCATGTGTCGATCAGAGCCTGTGCTTGCCTATATCTATACAGAATGGCAGCAATGAGCATCAAGATGAAATCAAATAGCAAATAGCAAAGCCGAAAAGCATTTCATCTACAATTTCTGAAGTAACGTCCCGATACTATAAGTTGATACTATGCAACGTGAGACTGTGACTACAACGTAAGAATAGCTGCTCACGCATTGATACCACGCAAGCGATGATTAAAGAGGACGATATTGATAAAACAAGGTGGGTTTAATAACATATCAAAATATGGAATTATGGGCAGGCAAGGAGAAATCCAGATGTCCCCTCACTTGACATGGGGAATTACTACTGGACGTAACGGTACTCCGTGCGCGTCCCTAAAGCAAAGAGCTTTCGCCTGTCAGTATCTTTAGCTGCGTCTTAATAAACATAAATTGAAAGAGCATAGCAAATGGTCGAGAAAATGTTGACAGAAGATGCTTTGACGAACTTGCTGGAGGTTTAGCTGCTTATATAAGCATGATGGTCCATGAAACTATTCTTCGGTTATTCGGGTATATCGTCTTCTCTATATACACATATTTAAATAAATGGCTTCCACCTTATATACTAGCTTCAAACCTCTATTTCATCTTCTCTGTGACGTTCATATTTTCACACGTTGAAGAGCTGAGGTAAGTCACCTGACTAGGAGATATTTCGGGAGCAGGCTAGTTTTCCGTCAACGTCACTTCACTTCTTCAATTCCATTGCCGGCAAGCTTGAAATTATGATCTCATTCAAAACGGCAGGTCTAAGTATCGAAGTATCTAAGTATACCCATTTTCCTAAACAGCTTTCCGATATATACCTTACGTTCTATATATCTTGTATCCTACCCTTCAATTAATCTCTCAATTCCCTCTTCCACAATGTCCGACCCCAATAACCCCAATATCGAGTCCAGAAGTACTCCCCAGTGGGCACTTTACCAGCGCGAGCTCTTATGGAAAGACAACACAGGAGAGGTGCCTCCCTTCAGCACTGATCCTGGTGACCTAGAAGATTTAGCAAAGAAAAGCCTCACCAGCGGAGGATGGCAAGTCCCCCCTTCAATGCCCTCCAATTGGCTCCCAAACCTCCACCTAACCTCCCATACTACAGGTATTACGCCTCCTCCAATGCCGGGCAATCCTACACACACCTCGCAAACCGACAAGCCTTCTACCGCCACCGCATTATCCCCCGCATGCTCATTGATACCAATACGCGCGATACCAGTACCACCATCTTTGGGCACAAAGTCAGCGCACCCATCGGCTTTGCGCCCATTGGCATAAACAAGATCTACCACCCGCTCGGCGAGCTGCCCGTCGCGAAAATAGCAAAGGAATTGAACCTACCATACTGTCTCTCCACAGCAGGATCATATCCCATTGAAGATGTAGGGGCGGCAAATGGTGGCGGTCCGCGATTTTTCCAACTGTATATGCCGCACGATGACGAACTTACGATATCTTTATTGCAGAGGGCGCATGATAACGGGTTTACGGCGTGTATTCTTACGCTTGATACGTGGCAGCTTGCTTGGAGACATCATGATGAGGCACAGTCGAATTATGCGTTTTATCATGGCGTAGGAGCTGATTTGGGGCTTTCTGATCCGGTGTTTCAGAAGAGGTTGAAGGAGAAGGGGATTGATGCGAAGAAGCAGCCTAATGAGGCGGGGGCGATGTGGATTGATAATGTGTGGCACGGCAGAGCCTGGAGTTGGGAGAAGATGCCATGGTTGATGGAGCAGTGGAGGAGGATTAGTGGGGGGAAGCCGTTTTGTTTGAAGGGCATTCAGAGCGTCGTGGATGCGAGGAAGGCGATTGAGCTTGGGGTAGATGGGATTGTGGTTAGCAATCATGCGGGGAGGCAGGTTGATGGGGCGATTGCGAGTTTGGATGCGCTGGAGAAGATTGTTGATGGTATGTGATCTGGATCCAAGTTCTTGGGCATCTGCTAACTTGATTTTAGCTGTCGGTGACAAGACGTACATCATGTTTGATTCGGGAGTGCGGGGTGCCGCGGATATCTTCAAAGCTCTAGCCCTCGGTGCAAAGTTTGTGTTCGTTGGCAGATTGTGGGTGTTCGGACTCAGCATTAAAGGAGAGCTTGGTGTCCGACATGTGATGAAGAGTTTGCTGGCTGACTTTGATATTTTGATGAATGTGTCAGGATATCAGAGCGTGGATCAAATCACGCGCGACAGTATCGATAGCTTGCCGAACAGTGCGGCTATGATTGCTGAAAAGTCGAAGCTGTAAGAAGGACTGTCTGCCGAGACAATGATACCAATATATGTAGCGTTGCAAGAGAAGCGAGGTTGAGCGAAGGTAGACTTGCTAAGTTAGGTACCACGAATCGTAAGATGTATACGAGTGTAACATGCTCACGAACATGCCTAGCCTTCCTCTCTTCCCTCTTATGTGGTTGACCTTTGCAGTGACTAGCATTCTAATCTGGAATGTCTTACCAAATAACTATTCTACAACATTCTTTGCGGACAGTGACCGGTTAGTGAAATGCGGGGGTGTCTCTTGGTTGGACATGTCTGTTGCACATCTTTTTCTCGGCAATATGAAGTTACGCTCGTTGAAATACAATATTACAGTCCTCGCGCAAGCATTCAACGGCTGTTCAATCTCAATGGGGCCAGCTGACTCACCTGTATGAAGTCTCGCAGCTCGCTTCACTGCCGCCCCCCTTTCCATTGATCGAAGCGCTCAGACGCCCCTTCCATTCTTAGCCGGAACAGGAGGCGAGAAAACCCAGAACTTCCATTTATATTTGACTCTTTCCTCTTGCCAATATTCACCATCTCTCCTAAGCAATTCTCATCTCCTACCTGTCTGTCTTTCTTCCTTTCAGTACCATACCATGTACCCATCTGTCATTCTCTCAGCATGGACTTTTCTCCAAGTCGTCCTTTACAGTGCCACAAGCCACGCCCAGCTTGTTCCTCCCCCACATTTTTATAACACCACCTCAGCCTTCATCTCCCCACGCAGAAATGTTATCAGTCAGCAGGATCTCAGCCTGGCTCCTCCGATACCAATTCTCGACATTGGGCTGCAGCACATGCTTGGCCAGATGGGTGCTAATGCCACCAGGGCTGAGAACGTCTCCAATGCAGAAGCAGATGGCCGACCGCCACCGCCAGAAGTCTCGAAATTCACTCTGTCGTACCAGAAAAATGCACCTGCTGAGTGCGGTCCTGGTCAGCCTTGTGCTGACCAGAGTTGCTGCAATTCGGTACGTGCTGTTGAGCCTGGGAACTGAATCCGGCTGACGAAGAACAGGAAGGCAAATGTGGATTCAAACCTTACAATTGTGTCTCGTCTGCTGCGACGACTTGTATCTCGAATTGCGATGCCCATGCTATGTGTGGAGTAGACTCGCTACAAGGGCAGCAGAAATGCGACTTGAACCTATGCTGTTCTTACTTTGGGTATTGCGGTGTGAGTACCTGGAACATTCGACGGCGATAATCACCACTGATAATTACCAGGCAACAGATGCACACTGCGCTACCCAAGGTCAAACTCCGTGCCAACCAGGATTTGGAGACTGTCAAGTCATGAGTGCGCCAAACTGTACGACCAAGACAGCTTCCAAAGGTAGGCGAGTCGCATATTATCAGAGCGGGTAAGTGGTCAACTATATTGGATATCTATCTTACCATCATTAATCAATATCTACAAATAGGGGTGCGAATCGAGCCTGTGATCGAGTCTACCCATCCCAGATAGACACCACCGGCCTGACCCATCTCAACTTCGCGTTTGCCTCGATTGATCCCGTCACGTTCAGTGTTACTGCCGCAGATCCCAAAGACTTTCTATTGTACCACCAATTTACTACTCTGTCATCACCCCACCGTCTACAAACGTGGATTTCTATCGGGGGTGGTGGCTTCAGCGGCCCCGGCCCAACGCATACAACCTGGTCCGATCTAAGTTCCACGCCATCAAACCGAGCAGCTTTCATTTCTTCACTGGTTGGTTTCATGCATAAGTGGGGATTTCAAGGTGCCGATCTCGATTGGGAGACTCCAGCCCAGCCAGATTCTGGCGGGAAGCCGGAGGATACTGCGAATCTGGAACTTCTTATCAAAGAAATGCGTACTGCTTTTGGCACTAAGTATGGCATAAGCCTTGCGCTGTAAGAAATACCGAACTCTTCATTTTAGACATCCACTAATAGTTTCAGGCCTAACGACTTCAATTATCTTGCTGCCTTTAATCCTATAGCCCTCCAACCCTATGTGAGCTTTTTCAACTTCATGGCTTACGATTTACATGGCCCTTGGGAAACAGCACGACTGGGCGCTCTTCTTCGTCCACAGGCGGCGCTGCCGGATATCGAGAGGACGCTTCTGCCAATCTGGTTCGATGGTCTCGATGCTAGCAAGCTTAATCTTGGTCTCCCGTACTACGGACGCGGTGCCACTGTTTCTAGTACTTCCTGCGTAGATCTTAACTGTCCCTACTCTGGCCTCAGTCATGCCGGTCAATGCAGCAGCGAGGCAGGTATTTTGTCTTTAAAAGAAATCCAGGATATAATCGCCCAACGTCATCTTATACCAAAGGTCCTTCTAGGTATCTTTCAGAAATCAATCACATTTGATGACCAATGGATTTCATACGATGACAGCGATACTATAACCCAAAAGACACAATGGGCAGACCAACACTGTTTTGGTGGAACTATGATCTGGAGTGTTGACTTGGCTAATGGCAATGGAAGGTATGTACAATCCGTATCCTCTCAATCTCCATCCTCTCAATCTCCATCCTCTCAATCTCTATCCTTTCATCATATCTCTCCTCTTTCATCATATCTCTCCTCTTTCTGACACATTATAGTCCTGATCCTCTAGCTCTGAAAGTGAGCACTGATGGGACTTGTGGGAAGATTTCAACATGCTTCGGATCACACTTCGGTGATTGCTGCTCAGGCAATTCATTTTGTGGGTCTTCAAAAGACTTTTGTTCAGCAAGGAAAGGCTGTCAAGATCAATTTGGTGTATGTGACGAGGACAGTAGCCCGTTCAGCATTTCAAGCATTCCAAGCACGCCCGCCGCTGCCCCGACTGCGGTCAGCGTAGATGGCTCCTGTAATGATAAGACATGCCAGGGAAGCGCATTTGGAAACTGCTGTTCCCAGTATAATTTTTGTGGCTCGACCCCAGACCATTGTGGGAAGGGCTGCCAACCAGGCCTCGGAAGCTGCGCCGGAGATGTCAAATCTTCCAGTACTATCAGCAGTACGCCAGTCAGTACACCTACCTCTCTTTCTGTCAGCAAAGACGCATCTTGTGGTGCTGGTAAAACTTGCAAAGGCTCCGATTTTGGGAACTGTTGCTCAAAAAATGGTTGGTGTGGGTCTACCCCCGACTACTGCTCACTAGATAAGGGCTGTAATCCCGCAGTTGGCCTCTGTGGTGACAATTTGAAGATGACAGTCGATGGAAGTTGTGGGTCAGGAAAAATCTGTCTAGGTTCATCTTTCGGTGATTGTTGCAGCTCTCATGGGTGGTGTGGTAAGACTTCTGATTACTGCTCTTCGGCGAATGGCTGCCAAAGTGCGTTTGGGAGTTGTTCCTGAACTTGGCAATGTATAATGTGCCATGTGGAGGGGACATTAAGAATGTAATATGACAAATTGCCATCCTAAACAAAGATCTTGCATTTTTTGATATATAAGAGTACTCGTAGGCCCTTGGTTGCTTTTGTCAAGTCATGGATGCACTTATTGACTTTAAATGTCTCACGCCACTTCGCACACTATAAATCGGTGCTCCTTCTTTTTTGTCCAGTAAACTCAACTGTTTATAATTCAGCCTTTTTATAGGGAAGGCCATAAAGACTATAGGAGTAAAGCTTCAGCAGATCTATTCAATGTCTCATGGCGCCTGAAATAATCGAAAGCTTGCAAAATCCTTTCATTCTTTCATAGCATCAAGCATGACCTTAATCCTGCCCTCACAGCTTAACACTCTTGACCAACCCACTCTTAATACCCGTCTTCTCACCGGCATACCCACCCCTCTCCTCACCCCCTTTATAAACAGCCTTCATACTCCCCAACTTCTTCTTCTTCTCCTCATACTTCTTGCGTTTCTTGACCCGCGGATTCCGCACATCTTTTTTCCGCTTCGGCGCTAGGCCTTTGTTCTTCTCGATTACGTAGCCGATGGCCCGCTTGCCGTCTTCGTCCAGCGTGCCTTCGGCAACGCGCTGGAGGGCGTCTTGTTCAGTGGCGGCTTGCGCAGCGGTGAGGAGGGAGGCTTTTTGAGCTTTCTTGGCGGTGGAAGTCGCGTGGACTAGGTCGTAGTATTCGTCTTCGCCGTCCTGGCGGACTTCCCTCGCTACCTCTGTTTCTCCTGCATCTTCTTCATCGCCGCTCTCGCCGCCTAGGTCTGCACCCCGGCCGTACGCATCGAGTTTCTTGCCGCGTTTCGTAGCCTCAGCGTTTAAGCGCGCAACGCGATCACGCAGCCGCTCTTTGTAGGGGAGGTCTGCATCACCGTCTGCGTCTCGGCCGCCGGCGGTGCGCTTGTTGGCTTTCTGTGCTATTTGCGAGGTGTAGAATTTTAGGGACTTTTTGCGTGTTGCTTTTGATGCCGCTTCGGCTGCTGTCATGTGGGAGGACTCGCCGAAATCATTGGTGTCGTCGGTGGTATCGTTGAAAATGGTTTTCTTGGCTTTGTTGGTGCGGGATGGGAGGAGGGAATCGAGGTCTGCGAGGGAGGCGTCTGCTGTTGCTATCTTTTGGGCGCGCAGGGTGGCGGCTTGGGAAGCGGCTTTTGCTTTTGCTAGTTGCTTTGTTGTGGATTTCTGGGTCTGCATAGGGGATGGGAGGGTTGATTGTTTGGTTGTTGTTTCTTCTTCGGGTTCGGAATCTGATTCTACTTCTACTTCTGGGGTTGGTGCTTTGAGGAATGACACTTTTGTCCAGAGAGAGCGGCAGGAAAACAGGCTGTCCATTATGGGGTGGTCGCGCAGGTCGGCGGGTGAGGTTGGGGAGGTGAGGAGCGCGAAATACATGCTTAGAGATGCGATGTATGCTGCCAGCGCTCTGGCCTTGACAATTGTGACGGATGACTGCTCGTCTTGCTGTAGGGCGACCAAAGTAGGTTGCAAAGCCACAAACTCATTCGCCAACATCTCGAACTCGGGATATCTCGTTCTCAGCACCCGTAACCGTTCTTCAGGTCCCATATCCTCAGTGATCTCTACATCCTTCAAAACCTCGATCATCACATCATCGCTTTCCTCGTCTGGGATCGTAGTAGCAGGGGCCAGCCATTCTGATTCATCGAAGCCGAAATCTGCGTCTGTCATTTTCTGCAGTTTGCGCTGCTGGATCCGCTTCGCTTCTGCTTCTTCCTCCAGGGCATCGGCTTCGGTTTGTATTTCGTCGGCATTGTAGTAGTCTTTTTTGGAGGTTCCCCACCCCTCCTCTTCTTCTTCCCCCTCCTCCTGCTCTCCATCGTCAGAGTCGGAATTTGCGTTTTGGGGCGCGGCGTCTTCGTCGGAACTGTCTGAAGAATACCCTAGGACTTCTTCATCTGATGGTTCATGAAGGGCATCTACAATTCATCTGTTAGCTAGACATTATGGAATAGGAAGAGGGGACTGACCTTCTTCCGCAAATTTCCTCCTTCGTTTCGCATCCGGCCCTTCATCTAGCAACACCTTATCCCGATTGATATGGAACTCGTCCTCTGAATCCGCGACATCTTCATAGGTAGTGATAGGTCCTAGTTTGCCGCCTTTGGGCTCAAAGCCTTGGGGCTCGCTCGAGCGAGCTGATGCCTTTCTTTTCTTAGCCATAATTGTGGAGGTGGATGAATTTGCTAGTAGCGCTTGGGGGAATGATGCATTCAGATTTCGAAGTTTTTTTTTAGGGATGTTATCTTAGCGTGATCGGCGATAAAGAGAGAACGAAACACGTGCAGCCCCCCTCCCACCCCCTTAATGCCCCTCCTTTTCTCGCTTCTGCACCGATTCTTTTGCGGTGTTCACAACTCAAGATAAGGTAGGAATGCTTCCTGAATCCCTCTGACCTGGGAGTGAAATATAAAAAGCAAGTTTTAGGATTTTGGTACCACTCTAATATATTTCGAACGTACTTCACACTAGATACAATATCCTGTGTTTCCCTCTTTCCCTTCCAGCTTCTACTTAACCTCTAAAAGTCTATATTAAGCCGGAAACAAAACGAAAATACAATCTCCGCCATCAATCAAAACCGTGCTCGGCCCAGCATACGTCGGCCCATAGAAGCTATTAGGGGACGTCGCGTCTCCGTAAAACACCACACACTGGGTAGGAAGATAGATCGGGAACGTGTACTCATCTGTACAAAACGTCTGGTTGACCGCTGGCTCCGTGCAGTTCCTGTTTTGACAGGGCTCTAACGTCAAAGTCCCTCCTTGGTACTGCGGATATGCATCTTCAGTTTTAGTAGCGGTGACACAGAGCCCGGACGCGACATTGTAAAGGTAACCAAATGCTGTGCAGCCAACCGTAGGGGGGTAGAGCAGGGAGGATGCTTGGTAGAAGGCGAAACTATCATTTGCTGGGACAGCTGGGTTGAGATTTGCGTCTGCCTGTGAGCCTAATGTAGGAATGGGGAATCCAAATGAATAGACAGTTCCGTCAAAAGTATATACGGCTGGATTTGGAATACTGGTTAGAGACGTGTTGAAAATAGACTGCGGTATAGTTCCAGGTGGAAAAGACTCTGCCTGATTTGCCCCCACCGTACATGTTGATGATACGGGCGAAGTAGAAGTAGCCGATGATGAAGGGAGCACATTTTGAGAAGTTGTGATGGTGACACCTAGGTTAGGCACTGATGACGAAGTAAAATTTGAGAATCTTGGGGTTTGCGAGCTAGGAATGGATGTTTGGAGGGTGACTAGAAAGGTTGGAATATCGTTAGCTAACACACTTTGCATGGTTGGAGATAATGAACTTGAAGGCGAGAAAGAACACATTCTTGAGGGCAGCTGGGATGGGGAGATCTCACTTGAACGTAGGTTTGTGCTGGCTGGAACAGAGGTCGGCCCGAGAATTGGGCGATAATATGTGCAAGGGCAATCTATCTGTATTAGTTTCGAATTCCTTGGGATATTTCGTAACTTACCAGTAATCGTAAGTGTTGTTGCCTCAGTCACGGTATATGTTTTGGTGCCTTGTGTAAAGATGGTCGCGGATGGGCAGACAGTTGTGAGAATATCCGTAGTCACAATCTCGTAATGAGTGATTTCTGATGCTGGAGTGACCACTGGAACCGTATATGTGCAAGGACAATCTGTTTCGCATCAGCTTTGATCCCACTACGGAGCATCTAGGTCTTTACCTGTGATTGTAACCGTGGTCGGCGCCGTCGCTGTATATGCCTTGGATTGGTAAGTAAATGTCGTTGCACTCGTTATGACAGTTGTGTATGTGTCGGTTGTACGGATTCTGTTTTGGACAGTTTCAATGGCCGCTGGGGGGTTCATCGTTTGGGAAGAAGTAATAATGGTATCGATACATGTTGGGCCAGGAATTGTGGTTGTGCAGCCCTGAAATGTTGCTATTGTGCTTGAAGGAAAGCAGGTACTGATATGTGTAGCATGTTCAACGACGGTAAAAACGACGCAAACGCTTGAGAGTTCGGGGAATTGCATTGAGCCCCATGATGAAGTTGCACCCAAGGCCAGGGCCAGCAGCATGAAAATCACCAAATTCATGGTAAAAATATTCTTCTATGGCGAAACTTGAAATTCGAGAAGAAAGAATAATGGCATTTAATGATCTGCATCGCCTCCTCACAATGGAATGTGTGGCTACATTCCTAATCGCGACTCGCGACTGACATATCTTGGGAAAAAAGTATATTTGTAGAAGTCTCGCGTATAGTATGTAGCGAGTATCTGGCCTTCAAAGCCCTTGCGTAAATAACGCCGCTGGCGAGTGGATCTTAGACAAGCACAGCTTGAAGACGATATTTGCGATAAACAATATATCGTTATGTATTCAACGAAATGGTGTCAAAATATGACTGTTCAATCTCAACCTTCCACTGAATTGGATGATCCACCAGGCTGGAGAATAGCCAAAAAAAACAGACAAAAAAAAACACACCCCTACTAGGGAAAATGGAGTTAAGAACAAGGGCTACGAATCAACCACCCACTGCGAATAGACCTCTAACCACCATCCCAACGACGTGTATGAGGATTTCGAGGGGGCGGTTCCAGGTATAGATAAGCGAGAACAGATGCTTACTTGCGAGTTGATCTGATCTCGGTTTTCTTCAATCGGTTCCTCATCGCTGATATAATCGCAAATAGGACCATCATCTCATCCTAAATGCCTTCACCGTCGTCAAGGGTAAGGCTAAGCGTTTTTCGCATTCCGCATTCCTTGATGCACATACCAAGACTAGAACTACCATGGCCGAGTGCTGTAGTACTCATAACGACCCTCTTGTTAGGCATGCTATCCCATGAAGCATGGACCATCTTCTTTACTTCGTCGTCATCCAACCCAAGGGATAACTTTAAGGTTCCATCCACCTTGCAATGTGATGGATAAGATACGCACCCTAGTGCAGCGTAGATCACAAGCATGATAAGTCCAACGCTGGAAACCGAGCAAAGTTGATCTCCTTGACGGTCCTTAAAACACCGTCGTAGTCTTTGCCAAGAATCTTACAGCACTGGCGGCAGCACTCGCGAACATACAGAGTATCTGGCAGTTGAGTTCAAATTGGGCAGATAAACTTGGCGCCACAAAAGAAAGACCCATGGTTAACCATGATACCAAGGAAATATATGCCCATGTGACAAGCTAAATGAAAGTGTAAAGGCATTTGAAATGCGCTTAACAAGAGCTGTACCAGCAAACCTAGACAAAATCGACTAGCAACGCTGTGAACCTCAAGAATTGATTCCGACGCAGGGGATTTGAGGCTTATATCTAAGTCCAGGTGGGTGTGGTGTGGAATAAAGAAACAAAGCTAAGGTTGCCACCCTTACAACATTAATCGGACCGTCGCGACGTATTCTTACACATGGCTATCCTTGGCCTGGAAGCCGGAAGTATTGCCGACTGCAAGTTGGGCGTCGGGATATTCAATCACCTTGCAGGTATAAGCTGCAGCCACGAAAATATTTGCAAAAGAGCGTATCGTATTTCTCAGACATCCCCAAAATATCGCCACATATTGCCCCGAGTCGCTTCGTAGCATCCATAGATCCGGGAATGAGGCCGAGAACGAACCTGAAAAAGATGTGTCGAAAATGGTATCAATAGCGTATTTGATGGAATGCCAAAGAGAAAATAGTTAGTACTGGCAGAAAGCCTATAGGAAAAAGCATCTGGCCGCCGTGAGAAAGAAGGATGATAACCACTAGATCGAATGACAAAGAAACTATCCGAAATAAACTCGATCAGCAGGTTTTTTAATAGACTTTGGGACATCGATCGTTACCCCGCCTTACGACGCAAAACTAGGATAGGAGAATACAGTTTCATCTTAGCAAGGTTTATAAAAGGTTGCAGGAAATCCTTCCTTTATGAGGATGCAACCCTACTGTACTGTAGCACAAAGTATATGCAAACCTCTCCACACATACCCTGAACCCCACACGCAGCTACTGTACGAAGTACTCCAAGAATTATCAGCAGCGCATTGTCTGGCAGGGAAAGTCTGCACCAGCTTACCGATAAAGGTCTTACTCCGTACGTGAGGCTCCCATTGCCGGGTTCAGAGGTGATACGTCCACTGGAGCCGCATGCCGATAATGCATTAGTTTCAAGAGGGTGATGGTCTCGCAGATCGAGCTCGGGTAAAATCCAGGGCAGAGATTTTATTGGTAGATGAGGATTTTGAAAAGTAAAGATGTGAGGAAAATGCTGGTACCCGATGATGAATTGATTTCAGGGTTGTGCTAATCGGCGGGGCTTGGTACATCATGGATCTTGCATCCTAGTATAAAAATGAATATGCGAATAGTAGGATACGCGTACTTCCTAGGCGAAAAATAAGGCGAGATAATAACAAAAATATTATAGTTCCCGTAAAATTCAAAAAATCTCTCGACTACAAAGGTAATGTCCTCTGCCGAGTAGAGCTTACTGGACTCACTAGGTTCAGCAACTCGCGAATCCTGGATCTAGAACTCTATTCATTTTGCTACGTGAGCTGACCTCTCCTCACTGAAGATTATGGGACCAATTAAGACCCTACAAGCCTGGAACATCTCTTTCCAGTTTGAACTTGAAGTCCTTCAGACCTTCCACCCCGACATCGACTTTGAAAACGCCACCACTGTACTTCTCCTCGTCACCACCTGCAGTCGTGACCCACAACTCAGTCCCTACAAATACGGGGCAAGTAATGTTCTTTGTGGGGTAGTCGACTCGTCCAATCACCTTGCCTTGGGGTGATATCTTGAGCACGCAGCTGTCACCGTAGATGGCCTGCCAGATATTCCCCTCCACGTCTAATCTGCACCCATCCGGTTCTCCTTCTCCCTCATACTCAAAGAAGACGCGCTCATTACTAAGATCAGCTGTTGAAACGGAATAGTCGAAAGCTATGAGGCGTCTCTTTTTCGAGTCAACGAAGTAAAGGGTTTTGTGATCCAGTGACCAGCGAATACTGTTTGGTATTGTTATGGAAGAACGTGCGGTGTAACGTGAGAGATCTGTGTTGAAGCGGAAAATGGTTCCTGTGAATAGTCAGAAGTCGAGCTTAGTCTAATAATACTGGATGAGTGAGAGATGTAGACTTCGTACTAACACGTGACTGCTGAAGACTGCAACGGCAGGAGCGCCTTGGGGCAACTTCACCCCAGGATATCATGTTCTCAAGGAACCAGGGCATTTCTTAATCAAGCCACTAGGCAATCATGAAGGAAACAGAGAGTTCTTTCACTAACCTTCGGGTTGTGGTTCTCCCACCCAGAAATCATTCATGGTCCCAATCCAAAATCTTCCTTCTGGGTCCACCGCTCCATCATTGCTTCTCAATCTTTCGTCCTTCTCCTCGGTATCATAGAATCTCTTCAGCAGTTCAAGTTTGCCGGTTTCCCGTTTCAGAGTATAAATCCCACTCTTGCCCCCGACCAGAATCTTCTTGCTGGCATCCACGCCTTCGATATCAGCAGTTACACCTACAGGCATATCAAGCTGTAATGTCTTCAAAGACTCTGGCCCCACGGTAAGATCAACTGTATGGAGGTGTCTTTTCATGATATCCACAAAGCGTAGTGTATTTCTATCCGCCTCGTAAAATGGCCCCTCGCCCAAAGCACAATGTAGATTGAGGTAGGGTTCGGTCACGGTCCATGTTTTGATTTCCGCCATCTTAGGACTTGTGCTGGGCCGGAGCAAAGAAAGGATCCAATACAACCAGGAGAATATTGAAGATGTTGTTTCTGTTGTTAAGAGGTGTGGTTTGGCTGGTGGACCCGGACCCAGTATTGAGGTTGAGGTTGAGGTCATCATTCCACTCTTTTGCCGCAAGCGAGACTTTGGAAAGAAAAGTTCCGACGCGCGCAACCCATCAATCAAGATTCAACCACCATGGTTCAGCAACAAGACCTCGATGACAGGAAAGAAGTGCTTCAAGTCATCCTTCAATATACTACGAGGCAATGGAATACGCGCGGAATGCGTGCGGGCCAGTGTACTTCATATATACTCATTCATTTGTCACATTCGGTTGACGGGCCTGAATCCCGCTCTGAACGCGTCTGCTCGGGATCCATTTTTGTAAATTTTGCAGCATGTTGTCTTTCAATGGATAAGCACTGGTATGATCAGGCTCAAGACATCATTTGGGAGTTTGCGGCGGATATCCGGGCGCATTTTGCTTTTAGGCTGTTGCAACCACGTATAGTGTTTTGGAGATTTTGATATCGGGTGAAGGATTGGTATTGTATGTTGGGAACGACCTTATATCGGGAATAGTCTTCATTGCATGCTCTACTTCTTTCATGCGGACTGGTATTGGGGAGTCGTGGCGTCGAGGTTGTGGAACCTGTATCTCTTTCTATCCTCCCATATTTCCGTGACCTCTGTCGTGGTGTGTCAAAACACATACCAGGACTAAGCAGTCTCAATGACCTCTACTAGGATGGGTCTTTGAAGCATTTCCAGGCAAGAAAGCCACAAGCTATGGCATCATACCGTATTTTTCTTCTGCTTTTTACGTTTTTGAAGTCTTTTTCTCTGCATCAAGTTGGCAGGTAGTTGCAATTAGACTACAATATTCCACTTGTAAAGCTAGGGATGAACTACGTCTACAACATTTACAACAGCTTCGGTCATTTCTTACAAGCACGGCTGACCGCTGTATTCGGCAACGACGCTGCCTCGACGTCCTCTCCCTCACTATTATTTAGACTATTATGAGGCAAGCGATGTGATAGGCAACACTGCCCAACATGCAAACGGGTCGTCCCGTGCTGTGGTCTATCAGGCTAAGTCGTTGAAATACGCTTTGGACAATTCAATTTAGACCAGCCATCCTGGCAACTTAGCTAAAACATGGAGTTAATATGCACTTCGATCACGTCGAAGCCCAGGTTGAAAAGCGTGGCTGACGCTATTTTCTGCATGCAGCTATCAGCCCTGAAATATTAAACAAGCAAGACCTAGCATTGTATGACTGGCTGATGAATGTAGTCGAAACCGGGTTCCTCTACCCGCATTGCACATCACAGCTCGTCACTCTGCAGATATAACAAGTCAATCGTGTCTATGGGCAAAGCGCGCAGATTTAGACCTTCGGGGTCTTGACCGCTAAGTTGGAACCCGCAAGACAGAGTTTCGCAACACTCACCGCATCCGAACGATGTTTATCGTGCATCTCTAGCTGGTGGGGTGTAGCGTAGGATCTAGAAAAGCGGCACTCATCACGATAGCTTTTCAATGTACCAGGCGGCTTGAAGTAGGTTCAAAACTCGGTGCCGCTTCCTCGGGTCACGGCAAAACTACCCCCTAAGTTTTTGGAGTACGGAGTAGCTCAAGGATCAAACGTCAGTCAGCTGCACGTGCACAAGGCAATCACCTACTTAAGCGCCATCTTGTCGCGTCACGCCAATCACTCAATGACTTAAAAGTGTGCAATAACGCCTCCATAAGCTCAGGATTCGGGTTGGTCGAGCTTGGTGCTTGGTCCGGCAATTATTATTACGAGTAGACTGAGTGATAACAAGCACTTTAGTGCTAGAGGTATTTCTATCTTGTGCCACGTGGGAGGACAGGGAACAAATATGTCAAAATTTTCACCTGGTGCGGCTTTGGTACTGTTCGAAGAAATCGCTCGGAATCAGCAGGGGCACTTTTGTCATCATCATGTGGATGCCAAACACAGTAAGAATTGCGTCCTTCGTATGTTCTTTACTCGCAACTCCAGACAACACTCCATAGACGCGCTTCAGGACGCTCAAGCTCGCGCTCGCGGCTGTGCTTGTTCTAGGTTGCTGATCCTCCGAGTAGGCATACTCAGACTCAGCGAGTCGGAACGCTTTACGTACTTTAACTTTTCTTTCGTTAGCATTGAGGCAAGGATACATGACATGATGACTATCTCATGAACAGAAGAGAAGCGGATCAGCGACATGTATTTCGGTATACAAGCCCGTTTTGAAGCGCCTCGCGGGTTTTATTGCGAATCTCCTCTCCAAATTACAGCCGAGCCACATGACTGTTTCGATACCTCCAGATGCACGTCCGTTATCGAGTGCTTTATGCGGTAGCCTGCAGCTGCAGGGGCCAGCATGCAGTTTATCTCATCTTGGGATTAGGCAAAAAGCGGGATGCCAATATACACCATGCAGAAGCGTCCGCCTTGTCCTAGATTTGAACTTGACTACTGTACTGATATGCTGTGGGCTGCCGCCCTGTTTTACGGAGTATATACGACCGCTTAGAACTGCCGGTTCGAATATTCATTTTGTTGGCCTGGACACTAGTTTTCTTGATTTCTGATTATTCATGTCCTATAAGGCATAAAATATAGGCAATAATTCAAAGGGACTTGTGTTTAAAGGATGATAATTCTTTCAAGGTTGCCCAATCACGTTCAAAGCATTTGGAAAGCATGCTTATTCCTTACGGGGCAAGGGTCAAATGAACTGAACGAGCTTACCCGTATCGACTTAAGTCTTCGTCCACGTGGCTGAATGCTGGAAAGCCAGGTACTTCAGGAACAATGTAACTTAGGTGGCGATCGAAGTACCTCGCTTGCCCAGCACGCATACGCGTCCACTTTGTCTAACACCACGTAAGGCAATTTAATGGATTTACTTGTATGTTCCCGACGACTCAACATGGGGCGCTGGTTAAGAGCGGAACGGCGTGGAAGAGCGATCTGGAAGTTATATGGGGAACACTAAAGGAAACGCTAACTTTGGCATTTACCACAGCAGTGGGAGGAGGATCTGACCCTAAAATGATGAATCGGCTTGAGGGGGACCCCAAGCCCAATCTAGGATTTGACACTTTAGGGTTACGACTCCGAGCGGTTTAGGCATTTTACTGGTGTGAAACTGCCTATCTCCATGTTCTTGCAGCCCCAGAAAAGTTGAGATGAGACTTCACAATTCGGGGCATTTTTCGACTCTAGTTGGAGTCTGCGACTCGCTAAAGCTCAGCTGCATTCCAGGCCAGGATGCGTGGCGTGGTAGCGCAAAGATTATCTTATCTCTAGCTTTGTCTGATTTCCTTTCTTTTGATCTCCTCAAACAGGACAGGAAAGAGTTCCCGCGGATGTCTTTTTCTAAGGCCAGAAGAAGTCAAAGGCTGGCGGTGGGTGATGCGAGCCTAATTTATAGCCTTAAGTGATGTGGGAAAAAGGTTAAAGCTTCCTCTGCAGCTTTTACGACCCAGGGGCAAATGCCGACGGCCAACCGGCTATCTGTAGCGTCTTGCCCTGATTCTGGGGCCCCTTGTGATTGGAAACACAAGCCCAATCACGCCCGCTGTAGTGCGAGGACGGCGCATACCCTTGGGGACATAATCACCGAATTGAAACAACGGGAAGAACGATGCACCACCGACTCGGCGTTCAGCAGTATGAACCGATGCCTAAAGTCGTATTAAAAGCTTATGTTCTTCGGCGGGACCTTTGATTGGCCTTTTAGGGATATTTCCTGGCGACCTTCTCCTTTTTCTTCTTTGCTCATCTTCTTTGCTCATATAGGGTTGAGCAGATCAATGAAATTCCCCTGCGAAATATTTCATAGTAGAGCAGCGATATAACAAGCAGAGTTGCTTCATTCATACTGGATCTGCATTCGGTCATCTACATTAGACCATTATATGACAGGGTTTTTAGCATTAGGTATAAATGGTGTCGGGCTGCCATGCATAACATGCAGTATGAAATAATGATTTGCGGAAGGAGATTCGGTGCACCTTCTCCCCCACGGCACGTCGCGTGGCGCATGACTCTGTCAAAACCGCAATTTAGGTATGGTAGATTGACGCATCACTTGCGCAATTAATATTACTTCTACTGAAGTACTTTCGTATTTTTCTATAGGGAAGTTGCTTGTGGATTATTGATCCCACAAGTTCTTTTACCAGTGATCTCGGAGCAACAAATGGAATCGGCACATGATGGACGTCTAGAAATCCCAATAGAATCCGTGCGGACTCTAAGCCCACAAGACGGAGCTACTGCAGCTCATCTTGCTGCCGAAAGGCACCGATGCCCTGGGCTTTGGGTCTTCTAGCAAATTCGCAATAATTCGGCCTGGATTTGGAATAACAAAATCTGGAGCAGATAGTAACTTGACATGAATAAACATGCGAAGTTGATTGAGGGCACCTTTATTATCATTATCATCTTGCTGCTGTTTTCTCCATCTGAAGCATGGAGCTACGGAATACGCGTATTTGAAATCTAGGGATCAACATGGGGTTCCTCGTGGGAGACTGGGATCCAGGACTCAAACTGCATGACGAACTCGTGATTGTGGCTAGGATCGTGGCAGTCATTGGAAGTGAAACTTTGCAGGGCTGGAAATTGACGCAGAATGACATGCAAAAGCAAAGAACATCCAGCCAACACGTCTCTTCAATTGCCAATTATGGGGTCAATTGAAGGCAAAATCCTGCGAGAAAGCCCTCGGAGTAAAGTAAAGTGGCTTAAGAAGAGGACCCATGGATTCTGCGCCGATACTAAAGTCGTACTGTAGCAACACCTTACGGTGACTTTTTGAATGGTGGCTGCCAATGCGGATGCGACCTTCCTACCTTCTCCGCATCGAAACTCTGCAGTCACTTGAGTTGAAAAGTTACCAACGACAGGACACGCTTCCTGCAGGCAGCGGATATACTACTGCAGTCCGATAGCGTTCCAGTCAATCAGACCAAGCGCGCAATATATTTACCTGCAGTCCTGCAAGGCATCATGGCAAGACACTGAGCAAGTTCGGGAACGGGTTACTAATTTAGTCAAGTGAGTACGGAGCACGGCTGGGGCAACATGGCAGGAGTCTTGTCTTTAGTCGTTCGCCCCTTTATTTACGGCGCCGAACAAGTGTGCTATAAATCTACAAAAGGAGAGGATGAAGGAGAGCAAGCGCCTGAGAAGGTTAGGGGGCAACTTTATAGCGCTTGCTTCGCCTTTTGCTACTCCTTTTGCGTCCAAGTTGGCTGTGTCGTGCTGATTTTATACCGAGTAAAATCTTAGCTTAGGGTCCCCCTTGCCCCATCCCCAAGATTCCCGAGTTAGCTATATTTTTTGACCTCTCATAACGCATATAAACCTAACAACCTAACGCCTTGCGGCGGCCAAGTGGCTAGCAACTTCCCAGGAGTCAGCGCCCCCCATCCCCGTCTCATCTTCTTTTCTCTCAGCGGTGTTCACTGTTCACCGCTTGCCGGCCGTTCTTCGTGTGCCCTAGTGCCAGTCCCATCTCATCTGTATCCCATGTGCCGACTGCCATAATATAACGTGATACACAGGGGTACGCCTCCCGCCTTCCGCGCGAGCGATGGCCTGTCTGCTGGGTCCGCCTCCAGCGAGGACGGATTCCCAGGTGTTTCTTTGCCCTAAGCCATCTTGAGCACAAGCCATGTTCAGCATCATCTTAGCATGCAAAGACCCCCGGTACCTTGACTACTGCAACCAGGTCTACTGTACAGACCCCAGCTTGTTCCTTAGAAGACCTGCCCCTGCCAGAAACCCTGACAGCTTGAGTTCCTTTCTGGCTGGTACGGTCAGGGTCATTGTGGTCTGTGGGCAGAGGTGTGGGACTGGCAACGATTAAAACCCAAAAGCTTGGGGGGCCCCAATGCAATAAGAATGCAGGCTTGTGGAAAAGCTGCGTAAAGCTAAAAGCGTCATCCAACAACAAACAACCACACGTCGATACATTTATTTGCGGATTCTTCAGCAGCCCGTAGAAACTTTCAAGTTCGGGGCTTTTTCTTACCCAAACAAATCGCAAGCCCTCGTTGTCCTTCAAGCTCTTGAGTGGCCCGCCTACTATACACCTCCCCCACTTGTATGTCCCCCAAGCTTCCATTCACATTCTCCAAACAGCCGGCTCAACGGGGCTATATTCTTCGCATGCGCAGGAACTAATGTCCAGTGACTCGTCGTACAGTAATCACCTGGCCTTCGTCGACATTATCAACCTTCGACGCAACCTGCGCCGCCCGCCATCCTCATCATTCATCGTCCACCACCAAGCATCCCTGTTGAAGACAATTCACCTCACATCAGGCAACAAATCTACATCCTCAGAGGTCCTGGTGCGACGCACAAGTAATGAACCGCGGTTAACGACAAAATCCGAATTCCTCGAACCATCTTTCTCATACCAGAGCTGACTATTCACCGCTCAGTGGGAAAGCTTTACTGGCCATCTCAAGAGATCTAATTCGCTGTGGCTGTACAAAACCTCCTAAAGTGCCCGTTGCGCGAAAGTCCCGCTCTCACTGGTTTTCGAGAAGAACAGGGAACTTATCCAAGATTAACTAGATTCCCGGAAACACAATCTCCAGAAGTCCTCGAAAAACATCTTGCTGATTTTGTATATAAGCTCCATAGCTACCAACAGAGTTGGGAAGGAAGTGGAAAACGTCAATGTCCCGGTCCTCGGGACCAACCAGGGTTAGGGGATCAGGACTCGATGTCGCAGCGGCCTCCTGCGTCTCGTCCTGCATCTCGCTCACCTACGGATGGTCAGAGAATAACACTACCATCGGTTCAGGTTCGAGATGGTCCTCAACAGGGGGGGCGACAGCCAGAAAGACATCATGTCGACCCACCAGGGGCTCGAGCATTCCAGCCGCACTTGCAACCATCACATCAACATGCTCGTAGCGCACCAACACCAAACGTAGAAGACTGGAGGTCTTCGGGGCCTTCAAGAGATCTAGGGGTTCATTCGATTCTAAACCCCACAGAGCCTGAAAGCAGTGAATCAGATCGTCGAGTTAGTGGTACAAATCTAGATTCGCCCTTCCCAACAAGCACACTTCATCCACAGTTCGGTGCAAGTCCTTCGATTAATACACCGCATACATTCCCTGGCCAGCAAACTCCAACGGACACTACCCAAGCAGTAGAAGGCTATGGATTGCGCAGAATCTTGACCCCAAGATCTCCAGCTCAGGCAACAGGTTCTGCACGAGGGCGTGGGCAAACTTATGATGCGCAGCTATCACCTTTCCTGCCCTTGAGGGGACGGGCGTACAATATTGAGGCGAGATCAGCGTCAGATGGACAGCCGCCAGTACCAACGCCCCCAGCGCAAACACAGCAACAGCAACATTATGGATTTCCACCCACAGCTTCGACGCCTGGGGCAGACCGACGCACCAGTATGCCTTCGATGCAAGCACCGCTTTCGCAAAGTGCGAGTCCCAGCATGTCAGCATCATCACTAAATCCCTCGAACCAAACGTCTCCAGCGTCTTTCATGTACCACAAAGGTGGCCAAGCTCCGCCAACGACATCTTCGTATTTCCCAGGATCAACGTTTGGCTCTTCAATGCAGCAGCCCGCAGGAGGAAGCGGAATGCAAGGGCTGCAATACCAAAGGTCGTCTGGTACTACAGAAGGTCCGTACACTGCTCCCGCTCCTACATCTTCACAACAAGAGGAAGGCAGCTCTCTTCACTCCAGCAGTGCAGGCAGCTCAAGGCAGGCGTCTGCCAGCGATCCCATCCAAGTCCTGACGATTACTACGTCGTCAGGGCAGTATCAGGTCCCAGTGGATGTACGCCAAGCGTCGCGGTTAGCTGACGAGAAGCGTGCGCGCAACGCAGGAGCATCGGCGCGATTTCGACAACGTAGGAAAGAAAAGGAGAAAGAGGCCTCCACGAGCATCGAGAAACTACAGCAGCAAAATAGAGACTTGGAGCGCAGGGTGAGGGAGTCCGATCAGGAACGAGACTTTTATCGAGGGGAGAGGGACAGATTTAGGGAAGTGGTGTTTAGAAACCCGGACACGAGACATCTTGCCATGCAGGCCCCACCAAGTCCACTTTCCATCCGCTCAGCAACGTCTTTTCAAGGGCAGGGCCAACAATTGGGAGGTCCCCCACCACAGACTCCCTACCAGCCTCCAGGACCTGAGAGAGCACCTAGACGAAGAAGAATCGATACTCAGGGCGAGTACAGTCCTTTACCCTACTCCCTCCCTCCGACTTCACTTCCCCCTGTTGCGGGTCCGGGGTTTCCCCCCGGCCCCTCACAAGGGGCCCAGAGCCTCCCACCTATGCGGAGGGACGGCCCAGCTATATTGCCGACATCAGTGCCGAACCAGCCTCCTGCAACAACAGGAGGCCCTCAGCCGCCATTCGACCCGTATGCCCGAGGCCCGTACGAGAGAGGCTGGCCTGGACCACCTAGTGACCATTCGCGACGCTAACCGCCTCCTTTCCCAACCTCGCTTACGGTGACAACACAGCACATCGCACATTTCCTATACATATATGTACCTATATAATCACCACCTCAGCATCATCCGAACGAGTACACAAATCTATCTTGTGTATTCCTAATATCCGCAGATCACCATCGGGGTTCTAGCGAGTGAAATGAATGCAAAATCATCAAGAGTTAGCATAATATCGGGCGACCGACGAAGGATCTAAGACACCTTTCCATATTTTGTTTGGTCGGCAAAACTGCGAATATACCCTTGGCGCGATGCACTATCTATTTTTCTTATTCATATATATCCATAATCCTCACCAACCACTTTGCTTTTTTGGAGCGATTCAGCATGGAGTTCAGTCTGTTTCTTGGGTGGAGCTGGGGATTAGCATTTGACATTTCAAGGACCCTGAAGAAGGGGGTCGTAGGAGTTTTGGGTTTGCGGAGGTGTCAGTTAGTTTCTTTTTGGGGTGGGCGTGGCACGGTTTTGAAAGGGCTATCGAAAGGAGCTATTTGGGCTGTATAAAGAAGATTGTTGAATAGACAGTGCAGTATTGAGTGGAAGAGAGGCATGGCATGGGGTATATATCAGACTGTATTGTACAAGACACCATGTATATTTTGATTGGTTTTTGGCGAGGAGTCTGGGTTAGGCAGTTGTGCATTTTTAGCAAGGCACAGAGTGATACAAATGGCGATGAAATATTTGAGTGCCATGCATGAATTCTATGCATGTGAGAATGAGGGGTAGCTTTAAGTGGTACAGGTCTGAGTAACATCACCGATAGAATCTGTCATAGGAACTGCAAGAACAGTATATGTCCCGAGATGTCCGAAACGAAAAACATTAACTCCTATAGTATTTTACGGCCTTCTCTATTAAGGCCTATGCTTCTTATGCTGATAGAGAAGCGGGACTCAATATTATTGCCGCTTTTCTATCCACTACAGGCTTTTTCAACTAGCAGCGATATTTTATGGAGAAGGCCGTAAAACACTATAGGATATAAGAATTGCAGGGGCAGGCTGACGTATTGAAACTCAAAGCTATGGCAAGGAATACAATGCTGGGAATATACCGGGATAGACTAGAGTGTCGTAATTTCGTTGCAACTTATTACGTTGCTATTAGGCTTGAGAAATACAGGAAAGTGTAAGTAAGTAAGGCTATGGAGCGATAGATATGGCTTTATCTTGTGAATGATAAATACAGACAATTCGAGGACAACTCGCTATGTACACGCCAAAAACATATCACTAAACAGAGCAACGGAGCTTCTTTCATTCCAAAAGTGGTGGTGGGGTGGTATGTTATGAAGTTATCGCGGGGTTGTTTATATGCTTGTAACCTAATGAGGAAGCCACACCCCGAGCAGCTTATCTAAGTCGGGATGTTATTCAGACCATAATGCAAGGGCAGACCCCGCGGGCCTCTTTTCTGTGTCACTCGGCGAAGCTGCATTTAATTATTAATGCCTACGTATAAAAGTACCAGTACAGTACATCAAGCTCTATAATATAATTAATGCCAGATGCCACCATTCCTTTGTTCTCAATCTTTACACATTCGAAGCATAGTATTGAAACGCGTGCAACATTCACCCCCACCTCTACTCAGCTTGGTAACCCGTACCCCTCCCCGTCCAACCTCAACTCCTAGACTCGGAACTCCTTCCTTCAGATCGTTCAGCACTACCTCTACGAAGATGTCAGACCTCATAATCGAACTCACTGCCCCCAATGGCAAGAAATTCAGTCAGCCAACGGGTCTCTTCATCAACAACGAATGGATCAAGAGCAGCAGCGGCGAGAAGATAACCACTATCAACCCCACGTAAGCCAGGAATACGAGTATCCCTCGGCATGAATCAACGCTGACTTGACCCAGTGATGAATCCGACATTGTGTCCGTCTACGCCGCAACAGTTGGAGATATCGACACCGCTGTCGCAGCAGCCCGCAAAGCCCTCAAAGACCCCTCATGGCGCGACATTACCCCCACCGAACGCGGAAACCTGATGATCAAACTCTCAGATTTGATAAAAGAGAACGCGGATACCCTGGCTACGATTGAGACGTGGGACAACGGAAAGATCTATAATGATTCTCTGGGCGATGTGGCGGAAACAGAGGGCACGATCAGATACTATGGTGGATATGCGGACAAGATCCATGGCCAGACTATTGATGTTGGTCCTTCGAAGTTGGCATATACTATTCGGGAGCCGGTGGGTGTCTGCGGACAGATCATTCCTTGGAATTTCCCGCTTGCCATGGCGGCTTGGAAGATGGGTCCAGCGCTGGCGTGCGGAAATACAATTGTCATCAAGGCTGCTGAACAGACTCCGTTGAGTATCTTATACCTGGCAAATCTGATCAAGGAGGCTGGTTTCCCGCCTGGAGTAGTTAACATCGTGAATGGACACGGAAGGGAAGCTGGTGCAGCTATTGCAACACATTTGGACATTGACAAGGTTGCCTTTACAGGAAGCACTGGGACCGGTAAGGAGATCATGAAGATGGCCGCTATAAACATGAAGAACATTACTCTTGAGACCGGTGGTAAATCACCCCTCATCGTCTTTGATGATGCAGAGCTCGACCAAGCCGTTAAATGGGCTCATATCGGTAACTCTCCCTTGTCCTTTTGTTCTAGATAAAACTAATATATCTCAGGTATTATGTTCAACCAGGGCCAAGTTTGTACCGCAACCTCCAGAATTTTAGTCCAAGAGTCCATCTACGACTCCTTCGTCTCTGCCTTCAAAGAGCACGTCCAAGAAGTCTCCGTCGTCGGCGACCCATTTGCAGCCACCACGTTCCAAGGGCCCCAAGTAACACGAGCGCAATACGAGCGCGTCCTCAGCTTCGTACAAGCCGGAAAAGACGAAGGCGCTACCTTGGTCTCGGGAGGCGAGGCATTCACCAAGGGCTCTGCAAACGGAAAGGGCTTCTTCATCACCCCCACGATATTCACCGGTGTCAAGCCGAGCATGAAAATCTACCGCGAAGAAGTCTTCGGTCCCTTCGTCGTTATCGCTAGTTTCAAGACGGAAGAAGAGGCGCTAGAAATGGCGAATGATAGTACGTATGGACTTGGCAGTGCAGTGTTCACGCAGAACATCACGAGGGCGCATCGCGTTGCGAAGAACATCGAGGCGGGCATGGTGTGGATCAACAGTAGCAATGACTCGGATTACCGGATTCCGTTTGGCGGCGTCAAGCAGAGTGGTATCGGACGGGAGCTGGGCGAGGCTGGGCTGGCGGGGTATACGCAGGTTAAAGCTGTGCATGTTAATATGGGCAATAGGCTTTAGGGGGGCATGGTAAGAATTTAGGGTGATGGTGGGGAATTATGATGAGATGAATATGCATGGATGGACGCGTGATAGAGCGATGCATTTGCTTGGCCATGATTAGAAGCAATGAGTATACCAAATTAAAAACAAATGAAAGCCGTCAAACAACTCCTATCTTAGCTTTAGATCCCCAGTCCGGATTCCTCAGCTTCTTGCTTTCATCAGAGCTATCAACTCTCCACGCATTTCCGGGTCCTCACAAACGTACCCACAGGTTCTGTAATATTCTCAAAGCCCTCCCTCCAGCTCATTCATTTTCTCACCTACCCTCCCTCTATCTATCCTCCCTCTCTACCATCCTCAAGCGAACCCTTCCTTTCCTCCATTCTTCCGGATACCTTTACCGCCTCGCGTACCAAGGTATTCGCCGAGCCCGGCCCCGCCCAGCCAAGCCCAGTCCGTTGGGCCGAAGGAAGAGTGGAGTGGAAGGGTAGTAGAGTGGAGTGGGCAGGTATATATCAAGGAGCTCGAGATAATATACGTACATCCGAGGTATAATGTACTGTAATGTAATAACGGTGGACCGGTCTACGTTTTGGGTGAATTTATTATTGAGCTTGCGTGGGGGTGGGGGTGGTCTGATCTTCTTTTTTTTCCCTTCAATTTATCCCTGCCTAGAGGCTAGGTGTGGGGGCTTTGGCGGCTTGTTGTCTAGATAGTCTGGTATTTATGGTTTGAGTACTGCGTGGTTTTTGTGCATGTGTGTCTTTTGGAGCTTTTGGAAAGGGGTGTGGGTGGTTTTTAGGGTGGCCTTTTAGAGGGAGGGCAGAAAGGAAAGGAGAGGAGAGGGAAAACATGGTTTAAAGACAGATATATTTTCGTCACCTTTGAAAAGCACAGCCGTTTCAAATAGCAAAGTGTTCGTAATCACTGCTTTTGCCATCGAGGCTGTTATTCACTTCAAACTTGGTCCCCCCGAGGACTTTCTTTTACTTACGATATTATACACTAGGCTTGTTGGATGGTTGAGACATCGAGACGTGAACTATTCACCGTCGATACATGAGTTGCTGTCACTTTCCTTCTTTCGTTGTTCTTTTTAAAGCTTTGTGATGAATGGCTCTTAAATGCGGAAAAGCAGCAGTTTAATTCGAGGCTATCAGTGATAAAAGATTTCGTGGGCCACCAAGCTCACATCCACACAATCCTTGGTCGACGTGAACGCCTTACCATCTAGGGAACGTAGTCTTGCTAAAAAGGATCGAGATTTTTATACCTTTGGAGAGAAGAGTTGTAGGAATTCCATGACCGCGCGCGCACACTTTTCCGAACAATCAAGAGAACATGAAGAGAATCTACGTTTAGAGTAAAGGCCATTTCCAGTATTTATATAGCTGTTAAGACTTCTCTTATATACCATTGCATATAGAAACTCCACATTCGAGATCCACCACTGCTTCTAGGACTGTATCTAATGGCCAATATATCCTGAAGTAAGTGATGGTTTTATAGGGTTCTTATAATATGTGTTTAGCTTCTGTCTAGAGATCAAAACTACTTTGGTCTTGGCTGATCATAAGGTGCGATGAATTTGTTGTTAAAAGCTGAGCTGCGGTCAATTGGCGGTGCTCTGTCGTTGGTGTCACATTCTTAATGCCAACTTTATATCAATAAAGAATGACATAGATGGCACAATGAAAATGGCGAATGTCTGTTCGTGGCTTCAATTCAACGACTTAGAATTCTTAATTACTCTGCTGGGAGGTAAGGTGAAAATGGTTATACAGCTACAGGAGGTCGTGGAATGAAGAAGGCTGTCACTTTCAATACCTGCTGTTATACGTAACCATCACGTAGCCAAGAAGTTCTAGAGATAACAGCCTCTATATTAAGTCCTATAGTGTTTTACGGAAGTCTCAATAAAAACAAGAAGCCTCGCTATGGACAGGAAAGGGGTATGCTATCTGGCGTGGGACATTTAAAGTCAGTAGAACAAGTGCTGCTTTTATGTCCAGCAAACTCAAGGGTTTATTTTTAGTCCCCCATACACAGATGACTTAATTCTCCTTCCACATCACTGGAGTATACTCTCTTCGAACCCCTTCCTCGCGCCACCTACCAACCCCGAATTTGCCTCAATCGAACATGAGCATCTTGAGCTTTCCCCCTAACAATACATTTCCCAGGTCCATGTTTTGCCTGCCTGTAGTATCTCACGAGTCTCGTCATCGACCATCCTTCGCAACACGAAGAACAACATCGACAAGAGAAAGAGGAGCCCATGAATCCCTGAACCGCTCCTCTGGGATGTCCTAGCTCCTCGAGGCTGATGTAGAGACGCTGGATTCTCTTCATCGTCCTGCTTGTCGTGCAGTGGACAGAGCACTAGACTGATATAGAAGCTTAAGTAAATAGCGCTAGAATTGCCGCCAACGAAACACCTGTGGCAGTGAGAAACTCCGCAACCGATTCTTCCATGGTGGGAGTTGACTCAGCTGGGTTGCCGACATAGCTTTTGGAATGAAATTGGAATCCGATGACGACTATTAGTCGTCTTCTGGCTTGTTGTTAGCGACTTTGCTGTGTGCGAACTTGTACGTGTCGCTGGTACTGGATATCTTCGGTTGGTGTGATTGATGCAGAAGGATGTTTGCTTGGACGATGCGATGCTCAAGCAGCAAAAGTGTACATCTTAACACAAGGAGTTAGATGTATATATAGCTAGTTTCTCATTTCGACTGGAAAGACGTACGTAGCGGTACCCGTGACGTAGAAAAAGCACCTTGAGTAGCATAGTAAGGGTCCTTAGCTACAGAATACCACTACTCGAGTAAGGTAGCATACTAATTATTTCACTTAGGCTAGCCTCAACTAATATAGAAGAGAAAATGTTACACTTTGCGAACTGCGACAACTGTGGGGAAGGAGGGCCCTGCCCTGACCAAATACACCTGGCCTCCTCACCTTACGGGCCAACAACCACCCTCCCTAATACGCTTTTTGGATGATCAACTAAGGTTCCTTTGTCGATGCTTTCACTGCCTCTTTACAAGTATTCGATTGTTTCTTTCCCGGTAGCGAGCTCTACCTGGACCCCCTTTTTTCCCGGGTCACGTGGATGAGCGTGGTGTTAAAACTGATCCTGCTCTGCGACATTACCTTCATGACAAAAAGAAACGGATATGACGTCTTCTCATGGAAGGAGGCAGACTAGGATGTGGTACAGGCTTAACTAGAAGTTCGGTGTTTATTATTCCTTCTTGAAACTCATGTGATTCGTGAAATACTGCTGGAAATAACGTATGCCTCGCTACATAATAGCTGCTTCTCTAGAACAAGATTTCAGAGATGCTGCTACATTCTTGTATGGTTATTAATTGCACTTCGCTCGAGGAAAGGCATGGAGGTAGTAAAAATATTTTGCTGTCAAGACAATAGTTATTGTCAATGTAATGTGACGGGCCGCTTAAGTAGTGGGAAGACTTTAATGATTGTGATAGATGAATCATTATAACCTGAATGCAGAAAGATGGTTGTGCCAAAGGAGGGTGTCAGCTTACAACCAATACCATATCTCTGGAAAAGCCCGTCCTACTGATTTCTTTAGTGAAATGATTGAGCTAGTTTGACAAAGTCTTCTAGAATGAAAAACTGTTGTCCACATATAGGGAGGGATACGTGGGAGAGTCCACCAAAGCTGAACATCCTTCGTAGGAAAATCACTTACTGTAGGATCTCACTATTTTTTAGGCTTCGCATTTGGAACCATTGTTTCAACCGAATGACACATTTTGCTGAACTTTCACATGATATTATTATTCTCTACAAAGACGCCTCAATGGCAGCCATTTCAGCCATAACATCCTTGATTTGACCTTTCGTCGCCTCCGCAACAGGCATATACGGCGTCCTCGGTTGCAACTTCTCTTCCGCGCCCTCGATCCCCGCCGCCTTGGCAGTATGTATCGCAGCCGCGTACTTGGTGCTCGCAATGCCAGCTTTGCACGGACTCTCAGCCAGCGCCGCAACGCGGTGAATCTTCAGAGCCTCATCGACCTTCCCTTCCTTATACAAGCTGTAGATCTTGGCAAGAGATTTCGGGAACACGTTCGCAAACGCGGCTATACATCCAGCAGATCCAACAGATAACCCCCCAATCAGGAAATCCGACTGTCCTCCAAACGTCGCAAACTCAGATGCAGGCAGCGATGCTGCGAGTCGCGTGATCTTCCCCACAGAGGCACAGGTGAGTTTGACGCCCACGATATTCGCATGTTTCTTCGCCAGCTTGGTGATGAATTCCGAGTCGAGATCCACCCCATTGCACACAACGGGGAAGTTATAGATGATAATCGGCAAGGGCGAGCTCGCGGCCACATCGTCGTAGAATCTCTCAATGACGGCGTTGGTCGTCGCCTTGCCGAAATACGCCGGCGGCAGCACAAGCAGGTAGTTCGCGCCGGCCTTCGCGGCATCGGCGGCCAGTTCGAGGACTTGCTTGGTGGAGTGCGCGCCGACGCCTGCCATGAGCGGGAACGAGGGGCCGACGGCTTGGCGCGCGGTGGAAATCAAGTCGAAGCGCTCTTCGCGGGTGAGGAGGAAGGCTTCGGCGTTGGTGCCGAGAATTACTAGGCCTGCGAGGCCGGTTGTGGAGAGGTATTGGTAGTATGTTTTTTGGGATGCGAGGTCGAGGGTGTCGTTTGAGTGGTTGAAGAATGTTACGGCTGGGCACCAGACGCCGGAGGGTGGAACGGACGCCATTTTGATTGAGCTTGGAGAGTGTTGGGTTTCTGAATACAAATCCTGTGTATTCCTTTCATGAAGGGGAGGAGAGTTGTTTTATTCTAAATATTGTGGTAAAAGACTTACTTGGTACTATACAAGAGTGGGTTGAATCGGCACCGGCTTTCTCAATCCATTCCGAGATCGGATTGTGAAGCCGATCTGATCACATGTCGATGGTATTAGGTACGGAAAGGAATTTCTTGATATTTCAAGTGAACTCAATGGAGAAAAATAGTGATTCGCCGTCTCTTTACCAACACAAACAAATCTATGCGTTTTAACGATAGACCTCCAAAGCACGTGGGACTTTCTTATAAACTAGCATTGCTGAGTAAACCCCACTGCCGGTTTTATTCAGGTACAGAAAGCTACTGCAATTACCCTAGTAGTAGCAGGTTATACTTGACTATAGTATAACTGCAAGAGCAGCCATCACTTCTCTCGCTTGCACTTGCTCCCTCGCCATATCACACTCCAAATATACCCAACGAAACGATGATATCAGAAACGCGTCTTATCTGCAATGTATGTATATCATTCAACCCAAGAAACAAGAAATGAAACCCGTCAAAGAACTTGCTTGCTGCAAAGCCACATCATGCCAATGTGTCGGAGGTATTATACCACTTGCAGAAGGTGGTGTCTGTGGAATTGAAAGAAAAATGGCTTGCAGATATTAAAACATGAAAAGCCACGTCTTATGTAGTATCTTCGACCTGACATGACACGGATAGCAATGCGATCTTGAAACTGTGGAGGCGAAGCACTTGAGTGAGGAAAAGGGGGTGGGGGTCGTATTCGCTTATAGTAGGATGTAGGTACTGACTACCGTACACTACTCCGTACATACAGTACTACAAAACAAACCACCCCACCCCCTACTTACCGAAGCGAGTCGAAATTCCGGGCTGGGATTCCGATGTCTTGCGCCTCAATATCCTGCCCTGTCGGAACCCCGGTAGTGCAGGTGTACAGTATACTGTAGTATGCAAGATTGCAGATAGTTATTTGCTTTTGCTAGACAACTGAAACGACCTATATCAATACAAGACCTCGCTATAGCCGAAGCCGTAGGGTACCTAGGGTGTGTAAAGTCAAGTTTCAACACCTCATCTCCGGCCTCGAATCGTGCACAGATGTAAAGGCAGGCGAAAGCCGTTTGTTACTCCGTGATCAAAGCTCGAAAGAACATACATGTAACTAATGATCCTAAAGTAGTGCGGCTCCGGCTAGTAGACGTCAGATACTCCGTACTTGTTTACTAGTGAGGTAGGCAAGGCAAAGGCAAGGGTTTCATATACCGACATAAATCATGTTCCGTCCCTTAGCTTATAAAGGAAGGCGATTGAACAATTATGATTCATCTCATCGACGACAGGCTTGGCTTAGCTTAGTCCCGTCCCGGCCCCCTTTCGCAACACGGTGGCAGCCGAAGCAAGCGGCTCGGGAGTAGGGCTGGATTGGAACAAACATGAACATTGTAAACGTAAAATCGTAATAGTAAGCTAGGACTTGTCTACCTGTATGGAGTGTCCGCCCGCAAGTACAGCAGTCCAGTCCATGCGCAAAAACTGCCATTCCGTTGATGTTGCTGCCTTGTCCTGTCAACAGCCGGGCTCTGAGGTTTGATCGACAGCTAGTGTACAGTCGGCACAGGCATGTGATAGAGGAGAGGTTACTGTAATTAATTAAGCTTAATAAGATAAGATCCAACACCCCGCCCCGCTAAATCTGCTCTATCATGATCAGCCCGCCGACAGTACGATAAAGCTAAGTGTGCTGTACGAAGTACAAGGGAGGCATACTCCGTACTTACCATAGCAACACATAAAACTAAGCCTTCCTTGAACATTAAACTACTTATACTTTATACTCGATCAAAGAATACCCTCAAACAAGCTTCTAAGCTCCGTCCGAACCCCCACTGATAATACGATCAAGCTACGGTAGTTGCAATGCATTGCATGCATTGCACAACAGGAAGTCTTCTAGAAGACTAGAAAGACCCCGAACACCCGAACCCAACCCCTCTTCGAATTCCATCGTATATTACCCTTCCGTGCAGCTAGTTGCAATCGGGGAATCTTCTAGAAACAAGAGCTAGCACCCTTTTCTTCCCTCCCCCTCCCTTCCACAGTACAGATAGTAAAGAGCCGGAGCTAAGCGTATCAACCACCCACGCAAGCAAGCGGATCAATGCTCCGTACTGTACTGTAGGGAAGATACTCAGATCTTCCCTTGCCTTGTTTGCCTTGCATCATACCATACCGTACCGTACCGTACCGTGCCCTACGCCAAGTGTACTCCGTCGCAAGTGAGCTTCCTACTATAGCTAAGCTACCTCCCTCCCCCTCTTCGCACCCTACCCCAGCACGCTACCCTACAGCGATCTACCGCTCCCCTCCTTCCCCTTCCACGCTTCCATCCAACCAGCACCCCCATCCCGTCACTATCATGGATAATCCCGTCCCTGGCCCGTCTACCACTACCACTACCGCTGCAGTGTGATACAGCACAGCACGCACCCTGCAGCATAATCATCCATCTATCTCCACTTCTTCATTCTAGAAGCCTTCCCTTCTCTCCTCTTCTCCTCTCCTCTTCGATCTAATGCACGTCCCGTATACAGATAGATAGCGACCTAGCTTCTAGAACCCAACCCAACCCTTCTACAGAAACCTTCCTTCCTTCTTTCTTTCTAGCGTACCTGCTATGCAAGCCTGCGTGCGTGCTTGCGTTCCGCGTGCACTAGGGCTTCTAGACAGCTTCTAGAAGATCCAAGGTGCCGACGTGATGTGATGTGATGGATAGACATGATGGCATGTGGTAGATGGATGTGATGTGATACTCAGGTACCGGCAGATCACCCACCCACACTTACTCACACCTCACCTCACCTCACCTCACCTCACCTCACCTCACTCACACCTCACTACACTTCACTTCACTTCATCTGAAGGCAGGTTGACATCACATGTCATTTCAATTAAAAAGTAAAGTAAAGTAAAGCACAGTAAAGCACAGTAAAGCATAGTAAAGCATAGTATCCAAGCTTATATTTTCTCATATCCATCCATCCATATCCAATAAATACCTAGGTACGTAGACGCTGTGCAATAAATGCAAACTCCTCATCTAAGCATAATCCATTATCCATCACATCCATCCCAAGATCATCCCATCCCAACTCATACAAAACCCATGACCGAAAACGCCAGTTCCATTATTCATTCATTACCCCGATCCAATCCATTTGAAAATCCTCTTCCTATATTCCCTGTTTTCATAACCAAAACAAAAATAAAACAAAAACAAAGATAAAATGATATCCATTTCCAAAAAATCATCGTTCTACTGGTATCTTCCAATCATCCAACAAAAGAAAAGTCGTAATATGATTATTAATCATTATACCATAATCCATTCCCCTTCATTTCCCTCCATGTATTTTGCCCACTTGAAGGGTCCAGAGAATGAATCTTTCTCGCTCTGTCCATCGGCCCATAACTTTTCAAGAACTTCCAAGCCAGCAAGATTGTTCAAGTATCCACTGCGCCCCATAATTTCTCTACATTTTGAGCGCACGATACTTTGCTGGAGCTCATTCACACATTCACTGCCACTGATGAATAATGGCCATAGTAAGAATTTCTCAGCTCCAGATCCTTGATCTAGACTCGTGACATAGAACAAGACTTGTGAGACGAGATTCTGGAAACTGAGGTGGGAAGATGGGAGGTTGGGGCAGGCGAGTCTCTCGGTGTAGAGAAGAGCTGAGTAGCGGAAGGCTTCAGAAATATATCCGAAATCTCTTAACTGGGTTGAAGAAGGAGTAGCAGGGAGGTTGGCGACAAGACGGGAAGGGTCAAACTCCCATTCTTGAAGCGCTTGGCGGGCGGCTTTCCATTCGGTCCAGAAAGTAGTGTTCATATCGTCGTGAGATGTGGAAGAGGTGAGGTGAACGAAAGAAGCATTGTCGTCTAGGGTGGATGCAAAGCCGTTGCCATCGAAATTGTGTGCGTGTAGGTTGTAGAAGTCTACTAATGCTTGGCCGGCTAGTCCTGCTCGTGGTTGAGGGGGTCTCGGCCGGCGGATCTGTGACGAGGCAAGATCGTCAAGGACAGGTCTGTGTTGACATAACATGTTCAGTCGACCAAGTTTGGCAATCGTTTTGAAGAGTATCGAGTCACAGCCGGCAAGGTTCTCCAGGCCGTGGTTCGGGTTTGATGAGGTGGCGATCATTTCCAGATAGCCACCCCTGAGTTGAGCCTCGCGGTCGTTGATGCTTGCTGCTATCCCATCAAAGTAGGTGAAACACGTCTCCATCCAGCCCCAGTTACCAGTCTCCACCCCCGAATCGCGCATTCCAAGAATCTTCTTGACCCCAGCGAACTGAGTACGGAATTGGGCGACCCCAGACTCACACATCCGATAGTGACAAAGGATGAAAAGTGTGGCAAGGACGCAATCATGACGAGCCTTTGAGGGATCACCAAGCTGCTGATTCAGAAGAGATACAGCGAGAGATCGATGCTGGTACTCTTCCTGGAGGGAGGAGTCACTTGATGGGGTATCAGGTGACATTGGGTTGCTAGGAGGTTGTCGAGATAGTGGGGCCCGGGTATGCGCGCCGTTGATGCGGTCTTGGAGCTCAAGCTCGAGTGGCTGACGCCAAAGATCCTGGCCCAGTGACTGCTTTCGCTTCATGCGCAGGTTGCAGGCGGCAAGAGCACAGATGGCATGCTGCAGACTCTTACTCGAGGAAGCTAGGCTTAGGATGTGTTCTCGGTATGGATTGCTGGGACTATCGATAACAACCACAGACGGGCATATGATTTTTTCATAGTAGTCTAGGAAGAACGACATCCGAGGTGTCATGTCGGAGGTGTAGGCGGGCGACATGGAATCGTGTCGGGAATGGTGATAGGTGTCTGCCTCGGAAGCTGCCTGCGAGGCTATATCATCATCATTGACGGATGTCCAGCCAAAATGGCTTGATCGAGCACTGGTGGCATATACCTCTGATTCGCTCTGATTGGCATGTCCCCCTGAAACCGGTCAGTGATGTGATGGGTGGAAGAATAGCCGGAATGCAGCTCACCCAGCATGTCGTCGTCATAAAATATATCATTACCCGCTGGGGAGTGTTGATGTTGTCGCCCTTCAGAGATATCGTACAGGTTGTGGCCATGGTGCGAACTGATGCTCGAGCTGATCTCGGACTGGGCATAGAAGTTGTCAGGGCAGGAGGTGGGTCCACGTGAATCACCCATCATGCTAGCTACAGGACTGTGACCGGCGTTGGAATTATGCGATGAAAAGTTGTTATACATTGGCACAGGGCTGTGCAAGAAGGGCACGTCGTCGCCGGGGAAAGACTGGCTAATGGGAGACCCATTGTAGTCGCTTTCGGCATATGCACTTAGAGAATCGAGGGAACTAGAAAGAGCGATGCCGCCGTCTGCTCTTCCAAGGCTGAGAGAGTGCGTGTGAAGTCGGTGTAGATGCGGAAGTTGTCTCTGGTGGCTCATTCCATCTTGTTGATGGTGATAGTCTTGCTGTATTGGGTATTCGTGATGTACAGGCATATTCCACTCTGGCAAGTGCATAGGCGGGGCAACTCCATTGGGAGCCATGTTGACAAAATCATAAGTCGTAAAAGGGTTGACGGGCATGGGAGGCGCATGTTCCATCTTGATCTTAACACCATCTTCATTATCACGATTCCGCGCAGTCGTCGATGTCGCCCTTGGTCTGGTCGTGGGCGGACTTCTGGGAACTGGGGCAGATCGTGCAACTGGGAGGGACAAGCCTCTCAGCTTTCCGCGACTGGCCACTCCCACACCCCAGGTCAATTGGGTTTTGTATCCCGAGCATTCTTTCCCAACCTCTAGACATTGCGAGCAATATGGCCGTCGACGGTCGCATTTGGTGTTTCTCTTGGTGCAAGCAAAACAATCGTCCGAGGCGCCACTAGCTGGTGCTCTTCTACGTCGCTTGCGTTGTGGGACCGTCGGTGGGTCTGAGGAGGCACAAGAAGAGGCCGAGGCGGGAGGACAGGCGAGGGGTAAAGTCATTTTTGGCTATGGCAGAAACTTAACGAGGGAGATGGAATGGGAGCGACTGGCGAGACTGGGAGAAAGTGAAGAAACTATGTGTAAAAGAATGCAAGACAAGAAACTCTCGTGGTCATAAACGTCTGAATGCGGTTTTGTGAATGTGGGCATCCAAGTGGTTATGAGCAGCGGTGGTGGAGCTAAGGTAGGTAGAATAGAGTAGAGTAGTAGTAGTAGTAGTAGTAGCAGTAGTAATAGTAGTAGTAGTAGAGGAGCCGGGGCTGCGAGGTAGGTGCAAGGTAGGTGCAAGGTGCAAGATGCAAGGTGCAAGGTGCAGGTTCAGCGCGACGATGGAGATCAACTCACACACACACACACACACACACACACAGACAGCAGCAGCGGCTTTACAAGGGTGGAAAGAGCCACTCCACCACCACCATCACCACCACCACTACTACCACCACCATATCTAGGTATCCACCACCGTCCCGTACTACTTTACTACTTTATCTACTATTCGACTAGGGTCTAACAAACCGAGGACTGTCTCTTCTGTGCTGCAGCCAGACTAATAAACGCCTCCCCCGAGCAGAGGCAGCAAATCACAGTCCGCTGTGGCTGCAGAGGAAGCACACTGCAGCCTTCTATGCATGCATTTCTTGACCATCTCTGTCTCTGGTGTCTCCCTCCTTAAGCCCCCCCTTCCCCTGTCTCTTCCGGTCTCGAGATGCAGATGCGCATGTCTCGCAGCAATTGGTTTCTTGTGCGAGCTCGACCATGATCACAAGCCGCAACCAAGACCAAGCCAAGGCCCCGGAGAAGGATCCCATCGAGATCAACGCTTTGATAGCTACATACATGAAGGATTTACGAGTAGAGGATTCTTTAGATTTAACCTTAATGTTGCTGCAAATCCCGATCACGTTCGTATTATTATACACTTCTTACAGTACCGTACATAGTAGCCTCTATTATGGAGGTATGTGAGAGTTTAGTAGGTACCTACTCCGTACCTTAGGGAGGAGGTAAGATGTGCCGGCCCGCTTCACTGGTGGGAAACACTATAGATCCGCGCCAGACCATCAGAGAAGCGTAGAATCCAGGTCGGGGTGAGAGTTTCTCCTTATCCGCGTATAGGCGTATCCGTGTATGAGCACAGCTTGCAAGTGCAGTAGTATATCTACATCCAGCAAGTAGGTAGGTAATACTGCCAACTACCTACCTGACCTCACCTAGGTCCCCTTCTTTGCCAACTGTACGCAGGAGAGCCCACGCCGTGGCTGCTACTGTAGCGTTGTTTTGGACAATGTAGACACGGAGATGAAAGGAAGGGACCAGTGATGCGATCTACTCTACGATGCCGAAGCTACCGGCGTCAATCAGCCATTGACGATGATTTGTGGTGGGGAGGCGAGACAAACGCAGATGCGATTAGGTGCAGTAGAGGTGGCTTTGCGGAAATGCCGTGGCAAGGCTTAAATTTGCCAGCCAAGAACGTTGAAGGCGTTTCGGCCCTCACCACCCACCCATCAAGTCTCCTCCTGACTGTACGAGGTACGGTACGGACTCGATTGTAGAATTACGCACAATCCCCAGCCGCCGCCGCCTCCCTCCATCCTGGCTTCAAGGCAAAATGATGGACGACGAGGGTCAGGGTCAGGGGTAGTTTATTCTAGGATCTTGATAATTTATTTCGTCTCTGATTCATTCGCTGATTTGCAGTCGACATTTACTCGCAGTGTCGTATCTGAAGATGCAAGCAGGCCTGCACCTTCAAGGCACGACTAGCAGTTCGTTGGCTGTGCACGATAAGATGCTCTAATACCCTGCTTACCAGGAGATAAGGCCATGCATTAGACGCAGTCGAGTGAGGGGCATCACGGGCATCGCTCAACATTTGACGGAATTGCATATACAGACAAAAAGAAATACCAGGAGCTCTGCTTCTCCCCCTGATTTTTCTTTGCCTCCCCCTATTGCTCGCTCTCTCGCCAGCTACCCACGCATGCTTTGTGGTACGAGGGGCGCGGAATACCTAACCATTAAGAGGCGCCGGCCTAATTGAGGGGAGCGGAAGGAGAGTCGCATCTTCCAGTTTTAATCTATATCCGCATCCGCATGGAAAGAAAGGCAGGCAGGCTGTGAAGCCTACCGCAACGTTGGAAGGGAGGATGGGAGGGGGGTTCCGAATCAGGTCCAATCCATCTCGATCATGTATACTGTCCGTATGGCACTGTACGCAGGTACCTGGTACTCAAGCCAGCTCCTTTCGCTACTACTCCGCGCATGTACGAGCGACCTAGCAACTCGCAACGTTGACCTGAACCAGTTTACGAAGTTTACCTCATGATCAGCGCACCTAGCAGGCGACTCGATCCTATTTTGGTCCAAGCACCAAGATAAGGGTTTGACGGTTTGCGCGCTTACAGTACAGACGCTTCCAGGTACGGACCTGCTCGCTGTGACCCTAGCCAGAACTCTTCGTTTTCCTGCACGTAGCTTCTGATCCCGTTCTCCACACCTTACCTTCCAGGGCTTCGTCGGATGTGGCCACTATTTAGTACTCTCCCCGCGAACCGAATCAGGGACGCTTATTGGATATACTAGTAATGGGCCTTCCGGAGCTTGATTGCTGCTAGTAAGCACGCCCCGGTTGTGGTAGGGCCCTAGAAGGATTCGAAACTGCACAGAAGCTTTTCCAGCCACAAATCGAAACTGTGGAAACCGCCGAAGCACGACAGAATCGTTAGATTCCCTGTCGGCCAAGTTGACCAACCTTGTTTCCGGAGCGCCTCCAATGCACGTATCTCCCGCTGGCCAATAGAAGTGGATATTGACCAAGACCCCTAACTACAGAGGTCCGATTCCTCGTCTCGAATATCCTTGCCTTGTGCAGGGTCATGTGAATGGTCGGTCCTCTCAGGCCTTGCACTGGTCTCACAGCTTTGTGCTACACAACCCACGAGCGAACACCCCCATCCAAGTTTAAGAAAGAGGAGAGTCCGCAACCAAGTATTGCCAAAAACCGGTTCATATGCCGTGACCCGCGCTTCTCGGTCTCAATTAGTTTGTGGGGGACTTATCATCTTATAAATCTTGACATGGAGTATTAATCATAGAAACATAAGAAAGTTAAAGCGCTTAGCTTCCCAAGTCTATACGGCTTTGGGATATACCCCCGTGTCTAGACTGAGATCTCCCGAAGGCCATCGATTCCGAGGTCCTTGATGAGTATAGACAAGGACTTGAGTAAGTACAAGGTCATCCCTTTCCCTTTCTCGTGATTTCGGTGTTCTTTTGAGCGGAAAAGGCCGCCAGTGCTGGAGTTGGACAGATTTCTACCCAAAGATTGAAGATGAATGGATGGAATCATTAGAATGATCAACATCGAAATCCTTCATAGAACTCTAATCGCCGTGCATAGTCGCCGCTCAATATTGTGCTTTTGAAATACTACACCGCCGGTACCTGATTCGACAATGGTCACTTTGCGACAGGAGCGACTAGAGCCTATTATTTGTTGGCGATGGAGAACTGTGGCGCACCGATTACCTGTTCAGTAGAGTTGTTCATGGCAACGTTACCTCCGTTGCAGCAACACGGGGTCTCGATTCGCTGATCCCCTCCCCCACCTCGTGCCTCACATCTGAGGTCATGATATACAGTACTAGTATCGCTGCACGAGGTCACAACATTGACAGTTGACAGCACATGATTGCACAAGAGCGTCATGTTCAACGCTGCGAAGGCCCTTTTGAGAGACATTCTCATATATGACAAGATATTTCCACGAGACTCACTCGTGGATGCGGTGTTTTCTATATTGAACTGGGCTGCACTGATGGGTCATGATGACGAAGATATGGTAGATATTCTATTGCGGGGTGGTGGTGTTGTTGAATTTACGTTCGGTCATGTTGAAGGAAACTCGAATCGATACTCTGCTTGGAGTACCATATGAAGGCGTGGGGGTTTGGACGCTGTACGAAGTACAAGGGGTTGAGAAACTGTCAAAGCTGCATGGCTGTCACCTCAAATCGGAGATATCATGATGCTTGACCTTTTGCCGGGAAGAAAAGCTCGCCGCCCCGAGGCTGATTTGGAGGCTGAGCACGTGACTGGAGATCGTACAAATATCCACGTGAAGATAAGAGTTGGGTACGAGTACGAGTAAGCTAGTGTTATCTTTTTAGCACAGCGAAAAATTATGAAAACTTCACGAGAACCATTTCCAACTTCCAGATCAGGATTACCGCAACCGCAAAAGCAACCACAGTCACAATCATGGGTCGCGAACTACAGAAGAAGAAGAATAGATCTTCGATCTCGAAGATCAAGCTGAAGCCGAAATCGAAGAGAGTCAACCCCCTAGGTAATCCTATCATTGCGGCGAATTGGTACATGCCCCTCTTGCGTATAGCAAAACTTCCAATTAGACCTAGACTATTTTTATATTCAAGTTACTGACAGGGCATCACAGGAATCAAAGCGAAACCCTGACACAGAACTACAAGCGTCTCGGTCTCACTTCGCGCCTCAATGCTGCGACGGGTGGCATAGAGAAATTACGTGCTGGATCCGACTCCAAGAGCTCAACCACAAGCAAACTCGCCATCTCGAACGCTATCCCCAAAACCTTTACACCGACTGAGGCAAAGGTCGAGCGCGACCCCGAAACGGGAAAGATCACACGAGTTATCCATGCAGCATCGAGGCCAAATCCCCTAAACGATCCCCTAAACTCCGAATCGGAGGATGAGTCGATGTTGGGGGACGACGGTGAAGACTTCGAGGGGTTTGACTCAAGAGGAGGGGAAAGGACCGAGACAAACCCTATCGTGCAGCAACTAGAAGACATGGCAGCTAGGGCGCCCGAGAAAACTCCTAGGAAGCAGAGTGAGCGGGAACGGGAATGGATCGAGAGGCTAGTGGGGAAGTATGGAGAGGATTGTAAGCGCATGGCGCGAGACATGAAGTTGAACCCGATGCAACAGACCGAGGCGGACATAAGAAAACGAGTGGAAAAATGGAGATCTTCCGGTGGTGCCGCCACTCAAGGCTGAAGCTGATAAGGGGAGTGAGGGAGGGGGGAGGGGGGAGTGAGGGGTAGCAGGATGCGGCACGTATAAGAATGGCATGCATTGCATTGGTGTTATGGAGCAATTATTGTGTGGCGATCACCGCGGTAATGAATATCGTACGGAGTCTTTTTCTTTCCGACAAGATACTTCGGAACGGCGCGAGGGAGGCATTAACTTGGATTCCATTGGTGATGATGCGAGCTACTCATGAAAGGATTCTCACTCCTGAGGGGCTGAGGGGGCTAGCCACCCGTGTCATCCATGCAACAACAAAGGTTCTGATCAGGTGACACGGCAGAGAGCGTTTTCTTCTTTCAGCTTTAATCCGACCTCATATTTCATAGTTCTCAAGATCTACAGTTGTTGTCGAGAAAATCAGCTCTGCGCTGCTAGTTTCTGCCAATCAATCATATGGGGTTGAGATTTTGCCGCTGAAGGTCAATACCGAATGATATTTTTTATTTTCCTTACAAAGCAGCCTCATTTAACACATTACCACACGTAAAAGAAGTTTATCCTGCTTAACGCCCTTCCTCCATCTCCCCATCCATGAATATCGGGGCTTTCCGATTAATAAGAACTTCAGTACGTGCCACGAACATAGACAACGACCTAGAACGCAATTAAGAAATTCCGAAATCACGTACTGTACTCTCAAAATGCTGATTAAGGGCCTCTCCTCTTCATAACATCGATGTTCGCGGTATACATACGTAGTCCCAATATATCCCATCTCAAAGCCTCGCCAATCCATTGCCTTGCCTTTCCTTCCCTTACAGTACATGATTGATACATAGCTAACCATCCCAGGGCCAAGCTTCCCTTCTCCACTCCCCTCAAGCATTCATTCATTCATTCATTCATTTATATACGAGAACAGAATTTTCACTCACTCACTCACTACCTGCACCCATCTTATTTCTTTTCCAAATCCTTGGCTTGAGTGCTTGCTTGCTTATGCTTAATACCTACCTAGAGATCTACGGCCGGGAACAAGTAGATGGAATGAATTCTACAGCTAGTATGAAGACGAGAAGAGAAACACCGAAACACCGAAACACCACACATCGCCTTTCTTTCTGCATATATAGTGATGGATGAATGAATAAATGAATAACAAAGCCCCCGCTAGTCATATCGATCTTCAACTAAAACAGAACCGACTTCTTTGCAAATGCGCGAAAATAGGAAGTTTGGAAATGGAGGGACAATACATCTTGAAGTCAAGTTCGATGCTAAAATCTACATTTCTAAATTGAATGAATGAATGAATGAATGAATGAATGCTCTGACTTAGCGTCCGCAACAGGACTTCTACCTCCCATTTCGATAGCATGAAGGCTCTCTTCTTCTTCCTTCTTAATCCTATCTATCTGATGGTTCAACCATCTAGTATGGCTATATATCAGTGCGAGAAATGAAATGAGATGAGATGAAATAGAATGCATATACGCTCTTCCTACGGTATGTCTGCCATATTAATATCTGCAACTAGCATATATGTAACTTGCGAAAGGAAGGGTGCGATGTTGGGGGTTCTCTATTACGACCTCCTTATACAACTTCCTCGAGATTCCCTAGCATATACGACTTTCGGGACTAGATGCATATCAATGCCGAACTAGAGGGCTGAAGGGGATCTGCTCAACCTCTTATAGTTGTTTTCTCGTTATTGTTTGATGGAGTGCATTTGATAGACTAGGTTGAGTTGTAAAGGCCATTCACCAAGGCAGTACTGCTATCTCTATCCCTGACACATTGGTGCTAGCCTGTACAGCTACCCTCACTATAGATGCAGCAACTTTCGGCGTACATATTTGATATATATGGATTCAGCCGTGCCGCAGCAACATCCCCATTAACGGCTATGCAAGAGCTGTACAATCGATCCACTTAGCTATACTTTCTCTTGCGCCGGAGATGCTATTAGAAGTCGCGCTGATGCGGAGGAAAGCGATAGTGGCCCTGCAGACAGCCGAGAGTGTACATGTGACGGCCGCTGCTGCATAGATTTTCACAATGAAGTGCATATAGAATGTGGAGTAGCTATAGTAGCTGTAAAGATCTGGGATTTTAAGTGACTTTTGAAGTAGGAGGTGATATTGATATGTTGCAGTTATTTTATTATACTACGATCATAATAAATATTATGTCGACCCAAACCATATCATTAAGTTATTGACTGACAATTCTTTTTACCTTTAGAATGAACTATAGAATACTGGAAACTTTCTAGTGGAAAGTCTTTATATTATGCAATTGTAAAAAATCACATTAATACAAATCCTTAGTGATCTGTATAATAACATAAAATTGAGCGGAAACCTGTTTCCAATACGATATAAGCTTACTTTATGCCTAATTTCAATATCGACCATGAATGTTATGGTTTTGCAGTTGTTAATGCTTGGATAAAAGACTATCAACCCGACCCTGGAGCTAAAGTTATTCTTCCTTGATAGATTATATATTGATTTAAAAGTGGCGATTTGTCTGTATAAGGCTTTCTAAAGTACTGGTTGCATAAAAACAGGTATTGTGAATAGGGGGACGGTCACGTGGATTGACTGATACATGACTGCACTAGGCGTATAAAAGGGACTTTCATCCAGTTGTACGAAAGTATACTTAGATCATTATCAAAAATAGTGATCAAAACGCTAACGAAGTGCCAAGTCAAAGGATGAGGAAGAAGGTTTACATGCACGTGGTTATCACGGGATCTCAGGTTGCTCTTCTACATCTTTATCTATCGAGTCTCAAATGAATGATACAGAGATACTTGGAACGTATAATCTGCAGCTTGGAAATCATACATGTCACGACAAACAATGCCTTTTGGGCTATGGAAACCCAAAGTCCGCAACAGCCGAGGCTCACATCATTCGCACATGAAAAGCATCAACGACCGAATTTTACCAATGTTTTAAACAACAAAGACTACAACAAATTACACGAAACAATGAGAGGATAGTAAATACTGTAAGTCTATTGATATTTGCAAGGAAGAGGCCTAAATAAATCTAATATTGAAAGCAAATGCTCATCCCTTATCTTGATCGTATCATACCGGAAACCCGTCAACTCGAAAACCATCTCATAACATCATCACGGCGCAATCACTCCTCACGAGTCACTCGGCTTGTCTTCTGATGGCTGCAACTTTTCCAAGAGCTTCTTAGCCGCCAGCTCTCCCAGCTCCACAATCGACTTCGCGTTCATCATCTCCAAAACCGTGACAGGGAACCCGAAGCTCTCGCGCCACCAATTTCGTAGGTCAATCGCGATGAGTGAGTCTAACCCGAGGGCTGTAGGTGCAAGGGTTATATCGAGATCCTCCTCTGGCTTCATCAGACTGATGAAGAGTCGAAGCCCAATTTCGCGAGCAAGGAACTCCGCACTGGCTTTCTCAGTAAGCATGGCAGGCTTGGCGTGGGCATCTGCTAAGAAGAGTCGGAGAGGCTCATTATCTGATGCAGCCGAACTCGAGGACGCGGCTTCCAGGTTGCGATAAACTGCCATACGAGGGTCTCGTTTCCAGATACTGCGGTTTCCGGGCTCTGCCAGGGGCATGGTTGAGCGAAGACCGATGCCGACCTGTCCTGGGTTGGTATAGGTCTTGGCGGGAGATGCTGGCGCTGGAGCAGAGCGACCCATCATCATTTGAAGGGAGTCCAAGACATCTTGTTCGTGTAGGCCGTGGAGGGAAGTGGAGAGCAATGTGTCTAGAACAGATTGATTCTCGCTGACGTAGCCAGCATCCACGACACATCCAATATCCAAGACTGATGCTGGGAGCCCAAGGCCGTGGCGATATTGCACGAAAGCGTCAAGGAATGTGTTGCCGGAGTTGTAGTTGACTTGACCCCACTGCCCGACGAGTCCGGAGAATGATGAGAAGAGGATGAGGAAGTCCAGAGTCTCCTTCTCCAGAGCTTTGTGAAGATTCCAGGTCCCATCGACCTTAGGAGCGACAGCTGCATTCCATTCATCAATCGACATCCTCGCAAAGGCTTGATCCTATAGAGTCGTTAGTTTGGCTCACTACATTGAAACTGGATTGCTTACTCTCAAGACCATGGACATCTGCATAGCACCCCCAATGGGCATCGTTGCATTTTTTACCACGTTTTCAACGTCGGCCAAGACAGACACACTGCCAGCAAATGCCTGCACAGAGCATCCCATAGTCTCGAGCTCCTTGAAATAGGATTTATGAGCCTCTGTCTTTCCTGCTGATCTTGAAAGGAAAATTAAGTTCTTAGCTCCGCTTTCAGCCATCCATGTCGAGATTGCTTGACCGAGACCACCCAGGCCACCGATCATCAAGTATGAAACATCTGGGCGAAGAGTGAGCTTTTTAGCTGTTGATGTTCCTGCCAACTCTTCGGGATTGAGGGGCATTTTCAGAACAATCTTGCCCATGTGCTGTCCCTGTTGCATATAACGGAATGCATCCTTGATTTGAGCCGCTTCGAATACCTTGATGGGCCTGACTGGCTTGATGGCACCCCGGATGTATAATTGAAGGACTTTATTGAGCAGTCTGAAGCGCAGAATCAGTACCAAACTTTACATGGAAAGGGGGCCTTGAAAACTTACTTGTGGATCACATCTGGACGCTCTTCGGCCATGACAGCGAGATCAATACCAAAGAACGATCGGTTTGCTTCGAAGAGGGACATTCCTAATTTTCCTTGGCCTATGAAATCACGCTTTCCGATTTCGAGCATTTTTCCGTATTGAGCCACACATTGCCAAGAAGCGTGAAGCAAATCACCCGAAAGAGAGTTGAGCACCATGTCCACTCCTTTGCCGTTAGTCGCCCGTAAGATGTCGGGTAGGAAGGATGCATCTCTGGAGTGGAAAATGTGATCCCGAGCAATGCCATAGGTATCCATAAGATATTTGACCTTGTCCTCGTTGCCGACGGTCAAGTAAATCTGATATTGTCAGTTCGGTTTCAAACTCAGTGGCTGTGAACCTACCTCTGCGCCAATATATTGGGCAATCTGAATCGCAGCAATACCTACTCCACCTGCAGCCGAGTGGATGAGAATGGTCTGATTGTAGTTAGCAATTGGGATCTATCGATTTAGACGACCTGACTTACCTGGTCTTTCTCAAGATGGCCCAAATCCATGACGGAATGAACCACTGTGCCATAGACGACCGGCATTGTAGCAGCATCCTCGAAGCTAAGGCTGTTGGGTATCTTGACACAAAGCTTCGAGTTGGCCTTCACCCGAGTCTCCAGAGTGCCAGTCGCTTGAACGACAACACGGTCTCCTGGTGCTAGTCGAGTGACTGCAGAGCCTACCTTGCGGATGAATCCCGCACACTCGCATCCTAACCCACTGCTGTCGCTTCTCTGGGCATCAACAATGCCCATAGAGATGAGAACATCCTATTTGGTTAGCGATTGGTTGCACAAAGTGTGTTGGAGAGCTTACTTTGAAGTTCATGCCGATGGCGTGAGTTTCCACGATCACCTCGTCACTCTTCAACTCGGGTTCGGGGAACTGCGCCCAGTGAAGGGTTTCAATCATGCCTTTCTTTTCAACTTCCAGCCTTTTCGGCATTCTGCTTGCAGCAGTCTGAGACAGCTCCTTGTTGACAGATATCCAGTGGAAACGACTGGTATAGATGATATTCTCGGCGACCGCAAATTCCATGTCAGAGTCCACTTCTTCTTCCTTGGTTCGACGCTGGAATTTAGAGAACACATCAGCCACACGGCCCCAGTTGTCCGGACTGACAGTGTCTAGCTCCAAAGTTGCAAGGGAAACCCCCAACTCGGAACGAGCTGTTCTGGCAATTCCGATTGCTTGAGCGTAGCGCGGATCTTTGCACAGGATTTGGGAAGATTGAGTTACCCAGAGCATACCGATATTCTCGTTCTGCAGATGCAAAGTATAGTCTTGGAAGCTCTTCAACTTTTCGGCCTCGATATCGGTGAAGAAAGGTTCAGCAAGATCCACGACTGCAATGATATCCTGCTTGGCTGGAGGTAGTTGGGGATACTCAATGACGTCCACTCCGAAGCCTCGGCCTTTCAAAACAGTCTCCAGTTCTGTGACAGCGGAGTCTGTTGACTTTGCCGACAACAGAGTGACGGTCTTGCCAGATTTGTCTACAGTCGCGGGTCGGGCTAGAATATTGGCGTTATTCTGGTAAGGTTTCTCGTCATCATACAACACTGTTTCAGCTCCGGAGAATCCAGATTTCTTCAGCTCTTCGTCCCATCTCTGGGGCGAGACGAATGGTTGCTCAAATCGATTGTCTGCTTCTCCAAGCCACCAGCCTTGGAACAAGCCCTAAAATAGCGTTAGTAAGTAGGTTCATGGTACCGACCGTCCATCGATGTTCGGCTGAAACGTACCATGATGTAGTTGACCCATTTGGAATCTGGGCACAGTTCCTGGAGGAACAATTGGCCGTTAGGTTGAAGCAATTTGTGGATATTGGAGAGCGATTCCTGGAGAACTGGGGTTGCATGAATGACCTGTCGGTAGTGTTAGCATTTGTTCATTCTCTACTCGACCCAAAGCTTCATACATTGGTTGCAACGATCAGGTCGTATGAGTTTGCCTCAAAGCCTTGCGCAATCGGGTCTTTGCTGACGTCCAGAACAGCATAGTCGATAGCAGCATAGTTGTGGAACCGTTCCTTGGCAGCACCGAAGAATCCAGCAGAGATATCCGTGAAGGTGTACTTCGCATACATTCGCTCACCAAACGTGGAAGAGAGGTTCTTCAAGATGATGTCTGTTGTACCACCAGTACCGGCACCAATTTCCAAAATCTTCAGGTGTGGTTTCTTGTGGGTTAGCGAACTGAAGAAATCTGTGTAATCCCACTGGCCAGCAAAGTTGTAAATCTCAGTCAGGATATCATCCTTCATGAGCAGCTCAAGAGGATCAACCTTCCCATCAATAATATCTTGGATATTCTCAACAATTCTTGCCAGAGCTGTGCCGGCAGCGGGCGAGTCTGTAGCCTTCAAAGCGGTAGAAGTCTCGTCAATAAGACTCATGCGAGCCTTTTGGTCAAGCTTTGCTAGATCTTTTGCATCGTCCACAAGTGCATAGTCACCTGCCTCAATGCGCAATACCTGTTTCGCAATCCAGGCAATGAATTGATTCAAATGGGGCTGTTCCGACTTCAAGCTGGAAACTCGAGAGCTAGTCTCGAGGATGCACAATGCGGTCAACTTCTCACCAAGCTTGTGGGTTTCCCTCACACTCTTGACTGTTCGTATCAAGTCTTTGTTTTGGAGGAAGTCGATGTCCGGCTTCCATTCAAGCTGAATGGCTGCGTGAGGATCTGGATCATTTCCAGAATCGTTCTCCACGGGTGAGAGCCTCAACCCTCTCAGGCGCATGACCGGCTCGCCGTTTGTTGCCCCGAAAGCGTCGCCGATGACAACGCCCTTTCGGGAGGATACCGTCTCGGCAAACATGCGAACGTCTGAAACACTCTTTCGTATCGAAAGGAAATCGATAGAAGTGGGCAAGCACATCTGGTTAAGCTTGCGTGCTTGACCGTAGGCAAGGGCAGCACTGACCAGCTGAAAGCAAGGATCAAGCGTTGCAGGGTGAAGAGAGTAAGGGGACTCGTCCTCGCGCTCCCAGTTCTTGACATCGGCAACCGCTGTATGCTCATTTACGCCAGCGGATATGTTGTCCAACCCACTGAAAGCTGGACCATAATTCAAGCTCACTTTTCGCATCGCGGCGTACCAGTGATGAGTAGACACTTCGCGCGGAAGCTTATCAAGCTTCGTAGTGCCGACCAAATCTGTCTCAAAGCCACTACGAACTTGGCCAACACAGTGTTTGGTCCACGCAGCTCCATTATAAGACGTGACAGTAAAGTCATACCAATCCGAGTCGAGAGAGACGGTTAGTCGACTGGGCCGCAGGCTCGTCATCACTTCCGTGTCCTTTGAGTCTTCAAGAACCATAGCGGCGGTGAGTGTGACATTTCTGACAGTATAGTCTTCGGAAGTGGTGAGTTGGCGGATTGCCTCTCCCACCATGGAGAGATAACCAGCAGCTGGGAACACAATGTCTGTAGAGATCTTGTGGTCTGCGATCCAGGGTACATTGTCCAACTTCAAGATGTTGCGCCATGTCGGTTCAAAGTCATTGACTTCAGCAACACGAGATCCGAGGACGTCATGGTGAGGGAATTTAAGGTACCGATATGCCTTGGACAGGCGCGACTCATTCCAGAACTTCCTCTCATAATGCCAAGGATACAGCGGCAAATCTGGAAGAACAGTTCGGCTTGGATTCATAATTGAGAAGTCCAGTTTCGTCCCGTGGCAATGCAGTTGCCCAATGGCAGACAGGAAAGTTTTGGTACCATTATTGTTCCTTTGCAAAGTGGAGAGATAGGCATGGCTACCGGTTGCAGTGCTGAATATCTGTCGGAGAGGCCCAGCAAGGGCGGAGTGGGGCCCAATTTCGATGAACAAACTGTTTTGGACTGCAGGGCCCAGGATGGACTTCACAGCTGTGCTGAAAAGCACAGGCGATTCAAGATTAGATCTCCAGTAAGCTGCATCCAGCTTGCCGGCTTGTCTGATGGCTTTTCCGGTGACACTGGAGAAGAATGGCACTGTCGGTTTACGACTGGAGACCTTATCCTGGATCAAGGCTTGATACTGCTCGCCAATGGCCGCCATGTGATCTGTTATATTGTTAATTCTATTCGAGTGAATTGCAATTCTTGGGTTGACTTACGGGAATGATAAGCCATGTCTACTTTCAGACGCCGTACCAATTTGTCTGGATTGGCTTGTCCAATGGTGTCCATGACTTCGAGCAGTTTGTCTGCATCACCAGATAGTGTAACGCTCTCAGGGCTGTTTTCACAAGCAATGACTACGCCGGGAACCAGGAAAGGGGTGACTGCATCACGCCCCAAACCAATCGCAGCCATACCTCCGGCAAGGCCTTGTAATTTCATGACTTGGCCCCTATAGTATGCCATCAAGATAGCCTCATCTGCAGTGATTGCTTCCGCAGCGTACGCACCGGCTATTTCACCACTTGAATGACCCACCACGGCCTGGGGCTTGACGTCCCACGACCGGAAGAGGTTTACAAGGGCAATCTGGACAGCGGAGCATAGCGGTTGGGACATTTCAGGACGGTTAATCAAACTAGTTGCCTGTGGCTTCAACAGCTCATCTGTATCTGTTAGCAAACATCTCGTCTTGTACAAGTGGAGCACATGCCTTCTATTGTCCAAGAGGGAGGATCTGGACAATGCGCGAGGGTCTTGTCCATCGCTCTGATATCATCCTGGAAGGAGGGGTAATCGGTCAACAGCTCTTTACCCATACCTGCCCATTGGGCACCTTGGCCGGTGAAAACAAAAACTAGGACTCGCTGATTTCCTGGTCTGATAGGTGGAGCAAAGGTCAGTGGCTCGTCGAGGCCGGCGACGGTAAATGATCGATATTGCATATGGGTTCTCCTTGATGCCAAAGTGTAGGCAAGATCACTCAAACTTGCGCTTCTTTCTTCGATGAATTTCTCATAATTCTGAGTAACTCTCTTGAGAGATTCCTGGTGGTTGGCAGAGAATACGAGCAACTCAGGTCGAGCGAGAGCATTAGAAGCCAACGACTTGGGACGACCAACGTTCCACGCCGCAGCAGAGTCAATGACAACCTAAAATGTGAGTGACATGCCACAACTTATGGGATACTTGTTACTTACGTGGGCATTTGAGCCCCCAATTCCGAAGGAATTGACGCTAACTCTCTCCTTTCGGCCTACGGGCCAAGCCATAGGCTCCAGCGGCACGGTGAGTTTTGAAGCTTCAAATGGAACTTTTTCCTAGTTAGCAATGAGCTTTGCCATGATTTGCAATTACTTACTTTTTGGATTTCCATTCTTGAAACGCATATTCGGGGGAATCGTCAACTTTTCCATTGCCAAAAGCATTTTGAAGGTGCTCGTTAAACCCGAGGCACCTTCCGAGTGCCCAACATTTGGTTTCACCTTTGAAAGTTAGCTGGAAGAAATACTAAGTAGGATGCAGCCATCACATACAGCTCCGATGATGACACCATCCTTTCCAAAAACTCTTGCTACTGCGTTGGTCTCAACAGGATCACCGATAGGTGTGCCGGTCCCGTGGCATTCTACCATGGCCGTTTCCGAAAAGTTATCAATGCCGGCGACTTTGTAGGCTCTCCTCATCAGTGTTTCATGAGCATCTGTATTAGGGTATGAGATTCCAGGAGTTTTTCCGTCGCAGTTTATAGCTGTTGATCGAACAACACCTCGAATCGGATCACCGTCACGAATTGCGTCGCTCAATTTCTTGATATAGACGCAATTCACGGCTTCTCCTCTCGCATAACCATCAGCGCTGGCATCAAATGACTTGCACGTGCCAGTTGGCGACACAACGCCTTGTTCTGTCATGGCAATCGTCATTGTTGGTGTCATGATGAGATTTGTGCCAGCAACAACTGCGGACGTGCAATCACCGTTCCGAAGAGCGTCACAAGCCATATGAAGGCCTATAAGCGAAGATGAACAGCCAGTCTTGATGACCAAACTGTGAGGAGTATTAGTATACTTGGAGTCACATGACGAATGCGAAGTGTTTCTCACCTGGGACCCTTGAAATCGAATTCGTAAGAAACTCTGTTCGCAAGAACATAGTCTCCATGGCCCGTGATCCGATACGAGCCCATCTCCTGGGTATCTCGTAGCTGAGTCTCTAGCCAATCCTCTCCGAAGACGCCAATATAGCAACCAACGTTCTCCCCTCTCCAGTTAGTTTCACCGGAATTTTCCAGCGTTTCCCAAACGACTTCCATTAGGAGCCGCTGTTGCGGGTCCAGTCTGTCGAGTTCCTTTTTACCCAGATTGAAGAACCCGGAATCAAAGTCGTCAAGGTTAATATCCTCTAAGAAGTACCCCGAATCTGTCGCGACACTTTGGGGCTTTTTCGTTTTGTTGTAGAAAGCGTCAACGTTGTACCGATCCGCGGGTACGCGGCAACGTGCCTCTCTCTTTTCAATGAGCATTTTCCAGAAAGACTCCGAATCATGAACTCCGCCAGGAAGTCTCATTCCCATGCCGATGATGGCGATAGGTTCTGCTCCAGCTTCGGGGAGTTTGCTGAAGCCATTTGTGTAACCATTGGTATGGCCATTGGTAGTTCCATTCGTTTCGGGGGGTGTGTTGCTGCCGTCTGAACTTGAAGAATGGAAGCCATTCCCATTAAGCTCGACGCCATTTGTTGAACCATTGGTATGACCGTTGGTTGCACTCATCTTGTCTTGAAGATTTCTAGTGAAGTCTATGACGAAAGCACAGGAGACCCCACTGGTGTTGAAAAGTAGGTCTTGAGTCTAGGTATTTGAAAGGAATGAGTTGATGATGGTCTTGTCGGGCACACTCTCACATGTAAGCTCCTGTCTTATAATGTATACCAAGGAGCTTATCAAGAAGTAGTGCATGGGGAGGACGCGGGTGAGGATGGGGAACAGGGGGAGCTTCCGCCTTGCGCTAGAGAAACGTGGCTTTCTGAGGTGCCTTACCCTAGTCGCGCATGGAATCCGACGAGCTTGGATAGAGATCCTGTGCTATGCACTTAGCTCCAAGTTTACAATAGAGCTGAAGTTGTGATCACAAATGTGCCGAACCGGGGAATAAGCCATTCAGAAGTCAAGATGCTGAATTAAATTGGGTAAGTCTATGATACCGGTCCCCTCTGCATTCGGAAACTGAATATTCTGGAGCACCGAATCGTGTATTACTAGCTCGTTATATATGTTCACCAATTGGTAACATATACACGTGTACATCCATGTTCAAATAGTCTTTGGTTCCTGTACCCTGTTAAGCCTCACTAGGATAGTTCCGTGCCGCCAGCACACATTGTCTCTCTTCTCCGTGTTTTTGTGTGTGTAGTATAGTTCAAAGTCCCTACTATATTTAGTCTGTATTTCTATACTCTGCGCTATCCAAAACCCTAGCTTTGTCTAGAAATAAGTCTTTGATTAAGAACTCTCACTTTAAGGTCATTTATCCTATAATCCTGAAGTCGTATATTAGGGTTATAACTTAGTTATATACGTAGGATTCTAGAAATTCACACTAAGTAGTAGGGATTGTCAGACTTAATAGAAAAATTAGAGTTGGAGTAAGTCGGCTACTAGTCGATTTATCCTTCAAGTCTAAGGCTGACTATTTCCGTGTAAAGATAGGTTTCGCCCATATCATTGGTCTTTTGGCCTACTGGTAAGCCATTGCTGAAGTCAAACTTCTCGACTAGTGCCTTCACGAGCCCTGTATTTCGTCGAATTTAAGGTGTTGGAGCATAGTAGCGCGGAACATATAAGCGTGGGGTAAATATTATCAATCGGGCGTTTAGTGTTAAAATTGGGGAAACACCATGAGTACTTGTGGCTTCGAATGTACGCCATCTCTCGTCCTTCTAGGTCAAGACTCTTAAAATAGAAGATTCACGCGCGGAGTAGCTTGTTAGAGCAGAGCTCAAGTTGCTAATGGTCTTACGTGAAAAGACTGCACTCAAACAGTCAAAAGGAAAACGTTTAGTAGGCTTACTCACCGTTGTCGAATTTTCGTATACCTTCGTATGCAGGTATGATAATACCACGAGAAGGCTTAGCAGTAAGCTATTGGCTTCTTTTACTTAAATATATAATACAAATGAAACCGAACCGCAACGCGTCGTCGAATATATAAAATAAGCTCCCGCTCCATTCAGCGTTTCCGACTGGCCAGACCAGAAATTGTGGAGTTGTGCACACAAGTGATATTGTCAGACAGGGTGTAGATCCGCTGATCTAAGCAACGCATCTATCCAAAAACTACCTTACCTACCTCTCAAGCGCTACGCGCTAGTTCTGAGACGGCACAGTATAATTCAGTAGCTTCAGCGTCAGAACAGGCTTTGTTATTCGCTTGCATACCGACATAACAACATCGTTGACTGCATCCGGTTAGGAACGCGGGACGGCACGGCTCAGCGGTGGTGGACAAGCGGAGGAGGATCGTGCCTGCCCTTAGCAGATGTCAGCACAGCATCGGGATACGAAAGGGTGCTCCGTCTGAACTCTCGGACTACCGAATGCTATTTTTGACCCTTGAGCTGAACTGAATGAATATTATTATACAAAAGTAGGCCATATAGAGATATTTACGCCTATATAATTACTACTGTTCTCGCTTGTACTTGTATATTTTAAGATAGGTAACTAACTACCTTTCATGAGTACAACAATCTTGTGATTATAGGATCTTCATCCCTTATGCATAGTTGTAAACTTTCCCTTAATAGTATAAGCAATCAACCTGGATGCGTGGAACGTAGCGATATATACTCGCTTCTCCCTGTGTATAATCTTATATATCCCTTGAAAATACGCGTGTAGTATAAGACGAGCCGAACAGGTATATCTGAGTCTAGGTCAGAAGACAAACCTCCGTAAAACATGATATTCTGTTTCTTGGTACTCCGAGCATGCCGCGAACCTGTCAGTCGGTGTCCGATAAGAAGACTGGGATGGTATACATCTCAGGGATTGTACATGTCTTGAAGTTCCCAAGCCATTTGATAAGGATCCGAGAGCCAAGCCAATGCAAAGATGAAGCTGGCGCTTTAAACATCGAGGTGAAGTGAATGGGGGTGAACTAAAGTTCCTGCATATGCTGATAGCATGTGGTACCCTTGCGGGGTTTCATTGCATCCTGCAAGTCGCTGAAGTACTCGTAATAAGTCAAATAATGCCAAAATCGCGGCTGGATATCTTATCGCCGCACAAAGTGATGAATTCGATCATCCCTTCAGCTCTCAGCTCCTGTGTCCTCTTAGCTCTTCCCTCTATTGGCATGGCGGGAAAGGAATCGGCATTATGCTCGAAGTTTCATGATTCGTAGACTCGTACAAGGCTTGTAAACTAGCTAAAACAGCGGCCAAGATATGCTCCTACTTTAACAAACCATGGTAGCGGGGTTGGGGGCTTGGTTCCTCGTGGCGTGTTTCTCATAAGCACTTCCTGCATTGCGACTTATACTTCTTGCTGCAAACGAGAGGATCGCAGCCTGCTCCCTCGTCATTCTTCTGCTCATCTAAACCTCTAGATCGTGACACTTTATTCTACATCACTTTCAGAAATCATGGCAACAGGCAGTCTCTGGGAGAAATTGCCCTCGATGGCTTCCATTTCGCATGAGAAAAAGTCGCTCTTCCTTGTTCTTGCCCCGTGTCTTATTTTATTCATCGTCATCTCATCGTTTGTCAAGTCCGTATCTAGAAAGAGACAAATCAGGGCCCTTGGTGGTTTTGCCCCTCGGGTTCACTCATGGGCCCCATTTGAACTCGATCTCTTGGTCACGGCGACAAAACATCTTATAAACAACACCTTTTTCGAATGGACTCACAAGCTGCTCACCAGACCTGGCCATACCATAGAATTCAACATATTTGGCAGGCGTATCCTCTTCACTGATGCCGCTGAGAATATTAAGACCATCATGGCTACAAATGTAAGTAGCGTTTGCATTTGAATCACTGCCCTTATTATATTTAGCTGAACGAATGTTAGTTTTCCGTTTGGCCAAAAGGGCATCATATGCATGCTATTTGGGAGGTAGCACTGGGCGACTCAATCTTCACGAGTAAGTTGTCTGAACATGCCGAACAGTTCGAGTCCTGCGCTAATCTAGTTTCTGTAGCTGATGGTGAAGAATGGCTGGCGAGTAAAGCCCTGCTTCGACCTTATGTAAGTGAACTGTGAACCTTGAATTGGTTGTTATCCTAGGAAAGTCTCTGACTCGGCAATAGGTTGCCAAGGCCCGCCCGAATGACTTGGAAGAAACCGAGATTGATTTCCAGGAACTGAAGAAACATTTGATGAAGCCAGAGGCCCACGACGTATACGACTTAGCTGATCGTTATCAACTCGATGTCGTAACGCGCATATTTCTCGGGCACTCTGCTGGATCACTCCCCGCTACTAAACAAGAATTCCGAGTAGCAATGGAGAAAGTATTTGACTGGAACACCAAAAGAATTTTGCTGGGGTAAGCAGTTACCTGGTAGCCGTATGAAAACCACTAATGGTTTAATAAACAGACCGTTTGGAACGAAAGTCCCCATGGGCATCGTGGCGGCAGGCCCACTGAAAATAGTCAACGAATACGTCGCCTCTTTTGTAGACCGAGTCAAAGCTATGTCTCCCTCGGATATCGAAGCTATCCCTGAGAACGAACAGAACCTTGTTCATGGACTGATCAGAAACGGAAAGGACCCCAAGAGCATCAGAGACCAATTGTTGGCCGTTCTCACAGCAGCAAAGGATCCCTCGGCAATTTCAATTGGATGGAACCTCTTTGAGCTGGCTCGAAATCCCGAAGTGGCTGCGAAACTTCAAGAAGAGATTCTCTCAGTGGTTGGCAGTTACTCGATACCCCCAACAGCCGCACAGTTGAACGAATTGACTTACGCAAAATGCATTATGAGGGAGTCTTTACGGGTATATGCATCCTGTAAGTATTATCAGACGCTCGGCGAGTATTGAATCGAATGAGACTAACTAGGCAAAGTGGGTTACAACATTCGCACATGTTCAGCAGACACCACTCTCCCGGTCGGCGGGGGAGTAAATGGCCAAGAACCCGTCGGCGTGCTTGCAAACACCCAATGCGGTAAGATTTCCCCCATATCCATGTTCCAGCGACTTATTTCTGACAAAATACCAGTTTACTCAACACTCGGTCTTCAACGACGCAAAGACGTCTGGGGAGAAGATGCTGAAAGCTGGAGGCCTGAGAGATGGCTCAATTATAAACCAGCCACCTGGGACTACATCCCCTTCAACCACGGTCCTCGTGTTTGCATGGGACGCAACTTTGGCCAACAGCAGATCTTGTATGTGCTTGTTCGGATCTATCAGGAGTTCGGCCGTATTGAGCTAGTATCTCCCAAAGAACAGCAGATCCGAGTGGAGCTGAACACAAAAATGGCACATAAATGTATGTGCAAGTTCCATCCTCGAGAGAGGTCTGAAGTGGAAAAGACCGGCATCTAGATGTCCTTCTAGGGACAGTGGGGTGGTTAGAGGACTGAAACGAGTCTTGAAATCGAATTTGATGTTCTTGCAAGTAGTTAGATAGGATCAGTACCTTGACCAATGGCAAATAGAGTTTATGTCTTTCATGATCAAAACGTGCGGTATTCGATCAGCATACCATTTCTAAAGGGGCTAGACAGAATATTTATCTCTGCAGTGCCAGCTAAAAAGAATAGTACGCAAGATTAGCCGTCGAAATGCATAGGTTCGCGTTCAGAACTAAAACGCCATTAGTGCTATATTTTCCTATTATCTTATAATTAGGAGGTCCCCAAATTATCTCATTGCTATAAATTCCCTTAATAATCGTGTTTTGCACAAAGTTCGCAGCAGTAGCAGTACGTTCATTGGCCTAGGGTCCAGGCCCTGTGGACTTCTTTCGGAAGTTTCTATGTTAAGCTTAAACCTCGGCTCTCTACCGTTAGTGCCTGTCATGTCTTACCTCTCCACTACTTAGCGTACAAGGACAGACGCATCCTCCGTATACGAAGTACGAAGTACTACTGTGTACTGCGTACATTAAGTAATTGGTTCTTGATCCTGGTGGAGATCCTCATAAGCGCTAGAAAAATAACGGCTAAGCCAATGATAAAAGGAAAACTTCTCGGTTGGAGCCTAAGATTAAGTTTTTAAGTGGTTACAGACATAAAATATAGGGTAAATAATGTGGAAAGTGCTACACTTGAAGGAAGAGCTAGACTGAGACATATCATTCCTCTTCTGCGTCACTTCCTCATTTACCTAACTAATAGTACCCGATGACAAAGAATAAGACATTATACGTGTAGATGGACGTCAATACACAGCCTTTCATGGGAAGAGACTTGGCATTCGTGGCCTGCATGTACTACAGGCTCCCACTGTGAGTCTCGCAGGAGTAAGCCCTACTCCCTAAGAACAGAGGACGTGTAGCGCCCCCATATGCTCAAGATTGCCTTCAGGACAAGCTTCTATCTTCGGGACGGTGTGACGATGTGACGATGTGCAGGAGGTTCAGCCGTCGAGGTCCGGGGAAAGGAAGAGGAAGAGGAAGAGGCGTATGGGCACGTTATAGTTACGCAAAGAGGCGTCACGGAAGTCGGCGGTGCATGGCCGGTAAAAGCGATAGGATTCATCGTACGTCGTATTCTGTACTTCGGAATAAGAGCGAGCTATATATAACGGGCGGAAGATCCGATTCTTATCCAGAGAATCTGATAAGTCAAACAGCAGCCCTGTTATGTTAAACGCGAGCTTAAGATAGGAAGAACACAAGAATAAAAGTAATAAAAGTTATCTCCACCAGCTGATTAAAGGAAATGAAAGCCAATATAACGAGTTCTCAAAGTAAGGTATCGTACTGCTAGCAGGCACTATAACCTACCTAGGTACTGGTATAGAGGCTTATTCGGGGGGGTGGGGGGGGGGGCTAGGCAGTTGTGCCGCCGGCCCGCACCGCGGACACTTGTTGACCTTCCGTAGGCAAACAGCACCGCACGGCGCACACCTGTGGGGCTGGTATTTATACCTAGTACCTACCCTTCGCGATTCTCATAAATTTACGTAGGTACTTGAGCAGATGCAGACTCGAGCCATAGCTAACAAAAAGAACCCAGGAAGAGGGATAAAATACGAAAACCTAGGTATCTCTTCACATGTTAATTAGCATACTCATAGCATTGAAAGAGCCGAGGTGAAGACAATAAGACGGTTCCTGACAGCGCCGCACGGAGGATTCACACCCCGGTTTCGACCACTAGGGCCCAGCCCAGCTCAGCTTCCCTAAAATGCCCCATTGATTCTGCACGTCAGAACATGGAGGCCCCAATATATGTGGGGACAGACTTTACGGAGTACAGTAGCGGGCATTCGCTCTCCATCCCTGCAGAAGCCGAACATCTGTTGTACGTACTCCGAGTCTTGTATCTACCTGGTGCCCCGACTTCCGAACAAGCCTAATTATCGTCGACGTATCAAGCCAAGGGAGCTTAGGCATGCGTGCTCCCGCTTTTCTTATCTTCAATTCAGCCCGTAATCTTCACTCAAAAACATTACTGTATTAACTGGGAAGGGATATAAAAAACTAGCGGTTAGTGTAGAGACTTATGCTTTCGCAGTGCTCTGGATATATATTGCATGATTATATGGTCTACTCTACGATAAAAAATATGATATTGAATTAAATATAGCACTCCAACTAATAAGAAGCCTCACTGTAAAATTTGGTGGGATATTGCGGTAAGGAGCTAAATATATATATGGAATGTCCACCGTAAATAGTCTCAGTATCATACTTAAAGAAAAAGCAAGAACTAACGCTGAAGAACAGTAATTTCAAATCCAAAAACGCTTTTTTGTTTTCCGGATTTTCATAGATATTAAACGCTCGAAGATTTTCTACCAAGTTTTACAGTCAAAAAGTTATACGGGAGTAGAGGTCCATTGAAGGGGAGCTAAATACTCATATACCGGTACATTTACCACGCTAAACTGCTACGGCTGAAGCTCCTTCCCAATGAACACGGAACATCTCGACACCCATGCACCGTACCACTCTCCCCCATACTCCGCTTACTCTAGACTTGAAATTCGATTGAACCGTGCCTCACAAACTCTTGATGAGCTTTTGTATGAATCTGGAAACGTAGATACACGCTTCTATCATACACTACCCCGGAGTTCGGAGGCGTTCTCGAAATGGAGACAGCCCCCGTCACAGCTGTGGAAGTCCAAGGCATGAAGCCTATGAAGGGTAAGGCCTTCTGGCTGGCGCTTTCTAGTCTAGGTGTCATAGCATGGTTGGATGGACTGGCAACGACCTCGCTATCGCCAGCCATACCGGTAGGCAAGCCAGAACTTCAGGCCAGTTGTATATAATTAACGATTCCAAAACAGATTGTTACTGAAAAACTTCATGGCTCGGCCCTCGAAGGCTTCTGGGCTGGTACGGCTTTCTTGCTTTGTGCGACGGTCTTCCAACCCACGTTCGCGTCATTGTCCCAAGTCTTTGGCAGAAAGCCGTTGCTTTTCCTCGTCCTCTTGCTATTTACCGTAGGGACGATTGTCAGCGGAATCGCACACTCATTTACAGTGTTGTTACTTGGCCGCTCGATTCAAGGCGCTGGATCTGGAGGTATCTTGGCCATGATATTGGTGGTTATGACCGATATCGTCACTATACGAGAGCGAGGAAAGTGGATGGGAATAATTCTGATGCAATATGCAGTTGGAACTCTTGTGGGACCGATTATTGGGGGCGCGTTTGTAGAATATGTTTCTTGGGTAAGTTCTATACGCCAATATATGTCGATGTCGTGTTACTAATGTAGGGCTCTCCAGCGCTGGATCTTCTGGGTCGTACTTCCACTTTGTGGAATTGGATTTGTGATGGTGTTTCTTTTCCAAGAGCCCCACGTACGGACGGAAGCCATTACAGAGAAATTGAAGATGGTAGATTGGATCGGCCAATTTCTCGTCGTTTCATCTGTCACTGCTATTATTTTACCAATCACTTGGGTAAGACTACCTTTGCCCGCACCGGGCGTATGTTGGAATTCAAGTGCTAATGAAGCATAGGGAGGAGTCCAGTACCCTTGGGATGGCTGGCGTGTTCTAGTGCCTCTCATTCTGGGTGTGTTTGGCATACTTGGTTTTGCGGTATACGAAAAGTTTGTGCCTAGTCAGCCAGTCGTCGCTCCACGGATCATTGCGAATAGGACAGCAGCATCAATCTACTTTGGAAGTGTCATAACTGGCGTTCTGGTAATTCACCATCATCTTCCACAAAAATTCAATACTAACGACGCAATTGAACTTGCTTAGATGTTCAGCCAGCTTTATTATCTCCCTCTGTATTTTCAAGTAGCAAAAGGCTATTCACCTCTGTTATCAGGTGTAGCGTTGATACCGCAATCCTTTTCAGTTTGCCCTGCTAGTGTTATCACTGGAATCCTGATTACTCGCACGGGGAGATATCGTTGGGCAATTTGGGGTGGATGGGCGCTGACAGTCCTGGGAACTGGTCTTCTCTACCTGTTGGATGTCGATACTCCCACGGTAGCATGGTGAGTTGATTTTTATCCTCCCCTTTGAAAACCGCAAGCGTCAGGAGCACTTTTCAATCTAATTCTTGCGGGTTAAGACAAAGCTAATTCGTTCAAAAGGGTTTTCATCGGCATTGTTTCTGTCTTTGGAATTGGCGTGACAATGAGCGCAGGGTCTATTGGCGTTCAAGCAACTGCTTCTGACAGCGACTTGCCTACTTCGGCCGCGTTGTTTACTTTCTTCCGCTTATTTGGTATAAGATTTCTCAAATCATTGCGCATCTTCCCCTATTTCTCAAGCTTGGGATTCCAAAGTCGTTTTGTAATGTCTTCAGACTTCCGAGACATCAAAGTCTTCTTCGTTTTCAAAAGTATTTTCGCTGGAGCAACGCTAATATATAGAGTACAGGTCAGTCATGCGGTGTTGCCATTGCCGGCTCAATATTTCAAAACCAGATGGAATCACACCTTAGAAAATATCCGGATCTTGCAGATCAGGCGTCTTCACTCTCAAAAAATGCCGCAGGTCTCGTACCCCTCTTGGCGAACTTGCCCGATGATGCGAACAAAGCCAACATCGTGCAGAGCTATGTTGATTCTCTAAAGATCATATGGATCGTCACGATGGGATTTGCGATTGTCGCAGCCCTTCTTTCACTTTTGGTCAAAGGATATTCTCTGGATCGATCTCCGATACCAGATGTAGGGGCCTCTCCAGCTATGCCAAGTAGTACTGATGAGGAGAAAAGTGGTTCGAGAAATGGAGGGAGCGGTCCAGAAGAAGTTATCTCGGCAGGCCCGTTGTCACAGCCGTAGTGTTGAAGATGAAGATATCATCTTTGTGCGCCGCTAAGATACTTGGTTTGCCTGCTTTTAATGGAGAACTTGGGACTGGAAGATGTGGATAGAGATACGTATTATATCTTATAGCACTATGAATTAGAATACAGGTAGATTATGCGTACTAGGTTATAGATGTTTCATCGGTGCTTTCCAGCAACAACTACTAGCGGCGAATGAGCGAAATAAGTCAAGAAGTCTTTCAGCTAATATCCCTTGAATCTCTTCCAACTTATAAGACCTGATTTATCCCACTAACCCCGTTCTCTAGCTCATTTCATCCATCGCATTGTCTCCCGTCGTTAAAGCCTCTAAACTAGCTATAGTTGAACTATATGACCTCTCCTTTTAATTGTTGTCACTATAACAAGAGACGGACAACGAAGTAAAAGTATTTAGTTAGATCTTTATTTATTATTCTCTGATACAAAGCGTTATAGATCTTCGCTCGATGTTACCTGCTTTTCTTTTTTATATCCTCGGGCTAAAGAGATCGGTGATAGCTTTACGATTCCGTTTAAGTAATAAGATGAAATCTTTAATAGCTCCTACGCTCGTTATAGTAGTACTATTAACCTATCGATCGCAGCGTTTCGTTTCAAAAACTATAGTCCTCCTTACAGAAGCTCAGCAGTATTTATGCTCGATTGCAGCATGTAGACCTGATGATAAGACTCTAACCTCTATTAGCTGATTTGAAAATTGAATACTATATATATAGGTAGGTATGAAAAGGTTGGTTTCGTGTAACGGAACAGAATAGTATACGAGTATTAATACACCCTGTATTTACATTCGCGGGGTAGGGTAATAAAGGAAGCGGTATTAATGACTACGAAGTGACTAGTCAAAAATAGTACAATGCGGTTAATGGGTGCTTTTCATATAGTTGGAATCTAAGCACTAACTAGATCTTACTAGTTTTCTTTTAGTATTTATAAGTAGTATGCAGATTACGTTAGGGAAAAGGGGAGTTTACTTGTCTGGAGATCCACGTTATAAATAGCAAGACGCCTTTTAGGCGACAAGCATCATCGTAGAGGAGGTTTTACATAAAGGGTCAAGTCTAAGATTTGAGGATATATTGAACAGCACGTGCCTCGCCCACGTGCTTAGCACCGGTGGATCCCCTGCCAAGATCTGCACAAGGAAAGGTTCGCGTTTCGCATGAACCCGATATCCTGCAACAAGGGGTTCGCTGGCGTTTCAAACTTTCTACCCCTCCTTCAAAAGATCCCCTCTTTCGCTGGCTCCCACGTTTCCACAAGACATTTCATCCCACCTGCACAAGCCCTCAGCCTCAATCCCAAATTAATCAATCAATCAACAATCCTCCATCTTATCCACTACGGAGAAAAAACCAAAATGGCGGGTTTAGATACTAGTCCTAAAAGGCGGTGTAACATGTGACTGATTGGAAGAATATACGTATAGGCCAGATACTTGAGTGAAGAAGAGATTCAGATCCTGAAGCATGAGTTTGAGGAATATGTGAGTTAAACAGGGTCGTTCCATTCCTTCCCCGTGCAAAGATCCGTACAATACTCACTGACGGTGATCGATCTAGGATACAGACAAAGGAGGTCAGTCAGTGTGAAATGGGAACGACCTGAACCTGCTATCAGAGCTCCTTTCCCTACCCCCAGAGGCAGGATATTGTAGTATGTTAACTAGATATGTCTGTTCCAGGCAACATCACAGTGGAAGAGTTCGGCCGCGTGATGAAGAAATCGGGCCAGAATCCCACTGAAGCAGAGCTCGCGCAGATAATCAAAGAAGTCGACCTCGACGGCGACGGGACGATTAATTTCGATGGTTCGCACTCCTTCTATTCTATCCTCCCTTCTCTCCTCTCCTCTTCCCAGGCCCCTATCCATAATTCCCACTAAATTGCATTAACATTACATGCTAACACCCCCCCAGAATTCATCGCCATGATGACTGGGCGCTCCCGCGCCCCTCCCCCCGAACCAACCGAGAAATCCGATGCGATCATGGAGCTAGCCTGCAAGTCCGCCTGGAAGGAAGTCGACCCTGGCTTGGAGCGCAAGATCAGCGCCGGGGAGTTCCAGAAGGTGATGGGAGCGCTGGGGGAGAGTTTGAGTGAGGCGGAAGTGGGGGATGTGGTCAAGGGAGATGCGATTAGCTGTGAGTACCCTGGTTCTCGAATCTTGGGGAATAACCAGAACCGGGTTTAGTATAGTATTTTTTGTACTAATGTTAGCTGTAGATCAGGAGTTTGTGAGCTTTGTAAAAAGGAGGCAGGTGGATGAGATTGTTCAGGGATATGGGGCTTAAGTGGTGGAAGAAGATAATTTGTAGATGAAAGCCATGGAAGTATATTGAAAGGAGAATGCTGGGGTATCTATCTAAATGAACATAAGCTTGCTACCTTGCTCCATGTTGCTTCCAAATAGACCCTTGAATCCTTGATTACTCTGCTCATGAGTCATTACGTCCTCCGCTTGGGCCTGGCTTCATATTCCTCAACAATAAAAGGCACATCAATTCGCAATTTCTCACAGGGTTCCCAAGTCCTATCCTTCACCTGATCATACCCGATCCACTTGGCCAAGTAATGCGGTGTACCTTTGACTTTGCGACGTCCCAATATTTTCTCCACCTGTATCTCACAAGCGTCATGCCCCTCGTTCTCCTTTTCAATACTGGTGCGATCTGCTCTACGGTTCCATTCGTCAATAGAATCTGGGGCGCTTTCAGCCAGGGACTTCGCTCGTTCCCATGTCCAGTCTTCTTCAGCCGGAAATCTTTCCCATTGGACCAGTATTTCAAGTCCTTCCGGTGTTTGTCGTTCAGCGATGACTTTCTCTGAGACGTAAAGCGGCGAAGTATCTTTGCTAGCCGAAGCTAAATCGAGCGTCTGTTCTTCTTCCTCTTTAACTTTTATCTCGTCTAAACACCTATTGAAGGATGCGGTAGCTATTTGTAGGATGATTATCGAAGCTATCTGAAAAGGGGATGGCGGGGTACATAGTGCACGGACCACCAAGACATGTCGCGTCGCGCAGCAGCAGCCCCTTTTCTTCATTGCACGCGAGAAAGAAAACAACCATTTGATTTGGCAACTATTTCATTATTGAAATTGCAGGAGCTTTTGTTCACCTAGTATTCTTGAACAGCTTATAGCAGCCTGGTATCACTTCTCCTAGCGAGATAGCAGTCCTGAACTGTTATGCTGCTGCCTAGTAGCATACAGCGAAATGAGATTGGCGTGTTGGGATCTTCCGTCTTGAGTTACTCGACAGCTATGCCTTGCCACTTAAAAATACACTGAGAATGGAATTGAACGTTTCTATTATTTAGTTGCTTATACGCACGCATATGCTTAGAAGAAAAAAGGCAATTGCGATACCATAGGCGCGTTTTCAAGCCCCAAGGTTTCAAGCGTAAGTCTCCACAGCCGCTCGTCTAGATGTTTGTCATAAGCAGACATCTTGACTCCTAGAACACCCGGAATCATCGGCTCTGAAGTCGCAACTGCGCAGTTCTCCAAGTACTTGCCGCCTCGGCCTTCCCACTCCCTCGAGACAGCAGCTAGCACGCTTGTAGCCGCTCCCTGCTCAGGACTCTTCATCCAGTTCATCGCAAACGAATTTGAAAAGAAGGCTTCTTTCGCCGTCTGGGACAAGTGTTGTTGTAGGTTCGTCCAGACACCACCGGGCATCAAGGCTAGGCTATGGAGCCCCAGCGGTCCATAATGCCGTTCTACAAAGTTGGACATGTAGATTAGAGCGAGCTTACTCTGGGCGTAAGCTTTGTTTGGCTCGTACGCCCCGTCCTGTCTGAGGTTAAAATCCTCCAAGTGGATCTCCCCAAAATGGTGGCTCGCGCTTGAGACATTGATAAGTCGTGAGTTGAACTCTGGTGTGGACGCTTTGATCATGGCGCGCTTTAATAGGTCGAAGAGCAGGAAATGGCCCAAGTAGTTGGTTGCGAGCTGGAGCTCAAAACCATCGATAGATTCTTCACGCTTGCGACCAAGCATGATGCCGGCGTTACAGATCAGAACATTGAGTGTAGGGGACTTTTCCAGGAAGGAGGCAACGGCAGTACGCACGGAAGAGAGCGTACTCGTATCCATGAGGAGCAGCTCAACACGGCCTGGCTTGAGGAAAGACTTGCAAGCTGTTTGGCCTTTTTCGAGTGAGCGGACGGCGAGGAAGACACGAGCTCCAGTCTCCGCAATCGCTCTTCCGGTCTCGAGTCCAATTCCTGAAGAACATCCAGTGATGAGGAAGACCTGAAGCATTTAGTGTCCTGTCTCTAGTAGGAGATGGACTTTGAAGTTTCAAAGCTTACTTTATCTTTCATTTGCCCTTCAAGGCCTTCATTTTTGATTATTTGCAAAGCGGTTGGTCGTTCATCACCTGGCCCAGCGGTCTTCCTGTGAACCTCGGCGTATTGAGACATATTACTCTAAGATTTGAGTAATGTACTATACGAAAACTGGCGATTGGCGATTGGTGCCTAATTCCAATAACGACAGAGTATAAATCTAAACAGGTATAGATGAAGTAATTGGGTATTGCAAATGCAAAGTATATTCAAGAATGCTTTAATCGGCCGAAGAAAGCAGTTTTGAAACGGAACAATGACAGGACTCATATAAAGGGAATACCAAAACAATTTATCTTCTCTAGACATCCACCATGACATTTACTCATCGAAAGTTTCCGAATATCCCGAAGGTTGTTGCTTCATAGGTGTCTCGAGGGATTGCCGTGCGATTTCACATCCTCATAAACCAGGCAGTGTAAGTTAGATTATACAGGATTATGCGAGTCCGAGTTTAACAAAAACCAAGATCAAGCTCGAGCTCTCTATTGTTCGGGTCGAGGGTATTCATTTACCCAAATTGCTTCCTTCGGATCAGGGTCCAAGTCTCGAGCTTTGAGCCCTATGTGCACGTTGGCTCGCTCTGTAAAGCTAGTAAGTGTCAATCCTTTGAATTGGAGTATGGACAATAAAATATTCCCCATTAATGTTAAAGAATCCGCCCATTTGTATCTACTATACACGAACCCATCTATATGAAGTCCGAATCTGTAGAGTCGGAATCCAATCAAGTCAGCTCCCGTACTTACGAAAGGCCAGAGATCAACCAACCTCGGACTTCGGACTCGCTTATCGTACAGTAACTTTAAGTTTGCCTGATTACCTGGGTACCACCAGTAAGTAGTGCCGTGTGCTCGTGCTCGTGCTATCCATCTTCGCTCTTCGTATACTCTCTCTCTCCCTCCCGATACTCAAACCAACTCATCCGTGTTCTTCTCCTTCATCCCTCACTTATCATCTAAAATCCCACCTCAATTACATAATACGTCCCCATTGGTCGTGCTCGTAGCGAGGATCAAGGCACCCAAGTGTATTAACATAATAAGCAAGGCTTCCACAATAAGCCTCTAGGTAGTGGGCCCGTGGGATTGGGATTTGGGATTGGTTTTGGTTTTGAGTCTGGGTCTAGGATTCAATCATTCGCCGCATCGCGTGAAAGGATAAGCCCTACCTACTTACCTTAAGCTTGGGGGATTGGGTACTGGTATAGGCAACCGTGTTAGAGGAGTTGGAGTTGGAATCCGAGCCGATAAGTGTAGGTACTGTAGTTGGAAAGTTCGCTCTCGGAATCGAATCGGGGGTTCGTTCAAATTGACTGACTACCTACCTACCTGATCGAGGATGCAATTCCTTCACTCTTATAAGGTGAGGTGGGCTGGGCGGTAATACCTAGAAACTCGGGCTTAGAGTTAAGGCATCGATCGAGCGAGTCTCGCTAAAATGCGGGGTGGTGGAAAGGGGGGAGGGGAGGGGCAGATGGGATGCATACTGTACGGATGCGCTACTTGTACCTGGACATGGATGCACCCGAAATACAGTGCAACTTTGTCAACTATATTGCGTTTTAAGAGATTCCATTATCGTGTATGCCTAATAAACACGAGCTGCACTCTAATCCGATTGGAATTAGAGGCTGAACAAAAGACATCTTGGGCAAACCGGATTGTATCTAAGCCGAGCAGCACCCATAAGCCCTGGAGTAATACTCGTATGTTTTATGCATGTTTTGTGCATATTGGTTCAACTCGAATGAAGCGTTGGATGTTCTGTGGTGTGCATATTGAATTACAGCTACGTAGCCGCCATCTCACGTATCTCTTGCGTTCTGCACGCAGGGCAAGCAACGGGGATCTTTGTGTCAATATCATAACTATGATGATCATGATACTAAGAAGAGTGCAAGACGTTAAGCCATTACCATTGCCGTCGTTCATCATGTGATTCATCCAATCGTAACCTTCCGTAACCAACTCCTCGCCCGAAGCTTAAATATTTTCTCCCATCCATCTACATAACATTCCGTGGATCCAAACTCTCAATATCCGCACTCTTCGCTGCGCCCTCGAACACAAACTCACTAACCAGCTTGCCTGTCGCACAACTGTTCTGGATCCCCCAACACGTATGTCCGCTCGCTAGTATCAGCCCCTTTATCCCTGTTTCGCCGATAATAGGACCACCGCCACTAGCAACGAGAGGGAGGTAGCAAGCTTGTTTCGCAAGCACTTTTCCGGCTTTGAGCGTTGGGGAGATGGAGGATATGTAAGCGTATATGTCGTCGCAACTAGATTCGTCGCAGACTACAAGGTCGGAGGTGGCGGGGAGGGGGATGCGCTCATCGCCTTCGCCTATCCCTCACTGTTAGCATCCCACCACCAACCAAAAAAGAACAAGAAAAGGGACATACCACAAGCATAAACAGTCCCATCAGGTCTAGCATACATCTCAGGATTGACACTCTTCCCATGTTTCCTCTTCTTTCCCTGCCCAGGTACGGTAAAGTCTTTTGGCAGTTCAATTTCAGTAAAGACTGCATACGGACTCACATCCGCCTCGATAACCACGCTGTGCGCGCGTAGCGCATCGATTGGCGCATCTGGAAAGATACTGCGTGACCAGGGTCCTGCAGCTAGTATTACATCTGTAGCGTCTAGCCTTTTTGCTTCTTCTGTTTCTTTGTCCTTATACACCACGCCTTTTACACCATGGCCTGTATAATCGATTTCCGTCACAGAGCCGAAGACAATTTTTGCTCCGGAAGCTTGGGCGAGCTCCGCCATGGAGGTCGTGAAGAGGAATGGGTGTACTTGTGCTGTTGTATTTGGGTTTCCCATCTCCCTATAACTGTGTATAGAAGAACTATCGAACCAGTCCAACTCCGCGGGTATCTCAGCACCTATAGTTTTCCCCCGCTTGATATGTGTTTTAGGAAGCTTTTTCCATTCATCCTCTCCTTCAGCAGTCTCTCCTCCATTCTCACCTTCAAGTTTCTTGCCCTTAGCATCTATGGAGCCACAATGCACAGCTCTATACCCCCATCGTTTCGCGCCATCGTGTTCCTTTGCAAGTTCAGCGTGCAGTCGGTAGGATAAAGGCACGATACATTCCGGATATGCCCAGAGTGCTAGCAGACCGCCTGCTTTGCCCGAGGCGCCGGACGCGATGGATGTGGCTTCGAGGATGGTGATGCTGTGGAGAGAGGGATTGAAGGCGGGGTGGCGGGTGAGGAAGTAGGCGCTGGTACACCCGATGATTCCTCCTCCTATTCATCATCAGCGTCTCTCCGGCATAAACATGAATTTGTAGGGATCAATAGATCAAGAGTTTGGAATCCGTACCAATGATTACAATATTCCGTGGTTCTGAAGCCATTGTTGAGGTGAGGAGCGCCGTGTAAAGTACATCTGCGGGATGATTATAAATAAGTAAAGCTTGGATGAGAATATCCAGTTTGGGGCATAATTACGCCGTAGATGCATAAATAATTATGCCGCCCCTCCTTGCGTCATCGTCCGATTACGATAAGGAATCCAATCCAATTCGAGCAAGTGCTTGGCTCGGCATAGCCAATCCTTGGAACAGCACACTCACGGCAGATGCCGAGGCCTAGAACATGGATGCTTTGAAATTCTTCGAAACCATTGATCGAGTATAAAACAAATCAGATCTGCATCTTACAACTACTCGTGTTTCCATTTCATCAAATCAGATACTTGTGAGAAGATCAATTCATGCAAGCTCTGCCTAGAAGTATCTTCCAGACACAATTCTCTAGTATACGTATCATCTCAACTGCATTCAAAGGCGCATCATTCCACAACACCAGATACAACAACATTGGAACAAGAACCATGGCTTCTGCTACCAGCGTTTATGATTTCAAGCCGCTTGATAGTTCGTACCCCTTTTGCATACCCCACATTGCCTCACCTCTAGTCTTCCTATGTTTTTTTCATTTTTTATTTTTTATTTTTTGGCTCCATGACTTCAATTGTCGTTATCATCCCACCACAATTTTCCGAACCTCCCGTACCTTTTGTACCCCGCCATCATCATCATCGTCTGCATCGCACGCTAACGCAAATACCCCTACAGAGAAAGGCCAACCAGTCCCACTGGAAAACTACAAAGGCAAAGTCCTCCTCATCGTGAACACAGCCTCGAAATGTGGTTTCACGCCCCAATACGAGGGGTTAGAGAAATTGTATAAATCCGTCAAGGAGAAACATGGTTCGTTCCCTCCTTCCTCCCTCCTCCTCCCAACCCAACGCCATTCCGTCGTCCCTCCTCGCCCTCGAACTACTCCACTGACACTGCATCACACAGGCGACGAATTCGAAATCCTCGGCTTCCCCTGCAACCAATTCGGCGGGCAAGAGCCTGGCTCTGACGAAGAAATCCAATCCTTCTGCCAGCTCAACTACGGCGTCTCCTTCCCCATCCTGGGCAAGACAGACGTCAACGGCGACAAAGCCAACCCGCTCTTCGAGTGGCTCAAGGAGGAGAAGCCGGGCATCTTGGGCTTGAAGCGCGTCAAGTGGAACTTTGAGAAGTGGCTGATTGGCAAGGATGGCAAGGTTAAGGGACGCTGGGCTAGTACTACCAAGCCGGAGAGTTTGGAGAAGCCGATTGAGGCGGAGTTGAAGACTGGGGAGGTTAAGGGGGAGGAGGTTAAGGCTGATTTGTGAGGGGGCGATGGCATGGGATAGGATGGATAGGTAAGAGATGGAGGCGATGATTATGATGAGGAAAAGGAGGCAAAGTTCGAACATCAAATAGCGTAAATCATCTTCTAATAAACTATCAATCAAAAAACAAATTCCAATTACTCCATTCATACCCCGTACTCGAGAAATGCACCCGAAACCCCCGCGATACGGAGATGCACTCCATACAATACAGCGCTCAACTCCCCTACCTCCCCCAAACCAACCCCCAAACTCCCCACTGCAATCCGCCTAAATCCTCCCCAACTCCCCAGCAAGTTGGAACCACCACCTTGGCGGTTCACAAATCCCGACATGCAACAAAACATGCACAGCGTCCGAAAAGGGAAATAGAAGTGGGGACTTGGGAGCTTTGTTGCATTTCGCGTGAGCACGATCATGAGGGTGATCCCGAGGGGTTTTCTTTTTTTCGTCACCTGAAGTGAATGAAGTACGGCTTTTAAATTTCTTTTTGTTTTATTGCAAGTGACATTGCACGGAGTATGGAGTATACCTTAGCATAGGCACCTTAGGTACGGTGGTACTTTGAGAGATGTGTAAAAGAACATATTTATTGATTATCCTCGAATATTTTTGACCTTCATGCTTCATCGCACAGCCTAAATCAATTCCCATCCTCCTTCCGTCTCCTTGATCCCCACTTCCCTACCCTCATCAATGGCCCTCCTCCCCGCTTCAAGAATAGCAGTAGTTAACACCGTATTCGCCAATGTCGGCAGCCCTCTCTTGTCCAACGTTTCCAGCGCTTTTGGGCCCTCCTTATTGACAAGTCTACACCCATCGATAAACTTCTCGAAACTCACATACCCGTACCCGCCCTGTCCTGCAAAATTCCCCTCCTCGTCAGGCGCATACTTCATATAGAAGGGATTGTACCACATCAAGCCATTCCCCAACCCATCATCCGCAACATCGTAGCCCCTCTTGGCCTGATCAATCCTAATCTCCCCCTTGGACGCCATGTAATGAAAGTACTGATTACTATGCACGCCGGCCTTCTGCGGCGCCGTCCAAGACGCCGTATACACGCCCGTCGCCCTCTTACTTGTATCGTCCTTCTTCACCCAATGCACCAGCAAACTAATCGTATCTTCCGTCTTCGGATCACACCCCAAGTCCACCGCGACCCCCATACTCGCACTTGCGCTGACCTTCACCGGCACAAAGCCCTGACTCGACACCATGCTCTCGCACACATCCACATGGTGACTATTCAGATAGTACGAAATATCGCTATCGACGCCCGCCCACGCCTTGAACGTCTCCAGCTGGCTCTTCGGCTGGCTCATATAGCTATAGAAATAATTGAAATCGCCCAGGCCGCCCGCCTTGTACCGCGCGTCCGCGTATGCCGGGTCGTAGCGCTTGTGGTGCTCGATGTAGACGAAGACGCCGTGCTCGCGCGCGGCGGAGAGGAGGGCTAGGTGGTGCTCTAGTGTTTTGACGGCCGGTTTGGTTATCAGGACGTGGATTTTCCGCTCGATGGCGTATAGTGCGATGGCGTAGTGCGTGGTGTCGGGCGTGAAGATCGTTATGGCCGAGCCCGGGGGGAGGGCGTCAATGGCGGCTTTGTAGGCATTAGGGTCGGTGGTGTCGTTGGAGGGGTAGGAGGAGAAGGACGTGTCGAGGTTGTTGTAGACTTTGGTGATGTTTTTGGTGAGATGTTCACCTGGGGTTTATGTTAGAATGGAGCATGCATTGGGAGCAGGAGTATGGAGTGGATGGAGGGGAGAAAGGGGAGGTACGTACGGACTGCGGGGAACTTGTGTCCTGATGTCCCTACCATTGAGAGTTTTCCTACCTTTCCTCGTCGTCGTAAATCAAACAGGGTGAGACCGACTACGCCGACTTTCTTGTCGGATCCTGATGCTCCTCCTCCTACGAAACCTGTGGTGTATTCCCCTGTGCCTACCATGAGGACTTCCAATGGGGCGTCTGAAGCCATCTTTGCGGTTTGAAAGCAATTGATCGTCTCAAAGCTGGTACTTTGCTTCAACCTTTTAATCTTGTACTTCGGTCGTTGACGAAATAATTTGAGAATACGGGAGAATGTTCGGGGACGCGTGGAGGAAGCTCCAAAAGATATTGGACATGCATGTTGTTATTGATGTAACTGGAGTCGGCCTCTGACGGGGAAATAGGAGAAATTGAGGGGCAGCGGAATCACTCGCCAGTAGATATTCCGGCGCCGGGACTGGTGTGTATAGAATGTTATTGGCGTGGCTATAAGTACCTTATCATTAATTTTGGATAGGTGTAAGAATAGAGATTGTGTTGATTATGGCTACTTACTGTTTTGTTTATTATTCTGAATTTGTGAAGTGTGTTGTAGTCGTACAGGAAAGTATTTGCTTTTTGTTACCCCTCCATACCCCTCCATCCACTTATCGTGATACCCTCCACTACAATGTCGCGTTGATGTTAGACAATTGTACGACTATATACAGAGATGGCTCCCATTATTCAGCTCAGCCTAATCTTACCCTCTGGTTCCACAGTCGGCCATTCTTATTACCCACCGGAAGCTCATTGCTGATCATGAGCGCTGATCATGAGCCCTCCACTCTCCACATGTTCAGCCTGTGCCCCGCATTCTACTGACAGGCCTACGGGCTAAACAACCCCTGTATAACCCCAGCCAAAAAGCGTCTTTTGGCATTGACATCCCACCCCAGCAGATCCCGTCTATTGGTGGAAAATCTTTTCCGCGTAGACAAAGCCTCATCGCGCAACCCCAATCGTTCTATACGCATATTGCAATCCAATGCCTCATGCTGCTGGCCCTGCATCTACACATATACAGAAGATACTTAGTCAACAAGTCAGCGGCAGATGCTGCTAGAAGGGGCATTTGACCCTTCCCAACTTCCTCCTTCAGCGTATGGATATACATGCTTTATGAAAATCAAATTTGAACGTGTAGAAGTCTCCTCTTTACGGCCACGCTACTCTCCCACCTTTCCAAGTAGGCAAGGAGCTAAGAATTCTGTTCATATGTGGATGTGGCGGCCCCAGAAAAATAAGACTGCGCTGCGTCTCTCGGAATAATATCATACGGCCAGTGCCCCCCACTAGAGCTTGTCATTCGACGTTGATCTTGAGTTTCGGGTTCCGGGACATTCCTCTCATAGCTGAGAGAGTCTTTTAATACTTTACTTGTCCCATATAGTTCTTCTCATATTCCTCCTCGTGTTCCCGGCTTGTCTTTTTCGATTTCTCCCCCTCCACCTCGTTCCCTTTCCTATACTATTACCCAAAGACCCCACCATCTCTTCCCTTCTCCGCTACCAAAAACCAAGATGGCAGACTTGAATGGGGTTAATGGCTCCAACGGCCACACGAGCACACGCCGGCCCCTCCTCCCAGGCATCTACGCCCCAACAATGACATTCTTCGACCCCACCACCGAAGATCTCGATATCCCCACCATCAAACGCCATGCCATCCGTCTCGCAGAAGCCGGTCTCGTCGGTCTCGTAACCATGGGTTCCAACGGCGAAGCAGTGCACTGCTCCTCGTCCGAAAAAGCAGCCGTAACACGTGCGACCCGCGAGGCCCTCGATTCTGCCGGCTTCACCCAAGTCCCCATCATCGTCGGTGCCACCGAAGGCTCTGTCCGCGGCACCATTTCCCTGATTGAAGAGAGTAGACAGGCTGGCGGCGAATACGTGCTCTTACTCCCGCCGAGCTATTTCCGCGGCCTGATGGACGAAGAGTCCGTGTACAATTACTTCATCGCCGTAGCAGACGGCGCCAGCTTACCCATTATCCTATACAACTACCCCGGTGCCGTAGCCGGCATCGACATGGACTCAGATTTGCTCATCCGCCTGGCGAAACACCCCAATATCATCGGCACGAAGTTCACGTGCGGCAACACGGGAAAGCTGACCCGCGTTGCGCTGGCCACGGATGCCAAAACGCCGTTTGCTGAAGGCTCGGGCTACATGGCGTTTGGTGGGATGTGTGACTTCACTGCGCAGACGTTGGTCAGTGGCGGGAGTGGCATTATCGCAGGCGGCGCGAATGTGATGCCAAAGACGTGTGTGAAGGTCTGGGATCTGTATAGTAAGGGGAAGAAAGAGGAGGCCTTCGCGATGCAGAAGGTGCTGAGTAAGGGGGATTGGGTGCTTACCAAGGCGGCGATTGCAGGGACCAAGAGCGCGATTCAGAGTTATTATGGCTATGGGGGACGCCCAAGACGGCCGTTGAAGAGTTTGGATGAGGTGAAGGTTAGTGCTATCAAGGGGGGGATTGAAGAGGTTATGAAGTTGGAGTTGAGTTTATAGGTTTTGAGCAAGGTGAGGCATTTTGGTTTGATTTAGCAGTGCATAGACGATGAATTTTTAATTCAAGAACTAGAACCGTTTGTCGTGAATGTTGCAGCCTCTTTTTCCGTACTGTATCTGTGGTGTTATCACGTGAGCAACATTGTCTTCATTGGGACAGCAGAGCTATTATTAAGCAGAGTAGCATACATGGAGATATACGCCATTTTTGCACCGACCCCAAGGTCTCTCGCGCTTCAAGTCGTCGGCTTTTGGTACTTGCTTGCTTTCAAATTCTTCATCAGATTCCCCAGTTTGGCTAACTTGTTCAACTAGGGGATCTGTTCATACGCAGAGCTAGCGAAATGAAAGGGATTGATTTGAAAGAATATCTGCATTCTTGTCCCGAAATAAAACAACAAGTCCTGTGGAGCCTCGATTATCAAGGTTTTAAAATACTACGCTAAAGCCCAGTTCTGCTTACGTTTCACCTCTTCAATCTTCCCTCGACACAAGCTCCTGGAACTCCAGGCGCTCGCCATACCTGAACCAACTCTATCCCAGCACCCTCAAATAGCAGCTTGAATCCTGCCTCGGTTCGCTCTTTTCCTCCCATAGTCATCACTGCTTGATCCATTACGACTGCTCCGAAAGTTGCTTCGTTGGCGCGCTGTGGAAGAACCATGTCGCAGACCAGAACGCGTGAGTCTGGGGACATGGCTCGGGAGATATGCGAGAGTATATTGATGCAAACTGGATCGGCGTAATCGTGCATGATCATACGGAAAAAGTATGCTTTTGCTCCTATGCAGAAAGAGACTTTCTGTCAGCTCACTCTCGATGCTTGGTGTATGAAGGGAAACTTTGAACCTTTGATGGGCTGTTCCGTCCGAAAGTCGTGTTCCATTTTGACAAAGTCTTCCGGGACCTCGTTATTTGCCTCGGCCATCTCAATGACATCCTTTCGTTCTTGCAATACACATTTCGTCTTGTCTAAAGCCGGATAAGCATCCGTAATCTGCTTCAAACAAACACCGACGCCACCTCCAACATCCACCAACTCCGTAATTCCTTTCTCGACGTCTGCAGGCGTGCTTTTCAGAAGGTTGAAATCAAAGTGTCCAGTTACCGGGATGGCAACATCCAATCCGGACATGCCGACTTGAAACGTCTGGATTTTCTCGGGGTCCTGAGCCATGATTGCCCAGACTGGAGTCCCATCTTGCTTGTGACTCCATGTGTAAGGGTTGTTGAGCGGGTCATCAGGCTCGTGGGCTGAAGATAGTTGGTTGCGGGCTACGAGGTAGTCGTCAAAGTTGTACATGTTCTTAAACCACTCATCGTACCTGCCAGTGTATAGGTAAGGAGGTGTGCTGAGTGCTGGAAGAGAGGAAGATATTGTCTTACATGGCGAGGAATAATTGACCTGGGCCTGGTCGAGATGTGATATAGCCAAGCGAGTACTTGGTGTGCATATAATCACCACCATTGTCGCGGGTTTGGTTCAGAAATCCTACCGCGACTGGAAATTCAAGGGGAGGTCAGAAGCTACTTATCCTGGACGCCAGGTTTCACGAGACATGGGGAAGCTCACCCAGAATACGACCCATTCGTTCTATTTCAATTTGTTAGTTATATGCTTCATACCACTTACAATTTACATCTGCTTTATACAGACCCCACGTTATGAAATACAAAAACGAAAGATATTCACTGTACCTAACAGTGAATCTTGTGCACCAGTCGCTCTTGAAAGCTCTTGCAGAGAAATCGAGCCAGTCTCGGGGATAGCTTCAAGAACCTTTAATTTAATAAAAGTCCTAATAGCGACCGATTCAGCCATCTAGAGATGGCAATAAGTCAATACATTGCACGCGTTTCTCGCACGCCAGGACGACCAACGTGAAGTCCATGGTAGTAGGGCAATTGTTCAGCTGGAATCAGCGACTGCGTGATCTGCTTTGCCTTTTCAATAATATTGATCCGCGACATGTAGCCATTGAGATCTGGCGAAGTCGAGTAGCCTTGGACGGCACTGGTGAGGTCAGCGAGCAGAGCTTGAAGGTCATTGGGGGCTGGCATGGCCATCTTGATTCTTGACTAAAGGTTTTGGGTTGAAGTGAGAGGTAATTAATCGATTGCAAGTGGCATGGCATGGCAGTGGAAGTAGAGGTGCGGCACGGAAGAAGCAGAAGGGATTGCAAAGGTACCTAGGAACGCGCCACTATGCGGTTAAGAACCATGTAGCATAGATACACAATATAGAACAAGGGACGGGACGGAGTGGAGGAGGGACTTGTATAGTACGAAGTAAGGGAACATAACCCTGCACCCGCAGACATTAAATTGGCTGGTAACTTATCTCGATTGGCCATCCGACTTTACATATCTGCATGAGGATTCCTTCACCTTTAAATGATGTGTTGTCGACTTCCATTGCCCCACCACACGATTACTGTACCCCGCAGCTGTCAACCATCTGTTTCGGAATCATCCGTAGACTAAGAGAGTAAATGGTTTCTTATTGGTCAAGGAGAGAATCTACAACGCTCTTCGCACTTTCCAGGAATAAAGACAAATGGTACCACTTCACTCCCATGACCGGGTTTAGGTGCAGGTGGGGCCGGTCGTTACTCGAGTACAGTAGCGTGTATCCTCGCATGTCAGTCGCAGTCTGGACGCAGGGAAATTTCTTCGGCTTCAGCTTCGGCTTCAGCTTACATTTTATCTAATTTTGAGATTCAATCTAAAGAACTGACTTACCCTCACAGTATCATATCACACTGCGGAGACTTCTTCACAGGCACGGGCTTGAAAAGGGGTATTCGCTTAGCTTTTGTTCTGACCCCGGATTTCACAACCTCCGCGCTTCATTGAGAAGGCCCCCTGGTGGACATCAGACCCTGAAAAGATGGAGGCATCCGGATCTGGAACCGGACCACCATCAATTGCAACTATATCCACTGAGCGAACGAGTCTAATCGAACCCGATGATTCCATATCCGACGAAGGATACGCCGAATCGACCACGACTAGTTACATGACCTCTATAGCATCAGACATACGCCACGGAATCGAAGAAGATGGTCGACGTTACGCTGCCTATGGACAACACAAACAATGGATACCCATAGACGACCCGGAAGTAAGAATTTCCTCGCCACCCGATGATATGTAACTGACTTCCCCCAAGTTGGACCGCAATGATTTCCAACACTGTAAATTCACGCTCCTCATGGGAAACAGGCTACACCTAGCGCCAATAAAACCAGACCCGCACCGGATACTCGATATTGGAACAGGCTCCGGAATCTGGGCTATAGACATGGCCGAGAAGTACCCCTCGGCCTCGGTCATCGGCGTTGACACCGCGGCCGTCCAACCCACCATGGTACCCCCGAACCTGCAATTCGAAATCGAGGACGCAGAATCCGAGTGGCTCTGGGGCAAAGACAGCTTCGATTTCATCTACGCGCGCGAACTAATCCTGTCCATCCGCGACTGGCCAAAGCTGATGCGGCAATCATACGAGCACCTGAAACCCGGCGGCCATCTAGAGATTTCCGGCTCCTTGCCGTATTTCCAATCCGACGATGGCTCGTTGCCAGCGGGCTCTGCTTATGCGGAGATCGCGCAGGTGTTCTTCGATATGGGGGATCGGATTGGGGTTTCTGGACACGATCCCTTGAAGTGGAAAGAGCAGTTCCTGGAAGCCGGGTTTACCGATGTCAAGCAGACGATTCTGAAGATCCCGACGAATCCTTGGCCGAAAGATCGCAGGATGAAACAGATTGGTGCGCTGGAGATGTCGCATTTCAGGGATGGGATTTCAAATATTTTCGCGAGGGGGTATACGCAGATCTTAGGTGGTGATCCGAATTATTTCGAGGTGTTGATGGCGAGGGCCAGGAATGAGGTAACTGATAGGAAAAGGCATTCCTATCTGTTATTGTGGGTTGGGAAGAAATGCTCAAATTGACCGCGCTGACTTGTTTAGTTACGTTGTTCATGGCAAGCGGCCAGAAGCTGAGAAAAGCAGGTCGCAGTCATCGTCATGACAGTCACCATCTGAAAACTTCTATCGCATCACAACTCGATTTAGACCATGGCTCGAGCTATTGCAAGAATCCTTCCCAAGAGTGAGGAGATTGCTCTGCAGCTATTATGTTACCACTCTAGAAGCAAAGACCCAAGGCTCAGTTGACATGGAATCTGCAGACACTGCACGAGGTATTCTACGCCTTACTTACAATTCTACGGCGAGAAATAACGACAAATTGGCGCTGTTAATGGGGTAGAGACGTATATAATGAAGCGTGTTGAGGTACTGTATATAATTTCTGGAAACCAAGGTATAAGGGGCGGTTCACGTGATATTTATCATTTCCCCGGTAATCTTGAAGCAAGACCTCAGCTAGATGTGTTTTTGTCTCGTTATAGACTATTATAGTGGTTTTTAATCTCTAGGGGAACTAGTTTGGAGTTCGGAGTTTGGAATTCTGACGTTTTGTTGTAGCTGGAACTAATTTAGTCAAGATTTCTGTTCCCTACCCTACTATACTATATAGGGATCTTTGTATCTTGCATGTTGTTTCTTTCTCAGTGCAGATGTCTGTTTGGTAGGAATGTATCAAGCAGTGGTACATCATCTGCTAATAGCCGTCATATGATTAAGGTAAATATTGGTTGTACTCAGATCTTGTTGTACTGCTTTGTTTGCTGCGCACAGAAGGATTATGAGCCGACTTTACTCCGTTAGATCGGCTTTGAGTTCTTTGAGATATCGCTTTTACCTACACAATTCATGGATTAAAAGATCTTGATATCTGGCTACGCCTAGAAGTCCTGGAAGAAAAAAGCCCGTCGAGCGGTCAAGGCCGCCCAGTGAATCTCTATGTGGTTTGTTCTGCTTATTCCAACACTTTGCCATAGATCGACGCAAGATATCCTGATAAATATTCCACACCATGGCAACTCCACCAGCACATAAGCTCATCGGATGCTACATCTCGCCGGATGCTCTCACATCGTCGGAAACAAAAGATCCGGTCACAAACCATTCACCGGCTCGTTCACAGGCAGCGCCTCGCAGACTGGTCCTTAATACCAAGTCACTGGATGAAATGATTGAAGAGGCCATTGTCCGAAAGACGCGTGAGCGGGGATACACCAACGATGAAGACACTTCTGTACCTGATACCACGGAGCGACTGGAACCCACACTTCGTCGGCGAAAGCGCAAGACAAACCATCCGCCTGGGGATTCTAGCACAGAGCTTAAGGTAGAACAGGTTATCGACAAGAGAATGGTCACAGAATACCTCGTGAGATACGGAGGAGAGGGTAAAAAAGTGATGGCACAATGGGCCAGAAAGTCTGATATTCCGAGTGCTAAAAAAGCCATTCACACCTTTAATCGACGTCTTCGGGAGTGTCAGTTCCTTGGCTTGAAATTGCCTCTGAATGAATCCCAGAAAGGGCTCAAGAGAGGTCCTGGGAGACCAAGGAAGTCGTTATTGAGGCCACAGGCCCAACAGCAGTATGATCCTTCTCACCAACGGAGTCGGCAATAATGTGCCCTTTTTTTTGAATTGACAGGAGGTAGCCTCAGGATTATTAGTTGATTCTGCGGGAGCATCTTCTACAATGCGTGTGATTCCGAGTCAATGCCGCAGGTGTGGAAGGGGCAGCATCGCAACTTCCTCATGAGACTGCCATCATGACCAATTTGATCAAAACTTCCTTTCGACTTCAACATACAACTTCCATAAAACCATCAGTCGGATCCATATACCTAAGAAAGGTAGGCTCCCCATGATCTTCATTGGGGTTCCATTCTTGCTGGATTCCTCGACTCACCTGTTTGCCCAGTACGAAGTATTCTTTCTTTCTGCAAACCCGCGGTATGGAGGAAGCCCAGGAAGCTCCATCTGAAAGCACGTCAACGTCTCCCTCCAGGCTTTCGGAGAATGATGCACCACAAAATCAAGAAGATGTCGAGACTACTCCAGCCGTCTACTACACATCGGACACAGAAATGGACTCGGAATCTCCAGATGACCAATCAGGCTACACTGTGCACACATTTTTAATCTCCACTGCGCATATGAACCCTCGGGATGCTCAGTACGCACCGCTTACAGATGCTGAGAACGGCTTCCGGGATGATCAGTCCTCACCGTTTACGAATGCTCCACCCTTGCACGCGAACCTTCGGAATACTCAGTCCATACCACTTATGGATGCTTTACCATCCCAGACGGACCTCCAGAATGCTCAGCACACACCATTTATGAATGTGTCACCCTCGCAGACGATCTACCAAGAAGCTCCACCTGCGCATGATTACTTTGGCAATAGGGCTCCATCCCCGGCTCCACAAGGCGGGTATTCCCCATCTACCGGATATTCTGCGAATTTCGACGGTCCCCCGATGCACAATCAGGAGTTTGAACAAGATCATAGCCCGTTCATTCGGCAACTACCACCATTTAATCCTGCGCAGATTCCACAGCAGTTCGGACAAAATCAACAGTCTGGACAGAATCAGAGCCTGATCAATCCGCAACTGCAACCATTCAATCCTGCGCAGATCCCACAGCAGTTTGGACAAAACCAGCAGTTCGGCCAACACCAGCAGTTTGGACAACACCAACGGTTCGGGCAAGATCAGAGCCTGATCGATTCGCAATTGCAACCGTTTAATCCTGCGCAGATCCCACAGCAGTTCGGACAACACCAACAGTTCGGACAAAATCAGAACCTGATCGATCCGCAACCATTCAATGCTCTGCAACTCTTACAGCAATACAACTCCCATTCTGAACCTCAAATACCAGAAGCCCATGCTCTGCAAAATGCATTGTATGGATTTGGACAGGACGGCAGTATGCCCTTTCCGCAACCGCAACATGCCTATCCGTCTCATAATGGCCCACAAACGAACAGCAATTTTGGGCATGTTCCAACTCAGTATGGCCAAACCCAGGTAGTCTCTCAAGCCCAGGATTTCTGTCCCTGCCAGACGCAATATTCTCTGCCGCCAACTCCAACCAGCCTTTCTACACTGCCCACTGCAGGCATTCTTATCCCAAGGCCTGTGGGCAGTCTCCCTCCTTCGGCCACGCTTCTAGCGACGTTGCAAAGGACATATGAACATGTTAAAGCTATTGAGCAGAGAAACACAATGGAAGCAGAAGCAAGGGTTGCGCTTACTCCCTCAGCCGAAAGGGGAAGGTCGTTGGAAAGGACATTCAAAAATGTTACAGCTGAGCAGTATATAGAAAGAGTGGAAGAAAAGAAGAAGTAAGTACATTCGAGAACCTTCAGCTGAGCAGTATATAGAAAGAGTGGAAGCAGAAGCAAGTGGTGCGCAACCAGCCCAAGCCCGCCCATCAATGTCGCAGTCAAAGTTAGACATCGCGATCATTGGCAAAGCAAGCGCTGGAGAAGACCTTCGACTCCACCTTCTCTATTCGAATGGAAAGTCTGAGTGGGTTCTGGGGTTACAGCTTTGGCAACACATTACTAATTTGTGATATGATAAGTCTCCACAGGATGGTTCGGGATCCGGAAAATGAGTGAACTTGGTGTTAAACTAAACGTAGAGGCTATTAGCGCGCAATGCCACTGCGTAGGTATATACGGAGAGAATCGATAACATTACCCATTGACGCATGCTATTTCCTTAGACTAATATGGAGAGGGAGGGAAGAACCGTTAAGAAAGAAGCCAAACCCAGCTAGAGTGCCGCTATTGTCTTGGATCTACTGTGAATTTCCGCTAAGCAGCGGCAGTGACTCTGCTGCAAGAAGCTTGTACCGGTATCCGTACATCTAGCAGATATTTCCAGGAATTAATTGCGGTTCTCAATGAATGATCTGTTTGTTATAACCTTCTTCATCTCCCCTACGTTATTCCTTTGACATTCCAGAAGAAAATAATTACACCTTTAATAGTATTCCTATTGGAATAGTATCCAAGTATTCCCCTTACTGCACCTAAAGTATGCCTCTATGTTCATCCTTCAACACGAACGGATAATCTTGCGGTGTCCGTCTTCAAAGGGCTAGGAAAGTCATGTCAAAATTAAAGTAACGGGAGGTAGAAGACTAGAAGTAAAGGATAGAAAAGATCATCCAAAGCTCAATTGAATGATAAAAGTCCCTACTCAGTCCAGATGTGGAAAGAAGCACTCATAATTACCTGCAATATCTTAAATGAGTGTCTACTAGAAAGTGAATGGCCTCCTGCTCTCGTCTATTTCTCTCCTTTGCTCTCCTATAAACCTCCCATTTCCATTTCCATATTCTCCCTCTCCCTCCCCCTCACTCCATCCTCACACAAACCTCCCTCTCACCGCGCGCGCCGACCGATTAAACAGTTGCGAAGCGAAATGTCTTCTGTCTCGTCACACGGCCCCGAGACCTCCTCTACGGAGCTGTTCACCCCTCGCCATGTCCATCTTGTCGGTAGTTCGCCCTACGGTACCAACACTGAGTTCTTTGAGGCCATGAGCACTGCTCTGCCTGGCCGTCTTGTTTGTCTGTAAGATAGTATTCCACTCCTCATCCCAATTTCATAGATTCGCTGTTCTCAAACACAGCACCGCTTTTCATTAATTACTCGCTCTTTACTTCTCCACTTCTCCAATTCCTCCCAGCATCGTCCAGCGAAACTGCATGCCCATATCCACTCCAAAATCCCCATGGCATATTCACTGACCCCTCCCCCCTCACACAGTCCAGACGGCGAGACCGGCACCCGGCACTTCTTCGTACGCTGGCAAATGGACGTCTTCGCCTCCAGCCCGCACATCCTCAAAGGCTTCTCGCAGATCGGCGACTACAAAGCCTACGAACCAGGCATTGCGCAGTCCTCGCAAATCACGCTCGGAGCTCTAGGCTACGACACCCACGCCCTGGCATCCTACGCCGAGTTCTGCGCGCTGCGAGACAAAGGGGTTATCCCGCACGGTGTACGCTTCCAGGTCTGCCTGCCGACCCCGCTTAATGTCGTCGGCTTGTGTCTGCTGCCCGAGTATCAGGCCGAGGCGGAGCCGCTGTACGAGGCTGCGCTGATGGCTGCGCTAAGGCGTATTCAAGATGGTGTTCCGAAGGAGGATCTGGCGGTCCAGTGGGACATGGCGTATGAGATTGGCATGCTTGAGCTTCCTTGCGCGTTCAATTCTTGGTTCGACGGTGATGTCAAGCAAGGGATTCTGGAGCGCTTTGCTCGTCTAGCGGGAGCCGTCGATGAGGGTGTCGAGATGGCCTTTCACCTATGCTATGGCGATGCAGGACACAAGCACTTTAGCGAGCCCGCGGACATGGGTGTGCTAGTTGATATGGTGAACGAGCTCTCCTCACACGCCGGCAGAGTCGTAGATTGGGTGCACGTTCCCGTCCCCAAGAACCGTACTGATGAAGCGTACTTCCTTCCGCTGAAGCACTTGAAGGTGAACAGCGAGACGCGGGTTTTCCTCGGCCTGGCGCATGCGTGGAATCTAAAGGGTACGAGGGAGAGGATCCGCGTCGCGAGTGAGTTCTTGCATGGGTTTGGTGTCTCGACTGAGTGTGGCTTTGGACGTACCGGGGTTACTGAGCCGGAGCTGCACTTGCTTCTGGAGAAAAAACTTTGACGCTGAGTATTGTACTGTGCGTTGCGGGAGTTTGCTGGTGTTTGCTGGGGCGTTTAGCGGGAGTTCTGCATTGGCTTCTTTGCGTAGATGGAGTACCTATGTGTCTCAAGTTATCGGGCACTTACTTCGTACATCGTAAATGAAAAGAATACAACACATTTGGGTGCCACCTCTTTGCCATGTTTTAACCTCCGCTGTGCTGTCCTGGGGAAAATGAACTTGATTCCGTTTAACAATTCGGGCTCTTAGGCGGAGGTGCTGGTATGAAGACTTCAAAGACTGTAAATGATATTCTCATCGCTAGTATGGAATAGGGGTCATCGCTCGCTTCTTTCAGTGGCCCGTGGGCCCCTACCAAAACATGTAGTCCTTCCCATCCCGTGACCCCTCGAGAAATATGAGGGTGTTCAATTATAAATATGTAGATTATATATAGTCTGGCATGTCGATACTAGAAACCTATACGCCACGCCGTGTACAGTACAGTACGGCCGTAAGAGCTCACCTCACATCACCTCGTTAAGAAGAACATCGTAGCGGCATCCATAACGGCCTCGAACTTCCTGAACAGCGCAAACTCCTCTCCAAGGCCTATCCCATGCATTAGCTTTCCATACAGCTCCGGGATGGGGGGTAAGGCAAAGTGAACCTTCTGGTGCATTATGGACATCATTTGCGAATTCAATCGCATCGTCAATCGCCTTGATCAGCTCATTCGGACTCTGTGTCCCGTCTAGTAGACCTATCATCAGCGTGCTCAATTTTTACGAAACCGAAGCCAAATAACGGAACGCAAAGGAAGATTCAAGGTCACTAACCATCATTAAAGATCCCCAAGCCCTGAACCCGCCCCTCAATCTTTTCAACCTTCCTCTCCCTCCCCTCAACCCTAACCAGCACCGCCTTACCCAACAGCCGGAATCCAATCCGATTACTATCGCTCCTGGGTCTCACAATCACAAACACGTCTTCCGCGCCCTCTATCTTACAAAGGATATCCCTCGGCTGGATAACAGCAGAAGCGATGCCTACGAATTGCCCATCGCCACTAACGAAAAGCCGCACTTCGCCCGCACTGTCGCACGAGAAATACGGCGGGCACGTATTGCGATACGTGCTCTCGGTGCGGAAACAGCGCGCCTGCGGACTCCACGCAAAGCGCACTCTCAACTGTTCAGTAGAGTGATACTCCCTCACACTCAGTTTCGCGACATCGGCTTTCAGCCGCGCGATGTTGGGCGGGAGGTGGATGTGCAGTACTTGCGCGTGGTGGTTATACAAGGCGTCGAGTTCCAGGTGGGCGAAGAGGATTTTAGAAGGCGAGGAGGCGGATAAGACGTCGCTGGCCCAAGCGACGGTACCTAGACCCTTTGCGTTTGCTTTGCTGAATGAGTTCCGCAGTAGGTAGCTCTGCGCCTCGTCTACGATGCTGAGGAGGGCGTCGAAGGTCTTTTTGTCTTTGTTCCAGAGCGGTTCTTCGAGCAGGGCTTGCATTGAGCGTTGAGAGGCTACGAGTTCGTGGGATGATGGGTCCTGACTCGAGTTCTGAGTCGACACGCGGAAATGGACGTTGTCTCGTGAGAATTCTGATAAAAACGTGTCAATGCAGAGCTGGGCTTGGGATTTCGAGTAGTCGGGATCAATCTTTAGGCCCTTTTCATCTTGTGTTGATATGCTCACAAGCCCGTATATCCGATCCCTGATATCGTAGCATCCATATTCGTGTTTCTGACACATCTTAAGGAGATCAGTCATTTTGTGTTGTGTTGGGGTTTGCCCGTTCTGTAGTCTGAGCATTGCTATCCCGGGGGTGCCGACACACCATTTTGCAAATGCGATGCCATTATCTTGTTCTTCCGGGTCCCTGTTGGCTTTGGAATCCAGGAATCGCATGACTGAGATGAATTGCATCCAAGGCGCCTTCTTAGTCCCGCAGTATACTTCCAGATTATAGCCGGACAGAATTTCCTGGAGAATCCATACCCGCCGCCAATATGGCCGATTGAAAAGACTGGTTAATGTACTTGCCGTTGCTCTCTCTAAAGGAGCAGAAATATCCGCCCAAGGCATCCTCTGATTGACTTTATCAAACGCAAAATCGCTAACCTCGTCCGCGTCCCCCAACCAAACCAACACCTTAGACGCCCGCTGATAAATCTGGCTCATGTTAGCCACCATATGATTCCGCTCCGGGACATCGCCCATATTAATACACAAGGCATCGATAAACAACAAGCGCGACTCGGTAGGAAGCCGCAACGCCTTCAACGCAGTCAACAGATTCTTGCGAACAAAACACGTCGACCCATCGACGGACACTGGGGTCAAAGGCTCGGCAGGCCCCCACATGTACGACAGAGCCTCATAATGGGTAAGCCAGTCATCCAGAAAGACATTGTCCAGCACACAGGCGATCTCGTCCTCGCCCGAGCCAGGAAGCAGCACCAGGACACGGAACTGACGCTCTCCTCTTAGCGGATTGTATCTCAAGGTCCCGTCATGTGTAGGTGCATTCGGCGGCTCAAAATAGGCCGACAGGGAGGAATCCGCAGGGGTGAGCGGCGGGGCGGGCGGCGCGTGGGTGAGCCCGGATAGTGCGGGTGCGGGTTCGGGCTCTGGAACAGAGCGTCGCGGGCCCGTTAGGAACTTGCGCATCTCAGCTTGAGCATGAGCGTGAGCATGAGATTGAACGAGAGCGACCTCGTTTTCCAGCTACACTATAGTATTGTACGTGATACTGTATGAGCAAATTAAGAAACACAGCAGAGGTGAGATGAGATGAGATGAAAGTAGAGGAAATGCAGATGGTGATGGATATTACTGGGGCGCAGTGAGGTGACGCTGCATCGGTCAGCTCGGTACAGAATATGGGTACAACGAACTGCCCAATCGGGCCGTAAAAACCACACCAACTCGTAAAATGACTGGATACCTATTTATATCCGTACCTACCTATCCAAACTAGGAAGGTACAAGGTACCTCGATGCCATTAAAACGGCATTTTTCCATGAGATTTACTCTTCTGGGCCGGGAATATTCCCATTCTAGTTCGTAAAGTATTTCTTGGCATTTATCTGATTTCCAAATAAGAAAGAATTTATCGTATCCAGAGGGCTCTTTTTTCCAGCTTAAGTGGAGAAATACAAGCTTCATGACAATATCCTATACAAGTAGGTTACACAGAATGGATTGTTACAGCAGCATCAGCCAGCCCTTAGTCATGCCCCGAGAAGCTATTTGTGGGATCGGATAATTCTATGGAGACTCCACCTAGGAGGCCCTTCCTTGACCACTTGGTTTCACACCGGAAACTTTCGCATCTCCATTCATTTGAAGAAAAGAATTCTGGATATGAAATAAGAGTGGCGGCACTTGCCTAGCTCCAAGTCCCGGGAGGGACCGAGCCGTCTTGTCAAATGAGAGATCGGAACAATTATATTATGCATATACACCCAGGCTTATTTGTATTGCTTTTTATATCTTCGACTTTGGTCTCCACTTGGCATACGCATGTTCTTCCCCATCAGGAATCAAATGATCTACAGCCTTCGTATTCAGCATGCCTGGATGAACCTGAGAAAGGTCCGTGATACCCATCATGCGCATCGTCGTCTCCAGCTCATCTTTTAAAACTAGTTGGGTAATCAGTGTGAGTTCATGAGGATATTCGATCAGAACCTACTGTCGACGTATTTCTCCACGCCTTCTTGGCCGTAATTCAAAGCGAATAGGAAACCTCTGCCAATACCAACACTCCTAGCACCCAAACATAGAGCCTTGAAGATATCCGTCCCCCGCATAACCCCTCCATCAACAAATACCTCCATGTGGTCAAAGACCTCCGGACAGTGCTTCTGCAGCTCGAGAAGAAGCAAAATAGGCGGCGGCGCAGTATCCAGGCTCCTGCCCCCATGATTACTTAACACAATCCCCTCGATTCCATTCTCCATGGCTCGTTTGGCATCCATATGCGTCTGAACGCCCTTCAGAACAATCGGTAGCTTTGTGCACCGCCTTAACCACGGCAGGTCTTCCCAGCTAAGACTTGCATCGATATAACTGCCCATGATCCGTCCCAACGACCCACCTTTTGCATCATTCTTCGCTTTCGCGCCGCTCATAGGCGTGCTCAGACTTTCGTCCGCTAGCACCCGTTCATCAGCCTCTCTCTTCCCGGGGATAGGCGCATCAACAGTAACGAAAATAGCCTTTACGCCCAAACCCTCTGCTTGCTGAAGCAAGCTCTCGCTCTTGGCCCGCTGCTTATCAACATACAGCTGGAAGAAAATCGGCAGCCCCTCTGTCCCTTCTCCTTCCTCATGCTCCCCATATGATCCCCATCCGCTCACGCTCTCGAAGATCTCAGCAATAGGAAACGACGCATTTGTTGAAACACAGACCGGGATCCCTTTCGCCCTACACCCCCTTGCAATCCCCTTCTCCCCATCAGCATGCACCATCTTCGCCATCGCAGCCGGGGCGCAGAAAATCGGCACGTCCATTTTATAGCCTAGCATGCTTGTGCGCGTATCGACGTCCTTCACATTGACTAGTATCCGTGGTCTGAGACCGATATCTGCGTACGCGGAGGTATTGCGCGTTTTGGTGTAGAGGTCTGTTGCGGCGGAGGAGTAGAAGGCCCATGTTTTAGGGGTGAGGGATGTGGAGGCGGCGGCGGTGAAGTCGTGGGTGTTTATCAGGGTGGAGAGGTCAGGTTTGGTGGTGGGATGCAAGGTGCTTGTGGGTATTGGAGGGTTTGCCCATTCTGCGGTTATGCTAGTGGGATCGAGGGTTCCGAGGGCTTTTGAGGAAGGGAGGGAGGTTTTAATGAGAGAGGGTCCGTGGATTTCGGAATATGCTGTTGTGGCATCGCGGCCGGCATGGCGCTGGATTACTGAGGCATTGTCAGTGAGCAGCGAGGAAGGGGATTTGGGATGGAAGACATACTGCTTGCACCGCCAGGGTGCTCAGGGGCGAATTCTGTAAGGTCGTAAACTGTGTTGTCGACTACAATCCATAAATCTTCGGGAATATTGTGTTGAGTGACTTCTTGGACGGAGATAACTCGAGTCATTGCTGTGTACTGTACGGATTCCTAGAGGTAGCACGGTCAATTCGGATATTGTCAGTGTCAATTGACGGTTAAATGCAATGCCAAGAGAGATAAGAGTGATTGGAGAGATAGGAGCTATATATTTGATCTATATACATGGCGTACAAAAGATACCACGCAATAGTGGGATTGTTGAACTGGTAGTTGAAGATGTAATGGTTCGGGACAGCACGCCCCGAGAGACATCTGCCAGATTTGTCAGCACAAGCGACGTTAGAATGCTTATTAATCAATCGTCACACTTCTCTCTCTCGTTGCGGAAGTCAGTACTGATATTTCATATATATACGAAGGCAGATAGTATCTTATAACCATACCTGCGAACCGTAATTACTATGATCATCTATTCTTTCGAAATTCGATATTTGACACGGGAGAAAGCTATTGTGAAGACCGACCTCAAATCCCGAGGTTATTGTATCTTAGTGCGGAGAAAGAGATCATGTCTCAGCGAGCAGAAGTAGAGCAAAGAAGGAAAGAGCGGATGACTTCGCATATGCTATGCTTTGCTCTTTACTACCTACCTTGCAATTCACTTCTTTGAATAAAGGACGATTAGAGTCAAGTGTCAACATTAAATCGAACTCGAGCTGTGGTGACACACATTCCCACCAGCGATATGGTTAGCCATAGCCTCAAAAGCTGGTATAGTCGGCGTTGTTCTCGTGGGAATCCTGTACCAATTCCTCTTCAAACCTCCTATATCTGATGTTTTGGGAGTCGCTCGCAAGCTTGATTCAATCAAGGCGTACAGCCATGTCCGTTGCAGAAAGATAGACAAGCTTGGCTTAGAAGGTTGTGAAGATATGTGGATGCATGAGAAGATAGGATATCTCTACATGGCATGCTTAGACAACAAACCCTGTCTCCAAAGTCGCATTTGCCAAACCCTCGCATGCTAGAGATCCTTAAACACACTGCTAAGTGGCGACTAGGCTAGCTCGTATCATGCCTACTTGCCCTCAAGCTGAATCGCCGGAAACCAATCACACACAAGTCGACACTAAAGAAAAATACAAATATTATCAACCAAGCACTATATATTTGGAGGCAGCGACAGAGCTCTGTTAGTTACTCCAAGACCAAAAACAAACTATTCAAGCTCTTGTTTAACATACTTGAACTCAGCAACCGAGACACCTATATTGTCAATACAGAGCATTAATGGATTCGTGGCAGCTTCAATAGCTATATACCTATCGAGGTACGATCGACCCGCTGCCATAAGAAGCTCATCTTTCGTTGTTCCATGCCACACAAGGCTTGCCGAAGCCAAATACCCTGGCACAGTTATCTGTTACAGTCGCTGACAAAATCGGCTTCCCCACAAACTCACTTAGATAATAATTTCTTCTCGTTCTCCCTTTTCGTCAACACTCGAATAGTAAACTACCCTTTTACCTGATTCCTTGTTCGCGAGAGCCACATGATAACATCGCGCTAAGAGATGCTCCCCGTCCCAGCAGTGCTTTCCTCCAACAAAACATTTGTGGCACAGATCAAAGTTAGCAAGGTGGCAAAAATCACAATGATAGTGCATGTCACGACAACGTTCGCTGCACAACGTACAAACGCAAGAATTGCCGTAGATATCTCGAATGACCTCAAGCCTTGTCAATCTGGCATTTGCAGTGATGGTACTGTCATATCCTGGGATAAAACTTTCGTCCTCGTTGAGCAAATCAATCTGTCTAAAGATCTCCTCATCCTCAGGGAACATTTGGAGTAACTCCCAAGCAGCCGGTCTTTTGTGGGGATCTTTCTGGCGGCATAGTGCAATAATTAAATCTAGGTAGGCCGGTACGTCCACCGCAGCCTTTGGCAAAGCAATTGGATCCCCGTGCTCGTCACAAGTGGCAAGCTCGGCATTGTTGCATCCTGCAAGCGAGCAGAAGGTTCTGGCGCCTTGCTGATGCTGATCACGGTACAGGTGCCATAGCAATAAGCCCAATTGGAAGATATCAAAGTCAGGTCCAACCTGGCCATCTCCCTTCTTGAAAGCTTCGGTGCGGTATTCTGGTGGTAGCAAACCACCGTATCGATGTACAGCGGTATGGTTGCCATTGCCCAAGCCTATGATCATTGCATTGTCGCAGTCATCAATGCAGACGCACCAATTGTATGTTCTCATGCCTGCAACAACGTGACCACGTTCGTGGTATGCTGCAAGCCCTCGGACAATCTGCTTAGCCCATTTTTGTCTTATTGGCCATGGTATAGGTTTGCGTTTGAACTTATGAGCGTCCATTAGTCTGAACATCGGTCCTTTCGAAGGCAGCTCGACAAGCACGCCCTTTAGCTTCTTCTCGGAGTCCACGATTATACTGACTAACTGTGCGACATTAGAGGCACCTCGGAGAGCAACACTGGCCTGAACTGCACGACATAAGCGGTCGGTTCCCAATTTGCCCGCGGTCATAGTCTGGTATAAAACCCACCGGTTGTCAAGGTTTGCTACCAGGTAAGTTGTATGGACGTAGGCTGTGATAAGATCTGTTTCTGGAATCATCCGCACGTTCTGATGGTGAAGAACTTCGGTGAGGTTCCAGGTGTTGTCTATAATGCCAGTATCAAGCATTCGTAGTTGGCTTGTCGCTTTAGGTTCGCTGTCGCCGCCCGTAGCATTGGATTTCTTGTCAAAGCGAATATTGATCTCCGTATCGTCGCCAACATCCGGATGGTTAGTTATTATTCTTTGTAGTAGCGAAATAACATTATCAGGAAGTTGGCGCCATCCAATATACGAAGGCCGCTTTAGCTTATGCTCCACTAAGACTTTCTAGTGAGTGGTTCCGACGGCCACTGTCGTTCTGAGTTTAATGCGAATCTAATGACGTGGAGTCTTTGCGACAAAGAGATTTTGTGTCATAATAGCAATAGTTGGATTTATTTCTGCCAGAATGGACGAGTAGCAGATGATTTGTGGTCCGATGTCATTGATTGTGTATTACTCAGGTCGAAATGAAGACAGTGCCTCGAAGTAGCCAAGTGGAGTTACAAAGGCGGATAACAGTTGCGTAAGTTTAAGGAGAAGGGTGCGCAGAAGGCCTGGACGATCGGTGCCGCCACTTTCTGTCCCAATCCCTATCGCATTCATGAGTACCTTAGGACCCTCTTCGTGATTGAGTATGGATTGATACGTGGCTGGCATGGCCGATGACCCCTGGAGGCCTAGGCTGTTGCTTCGAATGATCAGGGAAGTCGCCAGCCGCGCTTGCACCATTTGCATCGCGCTCTGTATCTAGCTATTAGTCCAGTGATTTTAGGCTGGCTATGACCACGCTCACCTGCAAAAGTTTTATCTCCTGTACAGCATCGTCGCAAGCCGCATCGGCCGCGAAGCCAACGTGTTGTTAGCTTTTCCTTCTATATAAAAATTTGTGAAAACGGCGGCGTAATGCTCGGGTCAGGTACAGAGTTCACGTCGCAGTTATGTTTCGAATATTGATTGAAAGCTTTGGTATTACCTAAACAATTAAAGGATTTACTTACTGTATTTTGAAATTTCTTCATAAAGCCTCCTGAAAGCTTTCGCTTTTCCTTCTCCATATACTAGCGGCATAGTCACATCGAAGATACCAAATAAAGAATAGACGTGATCTTCCTCGCGTTTTGTTGTACGTGCCTTTGCCCACGTCATACGTTCTTCAATAGTACACTCAGCCAAGGGACGACCACGCAAGACGTCCAGAGAAATGCCCGCAACATTAGAAATAGCTATTTCCAACGTCAACTTGTTGCCAAAATAGGTCCCGTCGCGTGCAAAAAAGTCAACGTGCTCTGGCGCAATAAGTTCTTGAAGCGTCCAACCTCGACTGAACCAGCGACTCTGTGTGAAAAGAGCCTCCCACTCCTTGCCGCCTAATGGCGTGTCTCTTTCTTCATGGGACGTGTAGACATCAGATAGATAAACGTAGCAGCGTGTAGCGTTTTTATACCATCGAAACATAGAATTAATAGCCTCAGAGAGTTCTGGTTCGCTCTTGCGGTTGATACAGCAGGTGTCGATCCAGATGTACGCGAGCTTTTCGATAGAAGCCTGCTTCTTGCAGAAATCAATCTTGCTATAGCCAGCTTTATGTTGTTCCTCTGCCAGTTTCAAGATCCTCATAGGTCACCTCCTCTTTATTGTTCGTATGCCATGTGTGCGACAGGATAGCGTAAGCGGGTAGCCCATCTTCGCCCTCAAATTCCCGAAACCTTAGCTCTCCTTTGTCGGTCCAAGTCAAAAGGCGGATCATTGCGCGTTTCGTATTGTAGCCTAGGCAGAATCTATTCAGCAGGATACAACGCCTCATATATCGAGGGAGGCACGAAGAAATGATAGGCACAGAAACCACGAAGACGCAAGAAGAATCACGATAGTATGGCGCAGATAATTACGATAACAGCAGTAACAGTAGTAGAACCAGTATCTGGGGGGAATATAACAGTAGAGGATACAATGCAGAACCAGATAACTGTACTAGGATGTTTGATAAGATAAGTTACAGGTTAAGAAGAATCCTTTCGGCTGCTTGTAGAAACTTGTCGAAGAACGCCACACTTTCACGTGACATCAATATAATGTGTAATAAAATACGACTAGCGTGCCTGTAAATATAACATAAGGTAGGTTAGTAAATCCTTCCTCGCTTATTAAGATGCTTGGCATTTTATATACCTCCCTCCTCCCTCTATGTCAGGATTGGATCACGTGGACGCTCCGTTTTGGATTTGCTTAGGATTCGCTTAGGTTTTAGACAAAGTCCATGTAATCAAAGACCTTTTGCCGATGGATAACCTTTCTATAGATGAGAAAGGCAATATCTATGCTGCCTCGTTTCCTAGGTCGTATATATTTGCTTGTTCTATGAAAGACCCGTTTAATATTAATCCACTGAGTGGTATGGTTAAGATTAGCAGGGCTGGAAAGGGACACCAGGAAATAAGGAGGAGAGCTGATGCTAGGAATTGGGATGACGGAGAGTATATTATTAAAGTGATGGTAGTGTTTTGCCTGCTTTAACAGTTGCTATTCACAATAGTTAAATAGGGAGGGTATTCCTAGGAGGAGCATTATCCTTAGTTATTACTATCTATAAGACTTGATAAGGTTAATAATAGTGGTATAGGATGGGATAGGATAGGACAAGATATAATATTATAGAGTACCTAGGTAGGTAGGTTATAATATACTACCAGTCTAAATTTAGACGCAAAGGATACATAGTCGTGTCCCAGTCCTGTGGGAGTGGTAGTCCAGGGAATATCCATACTGCAAGTTGGCGGACATGACATGTGTCTGCCTCGTCTAACCTAACCCTGGTACTAAGTAACCCAGCCTCTCTAATGATCGACGTTATACTCCGTATTACGCAAGGTACAGTTCAGTACGTACCAGGGATGGATCTCGTTTATCGCATTCTGACCCAATGAGTGGACGCGTACCGGATATTCACGTGATCTAAGGCTTATTTATAACTAAGACCCCTGGTGCCTCAGCCCCGCCAGCCATGTGCACAGATCCTGAGTAAGGCAATAACCCTTTGGTGAAATGGAAACGAACGGACCAATCAAGACGAAGACTTCGGTCGAAGACTTCGAGAAAGAAATGCTACCTCTGTAGGGAGGCGATGAAATCATTTGTCTACGAGTATTGCACCAAGTAAGGTATTATTACTTCACGTCAATTGCAACTTCACCGCCACAGATCGTCTCCGGAACAATGGCTCATCGTCCTACCAAGGCCAAATGAGGCATCCACGGTGCAGAGGTACAGTTGAACCCTCCCCTCCAGCCGCACGCTAGCTTTATTGGTCCGACGGTACGAGATAGTTCCCAAATGCCCCATCCTGGCCCATCTAATTTCTGCAAAAGAGGCACAGAAACACATTGCCCATATATGGCAAAGCTGACCTCAGAAATGTACGGTAGGATATCTCTCGTTGTTTCCCTCTACTTTCCTCTTCTTACGAGTCAGTGTGTGTGAGAGTGCGTGAGTATCGATCCTCGCATACGTCCAGTGCAGTGGAAATGTCTTCTTCTTCGATCCCTCCTTCTGCATCGCCTTCTGCGTCTGAATCTTCAACCCCGAAATCAACTGTTGCAGCGTCGAACTGTATAACACCCGGTGCCATTGGCGTGCCGTTGCAAAACTCATCTTCGTGGAACGCGACTGGCTGTGGTCAAGGCTTTTACTGTCAGTGGGCATACAATAACTTTACACGGTAGATCAAGGCACTGATAATAATTACAGGTGAAAACAACAATGCTACCTTCCCACCTCAATATTGCCCTCCTACGGCCGAATGCCAGTCCTCACGTCTGTCAGGGCAATCCTGTGATCCCCAAGGCACCTTCGAACCAGTTGTATGCCAAGCAGGATTCTACTGTCCCAAAGAGGGAGGAAAGATAAAGTGTCCAGCAGGGTCGTTCTGCCGCATAGGCTCGTATGAGCCATCAAAATGCAGCCCAGGCTCAAGCTGCAAGGAGGGCTCTATCCGAGACATGTTCTTTCTGCCAATGGGAATCCTCATAATCATCGATGTTATACTCGTCACGGCTGTAGTCATTGCCAAAATCCAGTCGCGGTACAGAACTAAACATCCGAAAGCGAGCAAGAATAAGGGACTGCCATTTGGTGGAGTTCCGTTTAGGAACAAGAAAAAATACCAGGAGATCGGCGACGATTCATACCCTTCGGCCATGGAAGCTGGCATCCCTCTGCAGCATAACTTGGAGTTTCAAAGGCCCGATTTGAGACGCAAACCTACGGGGTTTGAACAGCTCGGTTTACAGGGGGCAGAATACGCTTTGCATGATGATCTGCAAGATGATAATGGAGCATCTAGGACTGCTTTGCAACAATTTGTACAGTCTCTGTCTAGAATCCTTGGGGCGAGCAAATTTGGGTTGAACTTCGAGTTCCAGAATTTGCATTTCCAGCCGAAGAAGAATCCCAAGCCGATCCTTTCAGAAGTGACTGGAATGATTGATGCCGGCTCGCTGTGGGGTGTGATGGGTGCTTCTGGTGCTGGAAAATGTAAGTTCTCATATACCTGGAAATCAACTTGGCTAATCCGATGTAGCTACCTTTGTAAACGTTCTCATGGGTAAGACTCCGAATACAGGAGGTATCACTAAAGTCAATGGAGTTGCTGGAGATATCAAAAAGTATGTTTCCCAAATTCTATTCTGAAGGGACAAACTGACACATTTTAGATACAAGAAGATCATCGGCTATGTTCCTCAAGATGATATAGTCCTTCCAGAACTGACTGTTCGAGAGAACATCCTCCATTCTGCCCGAGTCCGTCTACCCGCAAGCTGGAGTGACGGCGAAATCCAAAACCATGTCGATATCCTCCTACGATGTCTGCAACTCGACCATGTGATGCACTCGCTGGTAGGAAGTACCTCTGCACCTGTAATTTCTGGAGGGCAACGGAAGAGAGTCAGTATCGGTATGGAGCTCGCCGCCGCGCCCATGGCCCTGTTCCTCGACGAGCCTACTTCAGGTTTGGACGCAACAGCCGCGGCATCAATCATGTCAACCCTAAAAGCCCTCTCTCGGCTCGGCATGACAATCGTAACCATCATCCATCAACCGCGACAGGAGATCTTTGAGTCCCTCGACAGTCTTGTCCTACTTGGTAAAGGGCGCATGATCTACACCGGCCCTGAGAGAGGAATCCAACCCTATTTCGAAGGTCTCGGTTTCTCCTTCCCGGACCACAGCAACCCAGCAGATATAATGGGAGATATAATCGCCGGCGAAGGACGCCACTACAAGCCGACAGGCGACGCTAGCGTCCAAGGCCTTATTGACTACTGGGCCAGCCAGCACCCTGCAGCCACCGAAACCGAGTCCAAACGTTCCACCGTCTCCATGGCCGAAATGAACAACCTAATACAAACCATCAAGCAGCGTGGCGCTCCCTGGTATCGGCAAATTTGGTTCTGCTTCCACCGTTCCCTAGTCCAGCAATACCGCATGAAGTCCTCCTTTTTCTTCGAGCTGGGCGTTGGAGCCATGGCGGGCTTCCTCATTGGTCTAGCAGAGGAAACACAAAAGGGAACGAATTTCCGCGGGATTTTCAACCCCCCCTATTCCATGCTCTCTGCCAGTGTCGACTACTCGGCCGTCCCGCAAATGGCGCTCCTCGTCGGCCTCGCTATCGGCCTCACGGCATCCGCGCCGGGCGTCAAGATCTTTGGTGAAGAAAAACTCGTCTTCTGGCGTGAAGCAGCGGCGGGACATAATCGCTTCGCATACTATATCGGCAAAGTAGTGTCTACCATCCCCCGCATGCTCCTAGCGAATTTCCACTTCACCACCATGTTCATGGTACTGTCCGCGCCGCGCATCCCCTGGTTCGCAGCCTTCGCCGCCAACCTGCTATACTTCTGGTGTATCTACGGCCTCGCATCCTGCGTCTCCATGGTCACGCGGCGCGAAGACGGGCCGCTCCTCGCTGTCATGTCATCGCTCATCGTCGGCGTGCTGAATGGCATGTCGCCGTCGCTCAAAAAAGTCCGCGGCTGGCACATGGCGTGGCTGTGGCGCGCGTCGCCGGGCACCTGGCTCGCCGAGGCGTATTTCACCGAGAACGTAAGTCCGTATCGCTATTTGTACCAGATCGATATGGCAAAGACAAGCCTAGGCTATCATCTCGGGAAGTATAGTACGGATTTGCTGCTGTTGCTTGCGTTGGGGGCTATCTATCGCGTTGTGGCGTTTTTGGGACTGCGGTTTATGTATCCGGCTAAGCAGCGGTGATGGAGGGGGATGATTGTGTATTATAGCGTGTTTATATATACATGGTCATATATACATCTTAACGTATCTATCGTATATGAGTACAACACTACCTAAGGTATTTATTTTAAACTAGTTTTCTTTCACTGCAGATGTTAAACTCGCTCACTTTTCAAGTTCTCTAAGATGGATTGGAGTATATTATTGAAGTAGAATAGAGAATAAATGTCCTAGATGAGGTAGAAAGATCTTTTAGCTAGGATGCGGCGTTTAAATGGCTGAGGTCGGTAAGGTAAGGGAGTAAGCGCAGAGCTATTATCAGGGGACTCGCTCGCTTACTTTAACGCCGATAAAGGGCCCAAACCATATATTTTGACCAAGGGATTGAAGTAGGCAAACAAAAAATATTTTGAGGTTGGCCGAGGCCGAAGCTGAGGAAATACAGACAGAGAATGAACCTACAGTGCTGAATTTAATAATCGCCAGATGGTCCAACTGCTACCGAACTTTGAAGATTCCGACAAATAGCTTCGAGGGAGTGGAGGACCCCTTGCACTTTCTTGCCGCCCACTCTACGAAAGAATCCAGGTTTAAAATCCGCAGCTACTTTGGACGTTCCATTAAAAAACTATTGACACTTTGAAGAGTCGCTCTGTTTGGATTCGCATCTGGCATCGAGGTTGAAATCCATCCTAGTCGACCTCTGATGAAGCTCTTATCGATAGTAGGGTTCGTCTTCTCCTGGAACTTCCCCCCGCTGTCAAAGAAAAGGCAGAGAAGAGCAAGCGCAACACCAATAGCTAGATCTTTACCACTCTCGCAAGCGATGACTATACGGCTGGCCACATCATTCTGCTCTTCTAGCCTGGATGCATTTCTTTCCACAAACGCCACGATGAATGGTAATGCTGCTCGGAGATTCCGACTACCCACCTTGTGAGGTCCAAGTCCAATGTCCAATCTTGTGGCAGACGTCGTCCAAGTTTCCTCTTTAGTGACCGTTGGACGAAGAAGAATTGTCAGATCCCTATCTTCCGTGGTAATTGCGGAGATTTGAGTAACAAATAGCTTCGCTGTAGGCTCCACACATCTCGCACTTCCTCCGCCAACAGGTCCCGAAATGGCTGCTTGTTCAACAAGGGCTGCTATGAGTTCCAGCAAATCAAAATCTGGGGTCGAAAACAAAGCGTTTCGGTTTGTCCAGAAAATAGATGGCGTCAGGCCATGAGCCCAGTTCTCCGTATCGTCTCCTGCTCCTTGTATGTAACCCCCCTCACTGAGTTCTCCACCTGTCACTTTCCGTGAAACTGTACAGCATATAACGGGATGGAAATTTTCAAAGACAGATGATGTAGACACTATGTTAGATTCAGGAGTTACCCATATTGGACGTAGGGGTTTCGATATATGTGACTTGTAGGTTTCAAGGGATACATCGAGGGCATTGAGGGACCTTTCGAAGTATGGCAATAGGGCGAATATTTGGGCATTTTCGGTATTCGATACAACTTGTGGAGGGGTATATAAAGCGTGAGATCGGGAATCGGCAGGGAATAAAACTCGATTTATGACGCTGCACCATATTGGTATGGTCTTGCTCAGAGCATCGGGCATTCCTAGAACTAGTCAGATACAGCGAAACACGTAGAAAGTAGAGCTCCTTACGTTTTCCCCGTCTAGTAGAATCGATAATGATACACCCGTCATTCTTGCCAATAACCTCGAGCAGGTGAAGATTCAGTCGCCTCGAACTAAACTTCCAGACTCCGGTATGTCCATCTGTGCTCTTGAAATATGCACTCCCTCCTTTCTTCTCGGGATCGATGTACCAACTTCCGCACCGCTCATTTGCAATTAACGGTCGCCCGTACGCCGCCTGTATCTTCTTTGCAAAAGCTGCATCTTCCTCAATAGACCGCAGGCGGTTGTGAATGGAAAGTGTAGACCTCTTAAGCTCGCCGAGTGTTTTGGAGAAGTTGTGGTTCGCTTGGTCGGAGAATATAAGATCTTCAGCCGTAGGAGCGGGCATTGAACACCGTTGTTAGTAATTCTTTGTTATGCGGAGCGAGGGGGGGTTGAAGTGTAGTGGGGTGCAGATATATTATATTTTTCGCTTACGTAAGCAATAAGCACATAAGCGCGTTGCTACATGTCCATCTCTTTCAACACCATGTCTAACCTGATCATTCGAAACGAAACAAACATATATATAAACTTCGCGCACGGGGAAATTCTCAATTTTGGTTTCGCCAACTGTCCTTTCTCACTATTACCTCTCAAGTCGAGACCTTCCAGTCGAGAGACGAAACTCAGCCCTTGATCATTCGACTATGCTGCAACACTTCTGTTGACCATGATCCCCCCACTCGGTCTCATAAACGGGTGATGCAGCTTCCATCATCCAATTGCAACATCAGGGACGATTCTCATGAGCCGCTCAAGTGATGTTTGAGGGCGTTGCAAGTCCACACCACTTCAACTATCAGCTGGTCTCTCGTCATTGTTTACCTAGACCTATCCATTCTGCATATGAACCTTCTGATTCGTCGGATCTGAGAGCTCTTCTAGAAATTGACTGTTTCTGGGGCAAGTATTCTCTGACTTCTAAGTTCTCACGATTCAAAACTTGTCAAATCTCTAAGAACCTTCTTTTTAAGGTCGTTTCCTTTAAAATGCTGACGATCCCAAAATGGCCTTCTAAAACATTTCGATTCCACTTTTCATAATTACCGTATTCACGCCCCACAGTCTGGTAATTCCAATCTCGTTGTCCAATCCCTTTTCAAGATGTCGAAAGATCAATGCAGATATTTGACAATTATCCTCACTTATATTAAGGAGTCCTAAGCGAGTGTTTCAAGCCTGTCTCTTAATAATTTGCCTTATACTCCGATTGGATCTCGGCTGTATAAACATTTCTCCTACCCCAACAAGTTCGGGCTCGTCCTCGAATAAATGATCTGATGGCTCCGCAGTAATCCCAAAGATCAAATTTTCCGGAAAAACTTGAGTTACATTAAAACGGAGTGAGTGGAATTTGGTAGCGAATACTTGGCGTATTCGACGGCCTTGCATGGTTAGTGTTTGATATTAATAGTTGAGCCTCGAAGGGGAGTTTGCGGGGTAACCATGTGGATACTGGCAGCTTCACAAGCTGGTCCTAACAAGCAAGCCACTTTCATTTCATATCTAGAACACGACATTCTCGGTAGACCTTTCGACAAGCTTCCAACGAGCCAATGACCTGTATCAAGCGAACCAAGTAGTTGCTGCTGATTCTACACTGTGGAGTGACTGGTCATGCACATGATTTCCTTTTCCGGTACTGAAGGATCGCCGCTGGGGAGGGGTGTTGAGAGCTGTACGCGATAAAGTTTATCCATCGCTGTCAAAGGTCGGTGTCGGTTAGGTCACTGAATCCTTCAATCACAGCCCTTCAAATTTATCGTGTTCTGAATTTGCCAAGGGCACCCAACTTGGTTCCAGCGCTTCCGAACGGACACACTAGAATCAATGTCACTTCATCAAAAGGGGTTTCAAACTTCGTGCTCCACCTGGACTTGTATATAAGTCCCAATGTACTTCCTTCTGATTTAACTTGGACATCACCAACACTCTTTCTTCTCTACTCGTGCAGGATACGATATTCACACTCATTCATTATGTATTCCAAAATCGCTCTTGCTTCTCTTCTTTTCCGCGCCGCACATGGCCAGCAAGTTGGTACTTTAACCACAGAAACCCATCCTTCCCTCACATGGCAAACATGTACTGCCCCAGGAAGCTGTACAGATAAGGCTGGTAAAGTTGTCCTCGATGCAAACTGGCGATGGCTTCATAGTACCTCTGGGTAAGTCAAAGTCAACCACAATGTCAGCGGCCGTGCTAAACCAGAACCCTTTACAGATCCACCAACTGCTACACTGGAAACACTTGGGACACAACTCTCTGCCCTGATGACGCTACCTGCACCCAGAACTGCGCGGTTGATGGCGCCGATTATACTAGTACCTATGGTGCTACTGCATCAGGAAGCAGCCTCAAGCTTGACTTTGTTACCAACGGAGGATCATCGCCGAATATTGGTTCTCGGTTCTACCTCATGTCAGATGACAGCACTTATGAGACTTTCAACATGCTCAACCAGGAGTTCACCTTTGATGTCGATGTATCCAACCTCCCCTGTGGTCTGAACGGAGCCCTGTACATGGTGAACATGCCTGCAGACGGTGGATTGTCCGATACCAACAAAGCCGGTGCTGCGTATGGAACCGGGTATTGTGACTCCCAGTGTCCTCGTGACCTAAAATTCATCGACGGCGAGGTAAGATATAAATCTGTAACCAGGAGGTAACTTCTAGCTAACGTGCATTTAGTCGAACTCTGACGGATGGGTTGCATCAAGCACCAGTGCTAATTCCGGCGTTGGTCCTCGCGGAGCATGTTGCGCGGAAATGGACATCTGGGAAGCCAACTCCGTCTCCACCGCCTTCACCCCTCACTCCGGACCCTCAAACCTGACCGTGTGCACGGGTGACACCTGTGGCGGCACCTACTCGAGCTCCCGATATGCAGGCGACTCCGACCCAGACGGATGTGACTTCAACTCGTACCGTCAAGGCAACGAGACATTCTACGGCTCCGGCATGACCGTCGATACCACCAAGGTCATGACAGTTGTCACGCAGTTCCTGACAGACGACGGAACCGCAACAGGCACCATGAACGAGATTAAGCGCTTCTACGTGCAAGACGGCGTCGTGATCCCCAACTCGGAATCCACCATCCCCGGCATCTCTGGAAACTCGGTCAACGACGAGTTCTGCGTGGACCAAAAGGCGGTTTTCAACGACACGGACTCATTCAACGACAAGGGCGGTTTCACCTCCATGACCGAGGGTATGTCCGCCGGCATGGTCCTCGTGCTGAGTCTGTGGGATGACTACTACGCCAACATGCTCTGGCTCGACAGCACTAGCTACCCAGTCGACGCCGCGGCCGGCACTCTGGGAGCTGCCCGTGGAACGTGCGCTACGACATCAGGCGTACCTGCTACTATTGAGTCTACGAACGCGTCTGCCTCGGTGACCTTCTCGAACATCAAGACTGGGCCCATCAACTCGACCTTCTCCGCTACTAGCACCTCCAAGCGATCAGCTTCGGAGCAATCCAAGGCTCACTGGAGACGGGCTGCCGCTTCATTGTGGTGAAGAAATATACTCTGGGGTGGTGGGGAAAAGGTTGGCGCTCTTTATTAGAGATTACCTACTCTGCCTGTAAATATGGACTGTATGAGTGTTGGGAAAACCTCAGTCAGTCGTTTGATTTTTAGCTGGTCTATTTTACCAATTTTTCTGTATATACTTAGATTCCGATTCACCAATTGATTTGTTACTCAATCATTATTCATAGAGCTACAAGTGATATACATACAGATTACACATTACAGATTACTTCCCCCACCACCCAAACATCACCCCGCCAAAGCCTTCCCCACCAACTCCTTACAAGCATCAGACATCGGAATCTGCAACGCCAACTCCCTCCCCCTCTCACTCATCTTCCCCCACGTCTTCCTCAGCACCCCCACCACCTTGTCCTCATCCAACCCCCCATCACCAAACGCAAACCCCTCAAACTGATCATCCAAAAACACAAGACACGCCACATCCTCCAAAACCTGCATCTCCCCATTACCATCCCCATCCCCACCACTCCTCCCTAACCCCTCCTTCCTAACTAACCGCCCCACCTCCTTCGCCTCCCCCTCCGCAAACCCAGCCTCCACACAAACCCGCTCCACGCCCTCCGCCTGCCTCTTCTTCAGAAACGCGCGCCACGCCAGATACCCCGCCCGAGTCGCGGGGTACGAGCTGCGCGGGACTTCCCAGCGGCGGAAGTGCTGCGCGCGGATGGCGACGGCGAGGATCGGGGAAGCGGCTAGGATGGGGGAGTGCGCGGTTAGGTAGTGTGTCATTTTGCGGGCGTAGTGGAGTTCGTAGGGGATAGTGGTGGTGGATTTGGTGGCTGGGTTGGTTGAGGTGTGCGTGTTTGGGTCCTGGGCGTGCGCGGCGTCGATGAGGGATATGGCTGCGAGGTAGTGTGTGGCTGCCATTGTGGGATGTTGGAAGGTGTGTTTGGGTGTTTGAGTGCTTGTGGTGCATGTTGTGCGGAGTGAGGGGCAGAGAGAAGTTCTCCGGTAGAGGGGTTCATAGAGGGGTTCATAGAGGGGTAGATAGATAGAGAAAGATAACTGGCACGTGACGAGCATGCCTCTGATGCCCCTACAACACGGGTTCACGGGTTTTATCAACGTGTTAATGCGCATCGAGAGATATCCCAGGGTTGTATAGCATGTTTTCATATGCATCGTCAAGCAAGATGGGGAGGGACCCATCAAGACTCACTCATTGCAAGACCGAGTCGGTGTTTTACATAACCATGCATGAATACCGCGAGGCTCCCGGCCTTATGCCTCATCTATACCTAAGATATACTAGTAAGCTGTGGGTTGGTGCTACTGCGTTATGCAGCTAGTCGCCGAGAAAACTACAAAGAGGCTCCTCCAGTCTTCAAACGACACTCGATATTCGTGTGACACCCAAAAGCAAAAGGATAGATCTTCACAATCTCGAGTCCAGCTGCGTCCAGAATCTCTTCAAACTGCTTCTTCGATTTCTCAGTTCCGTTCAGCATCATCACTATAGATAGAGGTGAGTTATAATGTATGTACAGCAGGTCATTCCGTGCCAACTTACGGTTGAAATCCATCCAATACGGCGTCACTTCAGTCCCTATCTCGACTTTTTCTGGCATAATCATGTCTGCGATTATAAAACGAGATGTAGGCCCCATTGCGCTAGCAATGTTCTTCACCATTTCTTTGCAGACTGGGATATAGAAATCATGAAGAATACGACGCATCACATACAAATGTGCATCTGGAGAGTATGAGTTAGCCACGAAGCAAAATCGGGGAAAGCCATACTCTTGACAGGCTGGGGAGTGAAGAAATCGTAAGGCATCTTCTCGATGCCCGGGGTATCTGCTGCCGTCAGTGAAGCCAGCACGTCTGGCCGATCTTGGAGGATCATCTTTGCGCCAAACCCATTCGGTGCTTCCTTCTGAATGGCTTTGAGAAGCTGGCCTCTCCCACCTCCGATATCAACGACGAAGGCTCGGGAAGTGTCGGCTTCGACTTGCTCTTTCATGCTGGCCCACGGGAACATGCCCAGGATAGGTGTGACTTGCTCAGACGTCGCCATCGTGAAGTCAAAGTTGTGCAGCTTCCTTGGGTCACTAGAAATGGCATCGTAGTAACTTTGTCCTTCCATACCTACTGCCCATGCGTAGGGTGATTTGTTGAGATCATAGAGATCTTCCTGCTTATGTGTGCGGAAATACTCAGGGAGCTTGAGGAATGGCCCGGTTTGATCGATCATGAATTGGAAGAATTCTCTTGCCGCGCCCTTGAGGAACACAAAGGCATTGGCATTGAGAGCAAAAACATTAGGAGCTGGTTCGACGCCAATGCCAAAGGCCACGATGAGCTTCAACGCTCGTCCTAAACGATGATCATTATTATCAATCCTTAAAGCGTAGCGAATTGAGAAACCCCACCTATGGCAGACTCGTCGACTTTGACGATTTCGGCTAGGTCTTTGGAACTGATGGATCCCTGTTTCGGAATGGCCTCCAAAACATCCAGCTCCACCAGGAGATTCATTGCTGCAATGCACTGACTCATCTCCCACTGCTTCACTAGCACATCCATTGGGGTCTCCAACAAGAGGCGCAGTCGGTCTGCCTCCTTCAACAGCTGACGTTGCTTGACAGGGTCGCCATTGAACTCCTTGACCGCTGCTGCGAACTCACTGGCCGCCACAATCAGCTCTGCATTCGGGCCGGGGGGTGACGATTCCATTGCGTCGGGTCGGTTGTCAGCAGTAACGAATGTGATGTTTGGATATTTTGTACGGTGGCAGAATGAACGGAGTGGATGCCGGCAAAGCGTATGCAGAAATAAATAGAAATTACTTCGTAGGTACTTACTCCGTAGAAGTATTTGGGTGGGGTGACAGGGACGAGTGGCCGAGTGGCCGAGGAAGTCAAAAGTCTACGCATAGGGGGTCAAGGATGAGGTTTCCTAATGTATTTAGGTACATATGGATACATACTGTCTGCATACCTAGGTACTCGTAGTCTTGCTCTAGAAGACTCCGTAGAAGCATGGTGAAGTGACACTGGCCTACCATAAGACGGGCGAAACGGGGATGCAGCTGAAGATTATGTGACGTGGCACGCAGCACGCAGCACGTAGCCGAGGGACAGATCCGAACTCTCGACCATCGCAGGAGTGTCCGAGGGATGTGATATAAGGCTTCGTGTGCATGGAATTGGGATGAAGCATCAAAGTAGGTACATATAATAAGTAACAAGGTCCGAGATGGGAGGTGTTGGAGATGGATGTGCATGTGCGTCCACCATGATCAAGGAAAGGTGGAGTGCTATTTAGTGGCGAGAGGGGTGCGCCAATAGTAATCTTGAATATGATCTGGCCAAGGTCACGCTTCTTATTTTATCTAAAAACACCCAGTACCACTAATCAGCCCTACAGCTTCGTGGCGAGCGTGGATCAGGGGCAGGGGGGGGAAGAGGGGCCAATACTTTCTCCATCCAAGTGCATTACCTTGCAAAATGTCCAAAATTGCGTGTTATTTTCTTTCCACGCCAAACTGAACTCCATTTGCTTTATTTATAAAGTCTGTCTTACCCCACCCCGCCCCTCTCAGCCGCTGGCGTACGCTCAAATCAACACTGTACAGTCAGTCGTGTTGCTTTGCTTGTGGGTAGCCGATCTGCTTCTGTTTTCATCGTTTATCGATAATATGGCGGAGCCAACTGATATTATAGAAGCCGCCGATGACTCTTTCAGTGATGAGGTTCGTTCATATCCATCTTCTCCAAGTGGAAGCTAAAATCTAACCTATCTCTAAATTCGTCCAGGGTGCCGACGTGGGAGGAGAAAATTCGCTTCTGACATCTTTCTCTTCGAGTCTTGTGAAGGGTGTCGAGGAAAATGGAAGAACCTACGCTTCTTATGGGAAAGAAGGTTCGTTGATGGTATCTGGACTGGCCAGCTTTCCTTGAGCCAAATCTGTATAAAACAGAACAGCAACTAACGAGCACTGCGAATGTCAAGAGTATGGCGCGCCAATGGACGAACAGGAGATGGACAGAATCGACATGGCTCACGCTAAATATTTCATGTTGTTGGATAAAAAGAGATGGCTTGCTCCAATTCCCGCACAGCCACAGAAAGTCCTCGACCTAGCTTGTGGAACAGGTCAGTCAGTCATCTGCACCTTTCTTTCTTCACGAAACTTGCTAGGAACGAATCATGTTGATCCACTCTGCAGGAATCTGGAGCATCGACTTTGCCGATGCATATCCATCTGCAGAGGTAAGAATTCCATCCATGTCATGGTCAAAACGGTACTAACTTCAGATTCCGGTCACTGGAGTTGACATAGCTCCGATTCAACCAAAATGGTGAGTAAACTGTTTGCTTGTAGTTCAACTTCTGTAAATATTTATTCCAATAAGGACCTCGCCGAATTGTCATTTCGAGATCGACGACATAGAACAGCCGTGGACATGGAAGGAGGAAAGTTTCGATTACATCTTCGCTCGAGATCTGCTGCTCTGCATCCGAGACTGGCCCCGCCTACTCGACCAATGCTACAAGTATGCTCCTCCTCCCACGATAACTCAGAATTCTCAAGAGTAACCAAAAACTCACACAACAGACATCTCAAACCGGGCGGATGGCTCGAATTCCAATGCATTGACGGGAGTCTCAAATGCGACGACGGCACGCTCCCAGAAGACAGCCAATTCAAAGAATACGACCGCCTGCTCCGTGCCGCCGCATCCGCATTCGGCACCCCGCTCGAAGACCCAACGGGCTACGCCAAATGGTTCGAAGGCGCGGGATTCGAGGGCGTGACAGAGAAGGTCTTCAAAATGCCGACGAGTCCCTGGCCCAAAGATCCACGGCTTCGCTTAGTCGGAGCCTTTGAGCAGGAAAACCTAACGGTCAATTTGGAGGGTATCAGCCTGAGGGTCTTTGAGAAGGGTTTGGGGTGGAGCGCGGACGAATCGGCTGTGTTCTTTGCGGCCGTGAGAAAGGATATAAGAAATCGGAGGCATCATTCTTATTACCCTTTCTATGCTGTGTATGGGCAGAAGCCTTCAACAGCTACTTCCAATAGATCTCCATGACTTGTATGTAGCGCACTAGATCAATTATAGTCACATGTTCAACATATCGTAATGTGATTTACTTGATCACCATTCAGGTTTACTCCGTGCATCATTGAGCTATATTCTTCTCCAACCAAGATTCCGCTCAAAATCACCAGCCGCCGAAAAGTATACTCTCTACCTATGCAGTTTTCTCCATACTATATTACTATATAACTAGTAGGTGAATCGTTAAATATCACTAAATTCAAAGCCATCACCTGTCTTGAAACTTTGTTCTAACTCCGTTCCGTTCAGTAGTACAGCCCCTTTTTTAAGCGAAAATGAATACATAGGCCTGGGTGTGAAAACTAGACCAGCTAGCACGGTTCGCGAGCAAACGATCTAATTACTAACAGCTACTCATAGATCTAATTTAAGTGCAAGCGATATTCACTCATGAATCCTTAACTTCAACCTCCCTCGCCGCTTTTGCGCCGCTTCTGCCATTGAAATCTAGACTCAATCTTTTCTTTTTGAGGCTTCGCTGCTGCAACGCCTACTAACAATGGACATTAGCTGGGATTGGTAAGTTAAAGGGCGTTAGTCGTGGTGCTTTACTAGGAATATGTATCGAGCTCTGGGGTTTCTTTTGGTAGGTCACTAACAGGATTGCTTGCGGATGCTGATACATCTATTGTGATAGCTGTTGAAGACCGAGCCCGAGCTAGTTTGCAGGCGGGAGAGAATCTTCGGACAATTCAATGCAAGCAATGGTATCTGAGACATCATGCAAGCTGTTGAAATGCCATGCTAGGGTTTGAAATCGTACGTATAGTAACTTCAAATTCAAATTGATATATATAAACCTGCGCGCTGGTCTGCAACACGGCACCATAATTCAAGCATGCCCAGTCGCAGGTCGGGCATCATTTAAGACGCGCCACCAGACCACCTCTACTTATTCACCCCCTACCATCAACAACAAACGGCATAACACAATACTAGCAGCAGAACGCCTCCCAGACTCCCAATATCCCCCGTGGTATATACAGTACCAACAGCAAAGTCAACAGCAAGACAAAAGAAAACAAGAACGTGCGTATGTCCATACACCGCTAATGTTCCACGGCCTCACCCCTCCTCGACCGCTCTTTCTCAGCCAGTGTCATATTCCAAGGCTTCCTCGCTTTCGCCGCGTTCATGAGGTTCTTGCGATCCAAGATCGTATCTCTGTTGCAAGACACTCCAAGTTAGTAAAAGCCCCTTAATTTATCCATTTCAATGTATTGCGTGGGGTTCATTCATGTGCATACAGTGGATCTTGTTCTGGGTGTACGCTGGCATTATAGATGCTCTGTTCCCCGCGTATCCCCATCTGTTTCCGGCTCGCGATGCTGATGATGCGGTCTGAGGCGTAGACGCCTGTTAGGGCCACGGCGGTGATGATGGAGAAGTTGCGGAGGATGGTTCCTGCGATTGCTGGGTTCGTACTCATGTTGGAGATTTATATTTGATATTGAGAGAGATCGAAATAGTTTTGATGTGTGAGTAGAGGACTATGTATTGATTGTTTGATTGATCGCTTTCTTGTTCAAGTAGAATAGAAGTAAGTGTGTTTTGTATAGATTGATGTTTTGGATAATAGATACCGCTATGCTGGTTTATATGGCTTTCCTTGCAGTGAAGATTTGCGACGATTCCGCCGTTGCGTGTTCTGATAAAATCCGTGGCGTGACATTCTGTAACCATGAAGCCATTCGCGCTCAGGGGTCAGGGTTCGGCCACATCCGAAGCTCTGCTCACGGCGCCGAAGACCACGCTGGCCTGATTTCCAAAAGAAAAAAACGATCCCATGAAAACCTTAGGAATATCCAAAAATCTGATTCGCTGACTTGTGCATTTTCTGGTTTTAGGTCATGGTCTAATTGATTTGTGAATTCTTGCTCCGTACCTAAGTGCAGAGATGAGCGCCCAAATCCTGTAGGAATAGGAGTGCGCTGTGCCTTCGCTTAATTGCACCAAAGAAAACATTGGGGAAAGGAGCTGGGGCTGGGCTGGGCTGGGGCATACTGTATGCAATGAACAAGGATGAACAATTCCATTCCGCTGCATCAAAAGAATAAGTTATTACGGAGTATGGCTAGCATGGAGACAAAGAATCGATACGTAAAGAAACAGGTCATATGTACTATAAACCGCACATCTTCGTAAATGTGGAAATCACCTATCACTGATAGGCTATCAGTATCACTTTCAGCTGCCAAATACCCCGCATCCGACATCCGATAATACAACTTCGGGAAAGCCTACTTACGCTCCCTGGCGTAGTTATAAAACTAGAGTTATTCTACCCAATCAAATGATAACCAACTCTACGTGACTGTCCCTTTCACGCCTCTTTAAAAACCAATCAGGATTAAAGCTTATACTTAACCTGTTATCACCTAGCACTCAGCTTGTGCCTACGGCTTAAAGATGCCGTTTCCCTTCTTGGCCATTCTTCTATTATTAGAAGCCATGAGCCCTAGAAATCATGTCCTACGGGTATATATTACTTGTAAGCCCTGTTAGTGTTGGAATGAAATGAATTTCACGAGTACCATGTGATAGCGCGCGACGGCTAGCGTAGATGAAGGCTTAGCCTCCATCTTCCTCAACCTAGCTAGAAACCTCTTCACCTAGATATGCAACCACCAAACAACTAATTACTACCTTAGGCTAGCAAAGTGCACTACGTGATACCAAGCATTAGTGCTGGTGTCCCGGTATACGAGGACCACGTGTAGGTAGGTACTCGTTAGTAAATTAATTCCTTGGTTGCCTGCTTTGCTTTGTACATCTTTCTTTCTATCTATCCATCCAATATTGCTTTCTTCTATGCTATGCCTTATGCTATTTATTGTTATACATGTTGATGAGATTCATCCCTCGGTTGTTGTTTATCTTTTGTAGGGAGATGGTTTGTTGGCGTTGGGTGTAGTTGGCGATTGGGTGGTTTCGGTATTGGTGATGATACCATTGGGTACGTTGGGGGTGGTTTCAACGGCTTCTTTGGTTGGGCTTGTGGCGGTATCTTTGGTTTCGTCGCTCTTCTCGACTTCGGAAGGAGTAACCTTGTCCTCCTTGCTCTCCGGCTTGCCCTCCTTGGCCTTACTCTTCTTCTCCTTTTCCTTTTTTACAGCGTCCCATATTTCCTTCGCCATCTCCACCAACTTCTCACCCTTTATTTCACCATCAACCACAGAATTGGTAAGAACCTCAATCGCATCTTTCCGCTTCTTCTCAGGCCCACCCTTATTCGCAGCCTGTTTCGCCAACTTCACCAAATCGGCCCCCTTAACCCCCTCCATCCGCCACAGCCTGCGTCAGCACCTCAAGATTGATCACCAAGGCCTTTGTCTTCTTCTTCTCCTCCGCCTTCTTCTTCGCTCTCTCAACCATAGTCTTAGTCTCTGCTACCCGCGCCTCCTCATCCTTCGCCCACGTCTCAACCTCCCTCGCAGCAACAGCAGGCTTATCACGATGCGTAAGTAAATACTCCTGTAGTTGCGCCGGCGTAAACCTGTCCTCCGGAACGCGCCCACCAAACTCCCACGCCAACTTCCGCAACTCATCGTCCACTTTCTCAGAACCATACATGCGCAGAACCATACATGCGCAGAACCATACATGCGCAGAAACATCAGCTCCGCGCTCTGCGCCGAGATGTGCCCTAGGTATATCTTGCTGTCGATACGCCCCGGTCGGACTAGTGCAGGATCCAGTTTGTGGGCTTGGTTGGAAGTCATGAGCACGATGCGGCCTTCTTGAGAGGACACTCCATCCAAGACATTCAGTAAACCCGATAAAGTGCAGTACCCTTGCCGCCAGGATGGTTGCTCGGGCTTTTCGTCTTCATCTTCATCATCCTCATGCATTCCGGGGCGGCGGTCTAGACCAATAGCGTCGATATCTTCAAGGAGGACCTAGAGGTTGAAATGTTAGTGGAGGGTTCCTTAGTTATGAATATCCTTGTGGGTGGGGGTGGTGGCTAATCTTTTCAGGCGGTGTAGAGTTATGCTCTGGGTGAAATTGGAATCATAAGTACTTACGATGCATCTAGGGGGTAACTCGAAGAACCATTTCTGGAGAGTGGCATCATCATAGACGCTTAGGAGATGGCAAAGGTAGAGGTCAAGTCCAAAAATCCCAGCGAGAGCGAGAGACAGCGATGACTTGCCAGTTCCTCTACAGAAAGCGCGAGTTAGCTTAACTTTCTTAGAGATCGAAGCAACAAGATATAATCGCTTCAGGGGCGGCTGTAATTCTGGGCATATAGACAGATATCCAAATAGTACCAGTATCGGGAATATATAGGAATGTTGGATAACTTACGGAGTGCCATGCAAAAGATACCCCCGGCGATACGGAACCCCGCGATCAAGATAGAGCTGTCTCGTTTCAGGCCTCAAGTAACTCTTGATATCAGCCACAAGCCACGCCTTGAGCTCCTCATCAAAATGAACCGTATCTAACGGTCGAATGGGTTTCAAGATCGTCTGATCCCATGGACCATTCCAACGCTAGAATACGCAACACAAAATCAGTCTCGAGTACCATTTGATTCCAGACGACGGATATTACTCAGACCCATATCTTACTTCTGAACTAGTACGAATAGTGGTAAATGTTTCCCGCTGGTTCTTCGCGAATTCTCGGCACGTGTCCAGGAAACGCTTTATGGGAACTACGGAGCGACCCATGCACATTACCACGAGCGGCTCGTGGCCGATGGGCGCGGATGCATATTCGTCTGGCGTGTTGGTGGAGCCTTTTGTGCTTGTGCTTGACGATGGGGCAGGAAAGCGGCGGACCATGAAGAGACGGCGAGCGTGGATGAACCATGTTGTGCCGAAGGTGGGTAAGTATTGGACTGTGAAATATATATTTTAGCTTTTGGTATCTCTTCTAAGCTACATACGTTTGGACCTCTGTCTTCGGAACTGATCATTTCTTCTCGAAGCAATGTTTTGGTCTTCATTCATGCCGACCCGGGTTGAAATGAAACGGAATGAAGTGATTCAGAGGTGGGTTATCTTACTAGGAATAGCATTCTCATGCTTAAACTTATTCTCCTCCAGCTGTCTCGTAAAATAGTCGTTCTGAATCGATTTAGTCCGCGCCGTCAGGATCCTCGTCCCCTGACGCTCCAAAACATGAGCACTAATCCAATTAATTACTTCTCGATTAAGCATATCCTTACTCCCAATCGAAATTGAAGCAGTGAATAGTCGAATCATCCACCAATACGCCTTGAGGCCGAAGCCTTTGAGGTAATTTAAGGCGCCGGAGACGGTGCCGAAGACTGTCAGGACGGCAGCTAGTGTTGTGACATCAAGGCTGAGCCATGTCGAGAAGAAGGATTGCAAGAATCCGAGGTCTGGGGTGGCGTGAGATAGGACATCGTTGATTGATGCGACTGGTGTAGTCTTTGAAAGCTGTGCATGAGTGCGTGTTAGCTTTGTGTTTGGAAGGGTTTGTTATATGTAGTTGAGAGAGGTCATGACTCTGGAGCAGTGAGACATTCCTGGAAGGAAGAGCCTAAAATTGCCTCGAGAGAAAGACCCCTTGGATAGATGAGGGAAAGGAGTTCAGAGAACACAGCGTATCTTACCTTGAGGAGTTTGCTAATCCCAGTTTGTGACATGGTGATGGTGATCTAAGTTGAATAATGTAGTAATGATGTGGCTTTAAAAAAACAGTTGTCTTAAGGTGAGGAATTGTATTTCAAAACATGATTTTATAGTTAGCAAGTTTGTACTAGCTCGAAACTGGGCCATGACTCCTCAAACTGCAAACTATTCATATAACATTACCGTGAGTCATTCCATGGAGTCAAGCAATGAGATTGACTTGGTACATCATTCCTATTCCGTTAATTCCTTCCTTTGAGATATAGTAGGAGTTACACAACGGTCTTGGAAAAAGTCTAGGTAGTTGTGGTGCTTGATAAACTCTGTGATTCACTACATAATGTATAATATGCAAGCCAACTCACACATTTAGATATGAAAGTAGACTTATGAAGACGGCCCTCCGCATCTTGCCTACGAATTTGAAAGGCCAAACTCATATCCCAATAGTATAAGAATAAAGGTTATCACAATAATTTAAAGGCACTGATTCAGCTTGTAACTTGTTAATACGATCCGCATACATTGACTAGTAATTCATAAGTGCTGAGCGGGAGGACTAGATTAATCGACGAAAGATAAATAATGACCAGTGGATTAGACAATCATAGAAGGACATTGCGTCACAAAAAACAACTTCTTCGGATGTAGGTCGGTATGTATTATAGCTCCATCAATTTATAACAGTTCCGCAACAATCATCACTAGTGTTCCTACATCACCAACCTCCGCATTCCATTCGTCCCACTTTGTCACACTAGACAGCATCCCAGCATCCGTTTTCTGAATCCTATTTAATTCTCCAGCTTCGGAAACCCCGTATATACTGCGTTGCTCGGCGTACGTCTTGAACTCTACCCTCCATACTTCGATATCCTGTGCATTCCATAATGTCGCGGTGCTTGGTAGAGGGATGAGAACATATCCACCGATGGAATAATACGAGACGCTAGTTGATATGTCCACTAAGATGTTGATAATCTGAAACATGAGCACTGTGCTGGGTAGGACTTTAGCATGAATGGTCATAATAAGTTATGACTGTAACAGCAATGCTCACCGTCTTCTTGATTCGTTGAAACTCCACTGTCTCCACGCCAGGGCAGGATCATCTGGAAGTTCACAATCACAACGCTGCCCGATCGATAACGCCAGTGCCCTAGAGACGAGCTTTTTCACTTGTCAGCCGTGAAAGAGCGGCCATGCACAATTGGAAGTTGGTTAACTTTGCGATCAACTTACATTAACTGTGGCAAGTAGCGAAATGTCAAAGACATCATGCCCAACTGGAACATCCTGAAGGCGCAACAAGCAGTAGACGAGCAAGGCCTGCAAAGCAGCTAGAAGCTCCCATCGGTCGAAATGAGAATGCTAGCTATCGTTATTTAAAGACCTCGCTTGGGCCGAAGCCGGGCTGGGCTTACCTCTGTCAAAATTCTGTCTTGCTCAAGCCAGATGAGCCCCCAAATGAGGTTTTCATTTGCTTCTGTTCTTGACTTGAACACGCGCACCAACCTCTCGCAATTAATTAAAACCTGCTTATCGAAGATCAGCAACGGCCTATTCTGATTTAATAGGTAATCTAAGAATCTCGGGCAATATGCGAGATACACTGTAAACTCTGATTCATTTCTCAGAAACCAGGGAATCCTTGAATAAGCATAGATGAACCAGAGATGCAAAAGACTGACCTGCTGTGGGCGGCTTTCTCCTGATTCGGACCACGAATACAATAAAGGACTCATAAACGGCGAATGTATGCCTTTTTGGAGCATCAGAAAGGGATAAGATCGTAATATGCGCATCGCCAACGACATCAGGGGAGCCTGGTCTGGTCTTGTGAGGGCACGAGTATTGAAGAGGGAGAGACTAGATAACTGCTGAGTCCATGGCGAGGGAATGGATGTCCTGTCCACAAGCCCATTCGACACTTTGCTAAAATCACATGCCTTGAAGTCAACTCCCTGAGTTTCAACAAGCATGCTTTCAAGTCTAACAGTGTCAATCTGCCCGAAATCAACATCCCAATTGCCATCTCCTGATGGTCCAAAAGGAGCTTCTTTGGTCTGATAGTTATTCATGGACGTGCTAACTTGTAAGCTCTTAGCGCGGATAAGTTTCCCAGATACATCGGTAGTGTTCTCTGGGATCTGTGACTCTCGATCCTCACGGAGTGCTTCATCTACTGTGAGAACTATGTCACCTTGGCTAGATATTCGATGCCGTCGGGAAACTGCATCGGACTCGCACTTGGCACTGCGTTTATTGCAGCGAATACAGGCTTTTTGACTTGCATCGGCCAGCCAAATGCAGCGTGTCTTTGCGCGTATACACGCACCGCAGGATCGCCTCCGAGATATGTTTGTGTCGGCGGGTTTGGAGCGACAATAGTAGTAGTGTCGCTTCCGTGTGGATTCTGAATAATTGTTAGTATGTAAAGATATGATGATTCCAAGTCTGGTATCCAACGGATATACGAATGGTGTTTTACCTTGAGTAAATGTTCTCTTGCATAATGGACAGCATATGCTTGGTTCGGAATTATCCGAAGCTATTTGTTCCATCTCATCGAGCATCTTTCGGTCGTGGTATTGTTTGGCAGTTTAATACTGGGATATGGAATACTGGAGATTATAAGATGTGATGAACTATTAAACAATTCTGTAGGGAACTGCTTAAGTAATATTGGGGATATGTTATGTGATTTATGGCAGCAGGGCAGTTCATGGAGATCCGTGAAAGGTGGGTAATGCAGCTTAATAATACATCAGGGGGGACGCACCGTCGCCTCAAATACGGCCGTAAGCAAAAGTAATATGGGGCGTTTCACTAGCGGTTCCAGCAGGCTATTTTAACGCTTTCCTGAATCCAAGTAGCACTGCAAAATAAAATCATCCAAATGTATCATATGACAGCATAACAAGGTTTCCACAAGATCAACGATTGATCAAAAATAAAACCACTGAGACTTGTACCACCATGAAAGCAATCCCTGGCAGGTAGACAATTTTTCTAAACCAGTTACCACCATGAAGTATCCCCGCCGCGAGAAGAATCCTCCATTAAATGGCCCTAGAGAATGCGACATAATCTCAATTCTAGAGTATCAACTCCTCTCTAACTGGTTCCAGTGACACCGCCACTAACAGAAATCCACTGTGCAGTAATCCAACGGCTCTTCTCAGAAACCAACAGAAGCGCAGCATCAGCCATATCCTGCACAGTTCCCAGACGGTTTGCCGCTCGCCCCTGCTGAATCACAGCTTGTGCTAATCCGCTTGGAGACCCATCAGGGTTCTGCAGGAATGGTTTTGAAGAATCGGTGGGCATCGGGCCTGGCGCAAGCGTGTTGACGGTAATGCCATGGGATCGGCCAAGCTGTTGAATTCATCGTCAGTATCAGTATGCTATCGTCAAAAGCTGAGGCTCGGGAAATGAATGAACGAGCGAGCGCCAAAGCAAAACTGGCGCAAAGCTTACCTCGCTAGCCCACGCTGCGGTCAAGCTATCTTGCGCAGCCTTTGCTGCTGAATAGATAAATGGAGGAGAATTTAGCTTCGAGACGATAGACCCGATGTTGATGATGCGGCCACCGATGGGCATTGCGCCTGCTCCGACAACGGCCTGTGTCATGTAGATTGTACCGAAGACATTGACGCTGAACTCCTTTTCGAGATCCTTTTGTGCGACCTCCGTAAGGGATTGAACGGGGTTGGTAACTATTCCATTGTTGACTAGAATGCGGGGGGAGATTAGTTCCTTTTTAACCTGGGCCATGGCACAATTCCTCAATACGATAACTACATACCGAGAATGTCAATATGAGCGATGCCAAATGCCTTCAAGGTTTCCTCGACAATTCGCTTCGCGGTGCTGTAATTATCCACAGATCCTTGCACCACAGTCGTTTTTACTCCAAAATCCTTGGTGAGGCCAGCAGCTACTTTCTCGGCTTTTCCCTTGGACCCTTCCGATACATAATGAATTGCTACAGATGCGCCGTTCCGGGCGAAGGCCGTGGCGATAGCAGCACCGATGCCATTTTCTCTCCCAGAACCTGTAATGATGGCTGTCTTGCCGGCCAGTGAGAGCGTATCTACCGGCATGTTGGGTGGATTCGTTAGGGGAGGGGGGTACCGTATAGATGCAAAGAATTGCGAGAAGTTCTGAGGTTTGATAGATAGGGAGTTGATGTTGAGTTTGTTATAAACATAAAGGGATACTACGGAGGTATATATATCTATGTGAGGATTCCACTCATTTCCTCTTGAACGGAACGGCAATGCCTTCACGGATATCCGAGTATTTTTCAAGCATATTACAAAGCGCCACGATGACTGCTTATCATGCACCTACGGACATCCGTGAATAGTAAAATCTCTAGGCCTCATGCAAATGAAACTGCACTGTTTAGGAACGGAGTTAGAGCTAGGTACGGTGAGGAGGTGCAAGTACTCTGCTAGATAGACTGTCGGTTAACCTAGTGGTAGCACAAGCAAACAAGTTTGCGAAGATCAAGAAATAGTCAAGCAGGTTGGCTGTTTTTCACAGACGTTCAATAAAGAGATTAGAAGATAGGATCAGGAATATGATTTGATTATTCATATTTTAGCTTTTTTGATTAGTTTTTAGAGAAAGAAACAATAGAAACATCATAGCTTGTTAATATAACTCGCGAAGTAAGCATTAAAGTAGAAAGCATCATTGAATTATAGTCACATTAAGCAGAAAAGCGATGTCATGAATATGTTTGTATTAAGAAATAGCTACTAAGCTAGCGCTCTCGATCGAGTGACCCTCCCAGCAGGTGAGAAGCACTAGCTAAGAACCCTAGCACCCATCAAGGGGCTTGATTGCTATACGTGGACCTACCTCAAGGTGAAAGGCCACCATCAACACTCCTTTGAAAGAACAAGCTGTCTTCAGGCAGAATTAAAAAGTAAAATCCCGAGGACTTTGGCGCTTGAATGACTGAGTGGGCATGCACAGATCCACCCACATGTCTCCAGTATCCACAGGGCAAGCCTTAGTCTTGGTATCTTCAGGTTTGTTGTAGGCATCTCCACAGAACTGGTTCGCAGGACATTTAATGGCGGTGCAAGATCCCTGCCCGACTCCATTGCCAGTAGGAGTGACCTTGACGTTTTCCTTGTAGAAGGGATCGTTGGGACCTACGCTGTCGATAGCGGATAAGTCCCAGTAAATGTTTCCGCCTGCGATGGTGTACTCGTATTGCAAAGGAGTATGGCTGTCACCGTTGGCAAATGTCATCTTGATAGAAGAGCCGGCACCATCAGAGATTAAGTCGATTCCGATTGAGTGCTGGTTTGCGGGGATGACAAAAGGAGCTGAGCCGGGACGACCGGAACATATCCCGTTCTCACCGTGGTCGCAGTCACCGTTGTGGGATTGCCAAGCCGTCACATCTTGTGAGCACCAGTTCATGATGTTGATTTTGTTTCCCAAGGTTGGTGCGGCGAAGATAGCTACCAGAGCTGTGAATGTAAGTGCTGTGAAATGCATGATGTTGATTTGCCGAATCAAAGTTTCGGAAACGCTTGATGAATCAGTTGGTGATGAGTCGAGTGTTTTGTGTTGGCGAAAGTGACTTTGGATGAATAGGATTGTAGGGATGAAGAAAAATGGCATTGTAGGAAAGAAGAGGCATTATATAGATGCAACAAACAAAGATTGATTCAAAAACTTGTCGAAAGACAATGGGACAATAGGGCTCATGTTCTGTTCAAAGACAAGAGCTGGTGAAAAAAGGTTGTTATTCACTATGTTGTTTGTTCACCAAGCTGAATAAATCCTTTCAGAAACAGCACACAATAACATTAGGCATTTTTATGAATAAGCACCTTTTCAAGGATTCCTTTGACCTGAAGCTTGTCATAACTCGTTGTTGTAGGTTCAGATGTTTGAGTGGTTACCTGGCTCACTTATTTGAGTGTAGCCCGTTAGACTAGAAGGCACAAGACGCTAAACTAGCGCGTCTAGACTAGTCACATGCCAAGATACAGCACTTAAAACACAAATCTGTCAGACGTAAGATAGGAGGTCCAAGGTGTCATACAACAAGACTGCCTCCTACTGGAACTGAAAAGGGCTTCAAGAGTTTTGAGAATTGTGTCTAGACCACTTAGTCTGGACAAACAAACTCTTGAAAAGATATGGCTTTCATATGCATAACCTTTGTCACAGAGCAGAACGAAGCAGGGATTATCTATGAATTAAAGTGAAAGGCCTAAGTCTCCAAAAAGGACACAGAGAGGGGACTCTTTGACATTGCATTGTGGGTCTCGGTCTAGGTCCATACTTCATGGGGCTGACTGCAATTTTGAGGATATCCAACCGCCCACTCGAAATTATATGGGAAGTACGTAAAAGATTGAAGTGTACGAGTAGAGATGGCGAGAGAGAATGGGAAATAGGTGGGACAGGGAAGGAAAGAGAAGAGAGGGGAGGGGGAGGTTCGTTAGCGCCACTCGGCTAGAGACCAAGCCAGATTGCAAAAGCAGTGTTGTTATGATGTTGATATATTTTATTCCAACCCCCTCAGCTCCAACTCCAATTCCTCTCCCACAACCCCATCTCCTCAAACTACCGCCATCATGGGATTGTACAGATACTCAGCTCTTGCGCTCCTCGCCCTGCGAGCTGTCGGTGTATTCGCCGCAGCAGCTCCCGTAAGTCAATGGCGGAGAGCACGAATGCCAGCAACAGACAGAGCTCCTGGAATGCTAACATGACTATTCTCAGGTGGAAGAAGTGCCCGAAAGCCCCCCCAATCTCGCCGTGTCGGTCTCTGCCGCCTTCCCAGCCTCCGAAGTCTTCGGCGTCAAGCTCATTAATGGACACGCGACACAAGCGCTCCTCGATTTCACCAACAGCGAGCCCGATGCTGTACAAATAGCTGTCATTGGAGGCGCGTTGACGACTCTGCAGCCATTGGCACCTGAAACTCCCGCCAGCGCTGCGATTATCCGCAACTTGACCGGCACCCGTTACGATGTTGAGATCCCGGCCGGCGAGAAGCTGACGCTTCCATACACTTTCACCACGGACTTGAACCCACAAGACCTGCGATTGAACTTGCTGGCGGTTGTCATGAGCAAAGCTGGGGAGATTTACCAGGTCCAGGCTTTCAATGAGACAGTCAGCGTTGTTGAGGCTGCTACTAGCATCTTCGATCCTCAGATGTAAGTTTTAAATTGGTATCTTTAATCTTTGATTACTAACGCGGTCACAGCATCTTCCTCTATCTTTTCCTCCTTGCAGGACTCACCGGTACCCTCTACTTCGTTTACAAGACCTGGATTGAAGCATTGTTCCCACAAACAAAGCGTGGTGGCAAGGGTGGAGAGCGCGCCAAGCGTTCGTCTGGAGGGTCAAAGAAGGCAGTTGACGTCAAGGACCAGGTCTCTGTCATTGGTGCAGATGGACCAGCCGTAAGTCTTCTGTCTCACTAAGTAAGCGGACTTTTCTAATCAATTCATAGGTTACCACCGGTGCATTGGCCCAAAAGGCATACGATGAGAGCTGGATCCCGGAGTCGCACATCAACCGACCATCCGCCAAGCGCGTCAAGAGCGGCGCGTCGTCAAAGTCAAAAACTCGCGCTGTGGGCGAGTGAAGTATCGTCTTGAGATGATATGATATTGGACCTGCGGGAACAATGATGGGGAGATCCAATTCAGGATTAGGCCGGGTGAGTGTAGGATGGGCGGAGAGTAAATGGGGCAGCATACATGTATTGCCTGGAAAGAAAAGGATGATGTGTACAATACAACAAAAGTCATTATTGCCATCAGGTTTGCAAAACGCCGCTGCGGTCTGAATTATTGAAATCGTGTATATTAACAGACTTTTGATAGGAAGGCACAAAACGAGACATGAATGCAGAACCAAATCTTTTGAAATTCCCTTCAGCTCACGAGGCAGCAGCCGCAGCACTATCAACAACATCCTCCAGTGCCTGTTTCTTCGCCGTCAACGCCTTGAAGTTCCTATCCATCGCCCTCTGCGTAAACTCCCTGCCTGTAATCCCGTCATACTTTTTCAGTGGCCCCTGAATGTTGACATCAACACAAGGCTGATTGAAAAACGCCATGCTATACCTCTCCCCATACCAATCCCCCTTTTCGCACGGCGTCTTGACTCGATGAAACGTACTCTTGAACCGATCATCGCTCCAACTCATCAACAGATCCCCAATATTACACACAATTTCCCCCGCCGCGGGCTCGACTTTCGTCCACACGTCGCCGATGCCGAAGCTGGTCGACACTTCGCGTCCCGGACAGATCTCCAGCCCGGACTGCTGCGGCCGCTGGAACAGCAGCGTGATGAAATCCCAGTCCACGTGTGCGCCCGCCCGGTAATACCCCTCTGGAACCGGCGCGCTCGGGTCCACCTCGAAGTAGTGCAGCAGGCGGAGCACAGTCTGGGACTCAGCGCGTGATATGTCGTGCGCGCGCACGAAGTAGTCGTCGGGGAAGCCTAGGCCGCGCGCGAAGCAGAGCATGAGTTTCTCTGATACGTGTTGCGCTTTGTGCATGAAGTCCAGGCTCGTGGACTTGAAGCCTGGGAGTGCGGCATCGGGGAGCCACGACGAACCCATATTGGCCCCGAACTGCATCTGGTAGCTTTCCTTCTGGTCTGGTTGTCCAGTGCTAGGTCTGATCTGTGCGTTCTTCTCCCAGCCGGCGTTGAGGTGCGAGAAGGGCACGCTGGCTTTCGTGGTGTCTGGGAGCGCGAAGAATGAGGCTGAGGTAGAGAACATGTGCTCTATTTCTGCGAGAGATATGCCATGGTTTATTAGCCCGAAGAAACCATCCGTCTCGGCGGCGTGGATTAATTGCTGGGTGATCTCTTCGACGCGGGCGTCGAAGTCGTGGAGGCTGATTTTGGGGATTGTACGGTCTGTGTATTTTGTTGGTGCCATGATGGGAAAGTGAGTTTGGTGAATTGTAGTGATGAGGCTGGTGGGGTGTTGGGAGTCGTACGAGACAATGAGTGTCTGGTAAACTGTCTGCAGAGAGATGGAGCTGCCATTTGTACTAATTTTTCTGTTATCTCACTTTTGAGTAAAAGATTCCCGTTGTATGAATTGTTAGATAACTGTTCGGGCCCGGCAATTCGTATTTTTTTCCTTTCAAAGTTTGAGACGGGAGAATATATCTCTTTGAGATATCCCATATCAGCGGTTGTTTCCGGCGGGTCAGCTTGATGGTCATTGGTGGGACGAAGAGCGGTTCACAGATAATCATACGAGGGGCGGTCTTGTCCGGAGTCAAGTGACTTCGGGTGAATCTTCGGCCGGAAATGAGGCTGGTCAGGTGACATTAAACGTGCAAGTGCCTGCTTGGAAATGACAGCGCAATGAGGATGATTATTCTGCATGCTATCAAGACGAATCTTCAGTATATAGCCAACAGGATAGCAGAGACTTGAGTTTGTTCTCAATTTCAATCACCAAATCAAGCGAATTGGATGTCTGTATCTTGGAAGATTTCATGCTTGCTCAAGTCTACTAGACATACTTCCATCCCTTCCTATTCACAGCTTTCACTCCAGATCGTTCTCTTATCCCCTTGATTGACTTTTTAGCAGCCTCCAATATGTCTCTTTCGTCCATCTTCACCAACTTCCCTCCCTGCACAAGCACTTCCCCATCAACAACCACCATCTCCACATCCGCCCCGCTACAACTATATACCACAGTCGTAACCGGACTCACTCCACCCCCTTCAACCTGCCCCTCATCAAAAGGCGCCGCATGCAAGCTCCTTGGATCTACCACCAAAAAATCAGCCTTCTTCCCCATCTCCAAACTCCCAATCTCGTTCTCCAACCCCAACGCCCTGGCTCCATTAATCGTAGCCATCTCCAGCACCGTCTCGGCTCCCACCACCCCAGCATCAAGATTTGCGCCTTTATGCAGTATCCCCGCCAAGTGCATCTCGCGAAACATGTCATATGTATTCCCACAAGGCGCACCGTCTGTACCCAGACTTACATTCACACCCGCGTCCAGCATCTCAGGCACTTTTGCGATCCCAGAAGCGAGCTTAAGGTTGCTATTCGGATTATGCGCTACCGTGGTTCCGCTCTCCCTTAGAATGGGCAAATCGGTCGCGAGATCAAGGTGCACCATATGCGCCAGCACGGTCTTCGGACCTGTCAACTGCGCCTTCTCACAGAATTGCATGGGGGTCAGGTTGTAACTGTCTTTGTAGATGGTTAAGTCCTTGGGAGCTTCGGCGCAGTGCATGGTCAGACCGATGTTGTGCGCTTTGCAGGCGAGGCCGATGCCTAGGTGTGAGGAGAGGGGACTGCCGCGTGGTGTTCCGGCTGCGGCCCAGACTTGCAGGCGGGAGTTGAATATGTTGTTGTGCTTGGAGTGGGCGGCGAGCATGCTGGCGATGGACATGGATGATAGATCTTTGTCGCGGGGATCGGTGATGTTTAGCTGGGCGTTTGTTTCTTCGAACTTTACGAGTTTGCCCTGTGTTGCTTGTTAATGTCTAGAGTTGTGTGGGATGTTTAACAGGGACGTACGAGACAGGCGCGGATGCCGGATTCTCCTACTGCTCGCACGACGTTCTCGAATCCAGAGCGATGGGTCAACATACTTTCGAGGAAACATGTTGTTCCGCTCTTCAGCATCTCAGCGATGGTCAACCTCGCGGCTATGTATCCATCATCTGCATCATATGATGCTTCGAGTGGCCATACGGCGTCACATAACCAGGAATGGAGTGGTAGGTCTTCAGCTAAGCCACGGAGGAGTGATTGGGCGAGGTGAGAGTGAGTGTTAATTAAACCCGGAAGAATAATTCTTCCCGCCAGAGAAAAGTTTTCTGTATTTGGCGGAAGAGGTGACTTGGAAAGAATAGCAGTCTTTCCAATGGCTGAAATTCGGCAGCCGGTTACCAAGATAGCTCCATCGAGGATGATTTCCCGTTCTGGATTGATGGAGATTATGGTTGCGTTTGTGTAAAGGGTTGACTTTTCTGTTGACATCTTGATAGTGAGTCTCTGGCGACAATTACCCTACTCAATATATAACCTTTAGATTCTTACTTGGATAAGACAAGCAAGAATTATTTGGTTTCTCAAAAAAGAAGACTGGTGGTGGTACAGTGTAATTCTCGGAACTAGACCTGAAAATCAACTCCCCTCCGAATTTTTCTTTTTAGAAAAAAAAATTAAACTAGATTTCATAGTGATAGGAACAAACCGAAAATGCGGACGACCCAAGAAGATAGGAAGTTTCTCTCTCTGAAGCTTTAGCTTTCCCCAGATCCCAGATCCTTGGCGTTACCTCTGTCCCCGGGCGACTCCGACCCTGATAAGCGGTATAAGTTGCAATCCCAGGTTGCTAATTGGCCACGGGCACCTCCTGAATTCTTATCACTCCTCCCACTTTTTGGACTTCATGAAATTATCTACCGTATCCGATCGAGAAGATAGAATTCGATGATAGTCTTGCTCGGTAAGGGTTCAGGAATATTAATATAGAAGAGGGTCCCATGGATAGCCCAAGTAAGTACATCTGGCTCGAACATTGGCATTGTTCTTTTCGTCCACTTTTTGATAATGGAAACTCCTAGTACCAGTGAAAAAGTTGGGCAGGAGCAAGATGTTGTTCAGTATGCTTCTTCTTTAAATGAGGGAGTTGAGCATCAAGAAAATGATAATTGGGGATACTTGAAGCACTACTTCACGAGCCGGGAGGGATGGATTGGAGACTACGTATGTTTTATCTCGCCCTTTCGATTATGTCATTTGCTTATAAGAATCAGGATTATTTCTATCTCATCACTCCAAATATCTGGCCCCTGAACCGGAAGTACAAAGATTATGTCGCCCCATTCTACGGCCTCAACGATGAAATACCCATCTTCCTCACCATTCTCCTTGGCTTGCAACATGCTCTTACGATGATTGGTTCTATCGTGTCTCCTCCCCTTGCAATCGCAGGTGGTGCTTTCAACTTCGACGCAACGATCACTCAATACCTCGTCTCAGCCGCGTTTATTACAACGGGCATTGCAACCGCTTTGCAAGTGACACGAGTCCACATCACCAAAACACCATTCTACATTGGCACAGGACTGCTTTCCGTCGTAGGCCCAACATTCGACATCCTTCCCATAGCTTTCAACTACACATCCATGCGCTACGCCAACGGAACATGCCCCACAGCTGAAGACGGAACGCAACTCCCCTGCCCTGACGCCTGGGGTGCCATTCTAGGAAGCATGTTGTGCACAGTCTGGATTCAGATAGCAATGAGCATGGTCCCACCTAAAACGTTGAACAAGATCTTCCCTAAGATCGTGACAGGCAGTTTATTGTTGCTCGTAGGGGTGTATTTGATTAACTCAGGCATGCAGAATTGGGGCGGCAGTTCGAATTGCAATGGTGGAGATGGGTTCTATGCACTTTGTCCAAATATTGGTGCTCCGAAACCTCTTGCTTGGTCAGTACCACTCCCGGAATACCTGCAAGGAATGAGACAATTATATCTCTGAAATTACCAATTCAGGAACGAGTTCCATACTGACAATACTTACAGGGGAGAACCAAAACTCATCGGCCTCGGCTTCAGCGTCTTTGTAACCGTAATAATCATCGAGCAATTCGGCTCGCCAATCATGAAATCCGCATCCATCATCCTCGGCCTCGCAGTCGGCTGTGCCATCTCCGGCGCAACAGGTTACTGGTCCCGCGAAAACATCGACGCCGCGCCTGCTATCACCTTTCTATGGGTCCACACATTCAAGCTTTCCGTAGACGGAGCGCTGATCTTGCCACTGCTAATTATGTTTATCTGTGAAGCTGTCAGCTGCATGCCTGACATCCTCGCCACGGCCGAGATCTCGAATGTGGATATTGAGGGCACGCAGTTCAATAGCCGTATCCAGGGAGGGATATTGTGCGATGGGCTTGGGAGTTTGCTTAGTGCTTTTGGCACGGGCTTGCCTATGGTTTCACAGGCCGGGAATAACGGCGTTATTTCGTTGACGGGATGTGCGAGTAGACGCGCCGGATGGTGTGCGTCGGGATTTTTGATCTTGATGGGTATGTTTGGGAAGTTCGGTGCCGTTTTTGGGAGCATGGTAAGTTCTCCTCATGTCTTGGAAAATCAATATCTAATTTACTCAAAGCCGCCTTCTGTACTTGGCGGCATGCAGGTCTTCCTCTATAGCACCATCGCCGTGGCTGGTATCCGTGTTCTAGGTCTGATTGCCTGGACTCGACGCAATCGTTTCATTCTCACTGCATCCCTCGGGATAGGGTTCATCGATATTGTGCAACCGAAGTGGTTCAATCAGATACTAGATTATAGTGGAAGCAACGTCCATCTTCAAGGCTTCGAACAGGGCCTCAACTTGATCGTTGAGACTCCATTCATTGTCGCTGCCGTGATCGGTGTGTTCTTGAATCTGGTGCTACCGAGGGATAGAAGTGAGATGGATGGGGTAGTGAGGGACGTTTCGGGGAAACCTGTATTGGAACAGACTCAACTGAGAGAAGACTGAGGCTTTAAAAGGAGAAGAAAAATATACGTTGGATACTTCTAGATGCTTAAAATTGATCTTGTCAAAATCTAACTAAAGCCAATGTTTAGCAGATGCTGTGTCATATGACTCTACCCCCAAATGCGATCTCCAGTGGATAGATATCTCAAATCCCACCCCACACCACCCCACATCCCGACATCTTCCCTCCCTCTCCACGAACAAACCTCACCTTTGGATCAACAGAAGAGTTTGCCATCGCTATTTACTCTAATGCACGAGTCTTTTAATTAAAACCCTGTTAGTGCTGTTCAATACGGAAAAAAAGCCAATCACATACCGATGTCAAAATTCGTGCCTACAAAATTCGCACCATCCGAGCATTCGCACTGCAACCCAGGAGTAGAGGTGTCCGCAATAGCGAGGGTACAACCATCATCCTGTTTGCAAGAATCGAAGAAGCGACCACTGTTGCCACATAGTCAGATTCGAGTACTGTTTTCATCAAATGCTTATATCAGCTCTATCTGCACTTACCCTTGGGCACACTGCGCAGCTGTTAGTAGGTCACAAGGATATAGACGGGGAAGAACTTACGACAAGGGTCCCGTGCATATTGGCGATACAGTCGTTGAGATCAAAATCGTCGTTGACTGGGTTTCCTTTGGAATCCGGGCATGTCGCGATCAGATTGCTATAAGGGGGGACGGTCGACATTGATACGGAGCTGCATACCGACAAGAAGCCCGCGCTGGTACTGACCCCGAGATAGAGTAGTGCGACGGAAATCGAAAGAATGTGCATTTTCGGTGGGTGACTTTGGAGGTGCTTGTAAGTTAGGATGAGGTATTAGGCTTGGGATTTTGTGATGTCGAGGTGTGATGATGTTCTGCTGCTGAGGAACTCCATGATGAGAGCCGATTGAAAGCTTTATATATACAACCTGTGGACCATACTGCTGGTCGAGTGTCAAAGGGCACAAGATTCCTAAAAATAGGTGAGGGCATTTGTATAGTGGCTTGGAGGTCTCTGCCTCAACGACTTTGGCTGCCTGCTTTACTTCCTTACTCCGAGCTGCTAAAAGTACACGTCAAAAGTCTGAATTCACAGACCAGCTAGTCAGGCCTACAACCAACCCGATTTCCACACGGCATGTATTGGACCGTTCTATAACGAGTAATATCTGAAACTTTCTTTCGTGATATAAGGCGCTTGATAAGCGCTTTGTGTTACACTCAGCCCCGCCTCGCCACGATTTTACTATACGCATATAACTTTCCAACCACTTCGCCTCCCTTGCCCTATGATGATTCACACTCGGATTACAGCTTCGCGTTTTACTCTTCCGTGCTGCGAGCAACCCAAAAAGTAAGACGCGGCTGAGTTGTCACCAAATTAATCGAGGCAGGGTTCCAACCAACAGCTGACCAACACGAGCGAAAAACCAACACGAGGTCTTCATGGCAGTGGTTTAAGTATGATCTTATTCTATTCCTAGTCTTGTCGCGAGGCTTCTCGAGACCTTTCGTCAATCGTTCCACGCCTTGCAAGTATTCTATTTCGAGAAAACGTTCTCTTATGGTTCTCTGTTGTTCTATAATTATGCCTAAATTGATACTAGTCTTTGAAATTGATTTGGTTCTCGGAACAACTTGGTGCCTCCTTTTAAGTTCTGGTATTTCCAGTCTAAGCTCAGCTACTGCAGTTGAGTGAATAAAGGTCCATGCCTCTAAAATATATCAACAGCGAAGAGGATTATCGACAGTATCTGGTGGAGGCTTTGGAAGCCTATGACTAAACAACCGCTTGGATATAGGTATGTGGGATAGACTGTGTTTCTGGGAGTAGTTAGATTATGGGATGATTTGAGAGGGAGGAAATATCGAGGCGCAGATTGATTATTTCCATCAGGATGTGTCACATATAGCAGCGGATGACTTGGCTACTCGGCATCACATATCTTTCTCTTATTAATCTTATCGGTGGCTTTATACAAACAGCATTTAGAATTACAGTCCCTGGTATACCGTACACCGTATACCGTCTACCCTAAACTCCAACCTTGACCCAAACCTAACCTTTCAAGCATAATTGCCGCCAATCACAGGCCGCTCGACACTAAACTGTGTAAAACAACAACGTCCAACACCAGTCTCTCTACGCAACGCTATGACTCCCCATTTAACACCTACATGAACGCACTTTTCCGGTTCCTTGACTTTAATCGGATGGCAAGCGGCGCTAATAGCCCAACTGTCATTGCCAATGATCGGCATGCCGTCATCAAACTTCCTCAGTCCCATCGCCACGAGTGTGAGCAACATTAGAGCGCCGACAGCGATGGCTGCAATCAATGCTTTTGGACTGTAGCCGGGAAGTGTGAGGATATTGGATTCGGCGACGAGACCGTCCGTGTTGGGCATGGTGGTGTTCACAGGCTGGCCCTGTGCGTCGAAGAAGGAAACTCGGGCAATATACAATGATTGTGAGATGAAATAGTGCAGTAGACTGCTGGAGATGAGCAGTGGGATCGAGTATCGGAAAGGGAGCTGCAGCCAGTAGGTTGAGCGCTGCATTCCGGTGGGATAGCTGACACGGAGTGGTTTCCGGTGCCGGGAGTATTTAATGAATTCGGATGCTGATAGCATGGAGGTGTAGAGGGTGTTGTAGAGGAAGTATAGCATTGAGAAGACGAGTTGTGGTAAGTTCGTTATTAAGATCAACGATATGAGGAGCGATGATTTGGGCGATGTGACGTTGATCGAGGCGCATGATTCAAACCAGGTTATCAGAGTAGATGGTGAGATGGAGCTGAATGCGAGGGAGGAGAATGAAGCTCCTAGGATCGACGTGATCGCTATCCGAAGCATGGCGCTGGCTACTCCAAGAAATGCGAGGCATCTATAGACCTAAAGTCAGCAAATTTTCCGTATGCTCAAAGATGTTACTGACAGCATGATACACGTGATCCAAGTGAACGCCCCAGGTGCAGTGAACCAGCGATTTTGATGCAAGGCCCACAGTCGAGAAATTCCGCCATTTTTCGACTGATATTCTTTGATTGACCAGCATCCCAACCTTCTCTGCTTAGATTTTCGAGGATGCTTATGATCTGAATAAGCGACGGTAAGACATTGCCCTTCCGTAGCAACATCCTCAGTCTCCAGGAAGCTCGTTACTGCATCTCCGATGACAACTAACGGGCGATCTCTCAAGCCGTATGCCGCTAAGACCATACAGACGAGCTTGACTGCATTGCAGAAGATCACTATGAACATCACGGGCGAAATAAATTGCAATTGGCACACCTCCGGCACTTTTTCGCTAAGGCAATGGTCAATTGGAACATTAGGTCCAAGTTCCCAATCAGAAGCATCGGCAATGGCGCGATTTGCGTCGCATGTAGTGAGCAACCTCTGGGCCTCGGGGCTGTGGAACGTGTGCGTGTATTTCGAGTCTGGGGCGGAGCAAATCCAGGAGTCCGGAAGCCAGTCAGACCCTCCGACTGTCAGCATGCTTTTTTGCCATTCCGTACTATCCATAAAGGTAAAGATGGAGCCATTCTTGACATCTGTCCCAATTGCAGCATTCGTATTCTGCTTCGATACCGCGAGTAAATTCCTGCGGCCTGACAAGAAGTCGACGCTATATGCCTTCATGCATGCCTCGTTGTCGAGAACCTCCATTCCTCCTGATCTTGCCGAACCATAGAGTCCCATTGCAAAAGTGCAGAAGTCGAGATCATCCATCCCACCTGTTCCCGATCCTCCAGTCCGATTGAGGTTTTGTAGGTTACAGTCAAAAGAGTCGGACCCCACGAAGTCATTGGACACAACGAGAACATTATATTGATTCGACTGCAAAGTACTAAAGACAGCCGAATTCCAGCTTGGAAAGACTTAGCGTTCGCAAGATAATTGGAGGAAAGCACTTACAGCAAGTGCAAGGGTAGAGCGCTGACGGCCAACAAAAGCCACAGAACAGCACGGTCAACACCGACCCAGCCAAGGTTTCTGAAGTTTGGAACACCAATAAAAAGGGAGACATTCTTCGCATGGGCCTTGTTAACCTGTTTCCTAGTCGGTGCGTTCAGGATTTGCATAACATAGTTGCTCGCTCCCAATAAAATGGTGCTCATGATGTTGATCGCAACATGAAAGCCAGAATCTATCCGGGAGGCCTTCCCGCAATCACCTTGGAACAAAGTACCCACCCCATCTGAAGTCCCATACTTCGCGCTAGAAATTGCGAGGACTAAAATGTTCAGGAGTAGTACCAAGGCTGTCACCGCCGATGCCCATATAATCCCTTTTCTCCATCCTGTTTTCTGCGGAGATGGTAGTGAGGGGTCATTTTTGGGGAGAGAAGGTGCACGTGGCGCTCCGAGGAAGACTTCTGTATAGGTCCCAAGCTCAAGATTTGAATAGTTGAATTTCGAGTTCTTTCTCGCCCATGTATTATGGACATTCTCGCTGAATGCCTTGATCGAAAACCTGCATTTGATCAGCTCGGGTCAGTGTTACGCGGAATGGCTCATCTTACTTTGAGGGGCGGCGGATCTCAATGGTACTTGTATTCTCAATCGAGACCTCAACTTCGAACGACTTCTGGGTCTTTGGTTTTCGATGATTTGCTGAAATATCACCCTCTTCGTCATGAGTTTCCAGCTTGGCATGAGTGAAAGAACGATACGGTAGGAAGGACACACTCATTGCGTGCTACCCCACAACCCATACTAGAAATTATTATTTAATGGACTAATGATATACAAAGCTCAAGAGAATGTCTAAGATCAATTATGTTGCCAAGAGGCTCGAGATGTATCTATGTAGGAATTTCAAGAGGCAAGCATGCAGGGAAATGCCACAGAAATAGGTCGTGGTCGTAACCCTGGAGGATTGCTGTGCTCCGTAGGAATCGTCCGTGCCACACCACACTGTGCCACCACACTCCTACATTCCTCACTTAAGGCACCCCACTCTGGACTTTTCAACAGAGCTGGTTGGACTGATTCGCCCCAGATAATTTAAATGCACTTCTCGCTTGGCCGCTTCCCCGGCTGGGCAGTCCGGAGTATAAATTCATGGCGTTGAAAAAATGGCAATGAAGGCGGATTGTTTTGCTAGGTCATTGTAGGCTATATTTAGCGCAGAAAGACAGAAGCCCCTGATATGATGTTAAAACTTATACAGGTTTGGGATTTGAAAAGGCTTTTGAAGGCAAGCGTGTTTCTTTGGCCACGAATCGTCGGCTCTCACTTATACCCCTCAGGCGAGTAGCTATTTTCTTTTCTTGAAGAAATAGTTCACGTCCCTACCGGTAATAGGTACGCAAATCTAGAATTGAAAAAGTCCTATTCTTAGGAGGCACTCGCCTGACTAGTCTAACGCATTGTAAATTGGTACCGCAATCTCTGTCTACCGCGAGGCACGGTTCCTGACTTTCGTGCAAATAATCTGTATTTGGCCTAGTATTAACGTCAAGAAATCCGAAACACTTGTTTTAATTTACATCGGTCCTCTTATTAACCAACTAACAACAATGATGTGCATTACGGAGAGCCCGTGCCAGGAAAGAAATTTTCCGATCCTCCCGCGCGCTACGGAGTACACCCTACCCCATAAGCGCCAGCATTCGCTTGTTCAGAGAAAATAACTCGGTGATTTCATTGGCCTTGTCTCTAATGCTTGTCCATGGCACGTAAACTAAACTTTAGTAAAGAGCCTGGAAGGATTATAAGTGCAACTAATCCCTCAGGAATCTCTATAGAAATAATGACGGTACATCGCGCAGACATTTGTCAAACAAGGAAATTCCACTTGAAGTCTCACTTCGCCGTCATGAATGAACATATGGAAACTGACGCAATTATTATTACTCGCTTGAGCCTGCCTCGTGATAAGAGACGCACGTGCAATCGACTTGGTACGTTAGCAAATTAGAGGCGCTTGAACATTTTTAGGTGCTTGATCAAGGCTACTCGCAACACCCCAGGTATAGCAATTCCTCATTCTAGAATTTGACGGTATAGCCGTGAAGCCGGTTGTTGTTAGAGTAAAATGACGGCAGTTGGGTATTTGTTTGAAGACGTGTTGATATCGTTGTAGGTCTAGAGACTTGAGATTTGTACCCCTGCATCAATTGAGACGTAGAGATGTTGAGGAAATGGTAACAGCGTGTAGCCTCAGAACGGCATTGCAGAGGTGATTTCAAAGCGCGTGGCAAACCAGCCATAAGCACCGGGAGCAAGATGCATGGTGGGATAATCTTTTGTGATATTTGACGAGAACCCGAACAGCGCCATCCCGACTGCCTTCCTAACTGTAGTTGAATAAAACAAGGCAAACTACTTTCAAAAGCTTGATTTGGAACAATAACACAGATACAAAGAAAGGGATAATCGCATGATAAAATAGAATAGGCGGGTTTCAAGACGTATTTGATTGTTGGCAAATGTTTCCAGTACAGGCTCATTGGAGAACATCGACGCCCCAGATCTAGGAAAAACGTGGAAACTTTGATTACAGCATATAATCTGCAAGTTTCAATCGAGTGCTTATTGTTCCATTAGAAACTTTAAGATCTCTTTAGCCTTGCTGGATGATTCAGCGGGGTGATGTTCCCGCATAGTGGAATCGTCTTATCAATGCTGACAGCTGGTACAGCATGATGCAAGGGATACCCACAGTGTAACGGGGTTAGAGTATGGCATGGTCCGTGGGAAATTTTAGGCGCCCCGACGAACTGTTGGTTGTTGCGGTAGGTAAGGAGGGACGAAATGGAATCGAGAATCAGGAATTGCCGCGAGACATTAAGTATTGACCCACCACACGTGATCAACTCCGAGAAAATGCTGATTCAATGGGCGACTGAGAGAGTGTGTCAACTATTTATGAATCTCCTATTATGAGAGAAGGTTCTTGTAGCCAATAAGCGCTTTCAATTTCCTACTTTCCAAACCCTGGTCACGTGCCTTTATAATTAAGTTGTCAGGCAGGATTTAGGGATGATAAGATTAGTTCCGGAGGAAACTAATAAACTTCACAGTCTGAAGAGTCTGCAGCCAACAGGTTGATAGATCGAATCCTCGTTTGTCATGCTGATGCGCATTGTAGGATGTCAGCCTTGCGGCCTACGTAAGCAGCGACTTTTGTATGCTTGAACTTCAACTACCGGTATATATACCCAGGTATACACCCACAATACTTGTTCCGCCTCTGGGAGGCGACAAACCCATATACATATTCATCATGAACCAAGAGCAACAGAAGAACGGCGCTGATCAGCCACTCAATCGCGCTTGTGATGCCTGCCGGCTGCATAAAGTACGGTGCTTCCCAAACACCTCAACCTCCTCCACGTCCACGTCCACGTCCAAAGCATGCCAGAGATGCACCCGAACGGATCGGCAGTGCAACTTTACAGTTCCTCAGAAGAGAAAGCAACGTAAAAGGACAGATACTAGGGTCGCGGAGCTCGAACGAGAGGTACAGGCTATGCGTGCACTGTTTGAAAAGAAGAAGCAAGAAACAGACGGCCCTGATGCAAGTGCCCAGCCAAGTGAAATGAATCTATTTGGCCAGGTGAATACTTCCGTTCAGAGCACAGGGACAGGACCAACATATTCTCCAGATATTGGAGGGACCGGTTGGACCCCAACGGCAGTTCAAACCCCGGAAGTAGAAACGTCTTTGACCCAGGATTGGAGCATTTCAGCCTTTCCCATGAACTCAGATGTCATAGATAGGGGAATGGTTTCTTTGGAAGTTGCAATCCAACTGTTTCGGACTTATATGAGCGACCTCTATCAACACTACCCGGCCGTTCCCTTTCCGCAAGACACGTCACCCGAGGAAGTTAGGCGTACACAGCCCACCCTCTTCCTGGCAGTCATAGCTGCAGCTGCAGCAAAGACGGATCCGCATTTGTTTAGTGCCCTCAACAGCGAGGTCCTCTCAGCTTACGCCCATCGGACGGTCATCCACAGTGAGAAATCTTTGGAGTTGGTCAAGGCTATGATTATATCAGCTGTTTGGTATTATCCTCCAGGCAGGTTTTCACAACTCAAGTTCTATGAATACATTCATATGGCTGCAACAATGGCTATGGATATTGGAATAGGGACGAATCCCAATGCTTCAAGCCGCCGACGCGGTTTGGATTCAGCCAGTTCTTTACCAGTCGATGAGGATGAGATGGAAAGAAGAAGGACATTCTTAGTTTGCTTCCTTATTACTACGGGGTTAGTAGACTTCACTCTTTTAGGAAATATGGCTGAATCATTATAGTGTATCTATGTCTATGCGCCGTCCAAACATGTTGCGATCGAATAGTTGGCTAAAAGAATGCCTTGAGTATGTGGACGCCAATGCCAACCCTTTGTATCTAGACAATTGTCTCGTTGCATGGGTCAGCATACTACAAATCACCGAAGAGATTTGCACCTCGTTCTCTTTTGATGATCCTGGAAATATGATAAATCTCGCAGAGACAAGAATACAATTTACTCTAAGTGGTTTTGAAAAGAAGCTTTTGGCCTGGAAAGAGAAGTTTACGTCGACTGGTGCAATCAATGGTAGGTCATGTCACATCTTGAGATTATTGTATTGACAAGAGCAGATGCCTTGATGCTCACCTACCACCATACACAAATTTATCTCCATGAAATTTGCATGCACGATGACCATTCCCTAGAGGACTTCCAACCACCTTACAGACTGGAGAAAGTCGTCTCAATTCGATCAGATAACCAAGCATCATTATCTTATATCGATGCCATTGCGATTACAATCTCATCAGCCCACTCTTTACTCGACCTAATACTTGATATGGAAGTAGAAACCCTTCGAGCTCTTCCCATCTTCAATTTTGTAAGAATGGCGTACGCCTCAATCGTTCTCACGAAGCTTCATATTTCCTCCAAAACTCCAGCAAGTCAGATTGGAGCCGTTATCGAACCAAAAATGATCAAACTGGGGTATTACTTGGAAGCTGTCATCGAAAAGTTGGGTGTGGCAGTTGGACCAATGGAATGCAGGGCCCCTTTCGCATTTTTGGGATTCTTCATGAGACTTCAAATATGGTATAAAAGTCAAGAAAAAGACGTACATTTCAGGCAACCTACCGAGCTCTACACGGTATTGGATCACTGCTGGCTACCATCTCCTCCGAATGTCGACAACACCGCTTTTTTGAACGAACCAATGTATATTGGCCAGAAAACGTCGATAGCATTGGATAGAAAGCAAGGTGGCAACGTCGGGGCCATGGGCTTGACCGATTTGGCTACTATGCAGCCTCTGCCGGACATGGATATCGATTTTGGGAATCTAGATGTCAATCAGTTCTTGCCATTTGGGGAAATGGATTCCATTGCCAAAGACGATGGAGACTGGAGTGGATTGCCGAATCTGAATGATTTGAATATGCACAATGTCATGAATGATACTCAGATGCAGCAGACGTATGATTGGGCCCCCCAAGATGTCGACAACACTTTTCAATGATACAAGGTCACGGCCGTCCATCTATCCCAACATGTCACTTAGCCAGCCAGACGAAATCTTCGCAAATGGACACTCAACTATATTTGTACTATCCTAACGGCCTTTAGGTGGAGAATGAGCAAGGAAGGAGCACCAGATCTGGATGAACTCTACAAATCGCCACTCAAATACCCCATCCGTACTTCTGAACCAGCGTATGGCTTTTCTTGCAATCATACCAGCGACTACGAATCACCAACGCCTTGATATTGACTCCCTCGATCCCTTTTGTTATGCTAGCTGTCAGAATACATAGATGGTTTGATCCAGACTAGCCTACCACACACCCTCATGACCCTCTATCTCAGCCCTGTATCAAATTCAATACCTCCATTCTTCATTTGCAAACATCACCCACCATCTAGCCAGAATGAGCAAACCCTGACCTCCAGCTCTGGTTCTATCGATCCAAACTTTCCCAAGCCTCACGCTCCAAACGAAGCCCGAGGAATCATCTACGGTTAAGGATGTGCTTCCTATTTATCTTTTTTTTCCAAACACAATTAACACTCTCACCGAGCTACACCCTCGCTATCGTCTTTGCCCTCGCATCCAAGTTCTTCTCTACCCTACCGACACCAGTCCTTCATCCTGCTCACGCTCAACAACCTACTGGAAATACGGGAATACGGAGTAACGGACATCTGCGCGGCCTCTGATCGCGCAGGATCCATACCACATCAGCTACTTTGTCGTGGAAAGCTTCCTCCTCGTTACTATGCTCGTGCTACTCCATATTCTTGGCATTTATCTACTCTGTACGCACGCCATTACTTGGGCAGAAGTAGAGGAACAAGGCGAGGCGGAGAGAGAGGGGCTGATGACTTGGTGCAAGTTGTAGCAGAGGGGTCCGGTCATTCGGGTTTGCGATGGAGACGTTGGGCGGCGGATACTCCGTACCATCTCTCTCCTACTCAAAATCGTCGCGTCGCGGTTTGCGGGATTAAGGAACTTGTTGGGAAGGGCGGGGGAAAATTGATGAGGTGTGAGATTGAGAATCTGTAGAGGGGACTTGATTGAGGAAGGCGATCAGCGATCTATTGGACAGACCCTGAGGGGAAATATAGGTATGAGAAGGAGTGTTGCACGTTTAAGCCGACATTTTATTATTTGATAGAACGTTCGTACATTCACGCCTACTTCTATTTTTATATACTTAAATCTATCCCCCTTTCCTTGCCAACATCTCTCACCATAAAACACTCCACAAACTCCCTCTCACCCAAAACTCCCTCTCCCTGCCCCTCCAACCCCAAAACCAACCGATCAACCTCCCTAAACCCAAAATGCTCATAAACCGGCTTCCCATGCGGACTAGCCTCAAGATACGCCTCCGTCCCCTCCTCATCCACGCGCTTTAACCCCCACCTCATCAGCATCCCCGCCGCCCCCTTCCCCTGCCACTCCGGCCTCGTCGCCAGAGCCTCTAGAAACCAATGTCTCCTGCCTCCCATAACCTCGCCATGCTTCCTAGCCAGCGTCCCGAAAAAGAGCTCGGCGATCTCGTGATCGCCTCCTTCGGGCCATTTCGGCATCGGCATCGCACTATTTTGAGTAGGAGTATCTGCATCGGTCCATTTTGCAAATGCGATTATGGGGGATTGGGAAGGTGGTGAGCTGGGGGTGGGAGTAGGAGAGTCGTAGATACAGAGGAAATGCGCATGAGGATCTGCGAATTCCTCAATAATGCTATCGTACCACCAATTATAGGATGCTGGGTTATCGCGCGGAAAAGCGAGGAGGGATATTGCATTGTTGTTGAATGCTGAGAGGTAGATTTCTGCGATGGCTGCTGCGTCGGAGAGTTTTCCTGGACGGATTTGCAGCGGCATTTTAACGTAGATTGATATATTTTGTATGTATGAAAGAAGGGGTGATTGATAAACTTAACTTTAGATGAGAAGAGAAGACCTTGGATAATGAAAGATGGTGACTTACGATACCTACTACACTGATTTATAGAAGATATTTTCAAGGGAATTGAGGGAAGAACGATATGACGCCGCTGATTACGCCGCACTTACTTCATGTATCTCTCTAAGCCGTTGTTTATCAGCTTATAGTAGATGCTAGTGTGCCGGTGTGAGTCAACAGTGGAGTGAAATCCTCCCACTAATCAATCAATTTTAAGCCGAATACGAAAATTCCTACTACAACACCACGAAATAACACAACACAAAAAAGCGTATAGTACAAAGCATCTTAAGCAGAAACCCTTTCTTTACCTACACCCCGTATAAAGCACGTGAAACCGGCAAAGCTGCCACCTACAGTATCAAAAGCATTTATGCAAACCCCGGGGACCCCGCTTTCCACTCAGTCGCGGCCCGGCTGCACGCGGCAAATATCAAAATATATGAACAAGTGTTTGCTTGATTCCATACAGCTACAACTACCTCCGTATAGCTACGGATAAAATATTCGATTTGCGTGTGCGTCCAATCCAATCCCGTGCAGCTATATCTCAAGTTGAGGTGAGCGAGTATCAGTATATTAGGCTTAATTAAGCCATGCATGCTCCGGGTTTGGTAGGGTGGGTGAAGGGAAGAGGGAAGAGTATTGTTTGGTACTAGGACACGTTTCTTTAATGCAATTACGGTAGGGGATTTATATCCTCTTTTCCCTTTCCTCCTCCAAGCGAGGGAGAAAAAACTTCATGAGATATCTAAACCCACAGTCCAGTCCAGTCCAGTTCACATTCCCATTCATTACATCCTCATACCATACATACATACCTACCTACCTACCACATCATCTCATCCCAACCCTCCCTATCTCCCAACAATGAAATCCATCCTCCTCTCCCCAACCATCCTCCTCTTATCCCCCACCCCCACCCTAGCAAGCGACTACACGCCCCCCAGCCCT